CACATGGCCTATGCTTCACTTGCTTGCAGTCTCAAAACAGCAAATCCTCCCTTTCCACAGCCTCCCTCTGCTCCTAAGCAAACAATTGCTGCTGCCCAGTCATCCTTCTTTTCTTCCACTACAAACCAGGAGTTCTTCTTCAGTTATTCAAACTGGATGCCCATTTTGCTGGATCAAATTCTCTTGCTGATACACAGTGCTTCCTCTTGCTGTATTGAACAGTATTTAGACTCAACATGAAACACTCCCTTTGTCAAGCACAGTCTTCATAGATCTCAGTCACACATGAGACTTTTACCTTTACTCTCTCCCTTCTCCTTTCACTGAAAACTGGTATTCTGAACAGGATCCAGTTGTGTGACAGCAATCTTACTTAATGTAACAAATTCAAGACTGTTTTAGCCCATTCTGTGGCCTCAGTCATAAAATATCTCTCTCTTCTTGGGAAATATCTCTAGGTGACCCACACAATTTCTGTCTTCCTTAATTCTTGAACAGAGGGTCCCTAGAGCAATTCAAGAAGAGCTCTGACACCTGCCCTACATCAGTCCTTCCCATCTTGCAGATATAGAAAATGGCTTATTACACAGCTATTTGAACAAACTTGTCAACCTTTGTCTTGCAAAGGCATTTGATCTGCCTTATTATGTTAAGATTCTTTGAGAGACACTACACTTCTGTGTTTATGGCTGCAGTCAGGACAGTATCTTCAGAGTAAAATCAGTATTCAGTATGTAAGTGGTGTGTGGTTTGGCACCGTGTTACTAACACATCACCTACCTCTCAGGTTTGAACAAACTTACACAGATTCCTGGATTATGTGATGGTGTAAAACAGGCAAACACTGTACCTTCAGGTAAACAAGACTTCTGTGGCCAAGTTTTGACACAAACACATAGGAATGTGCATTGGCAATTAGACCTGGTCCCCCCCAAAAATCTTGTCACTTAAAGGAGACATAAATGTAAGCCTCATAAGCAATGGCTTGTTGCAGCCTTTGTATCTCTCCAAACAGTAGCTCCTACAGAATGGATATGATGGACTAGCACAAGTTCTTCAGAAGTAGTCACAGATTCAGAAAAGACAGTAAACTTGTGAGCTAAACAGGCAAGAATTCATAAACAATTTTAAATAGCTGCCAATTTTTCTGAGCTTGCATGTTCATTTTCATTACACTGAACCCTGTCCCCTGCCCTTAACCCAAAGCTCTGTGGTAGTGTAAATGTCCTGCAAAGAAAAGAAAGAGGACTGCACTTATGAAAGAGGATGTACCCTAGAAGGAAAAGAAACCCATGTTAAAAAACAGAGAAGCACCAAATAAAACAACAGGAACAATCTTTCTCCCCCACACCCAAAAACATGTGGGAAATCATTACAAAAAAAAAATGTTGCCTTATGCATTACTTGTGAAAAACATGTTCTTCCAGAGCTAGTGATTTATTTTTGTAGAGTGCACCAACTGTTATTCAGCCTCTTCACTACTCCCTTGTTTCTCTTTTCCCCCTATTATAAAAGGGATTTAAATTTTTTTAAAATGTATTCATCTGTGTACTGCACATCAAATTGACTGAATGACCCAAATAACTTGCAAAAATAGATTTGATGTCCAGCAGAGCAAGCAAGAGGTCAGAAACCCGCAATCAACTCTCCCCCTGAGTTACTATTCCTGTAGTGAACATCTTTTCTGTGCAATGCTTTCCTCATATTCTTAACAAAGTGTTTATTACCTTAACTACCACAAAATTTTACAGATGGAAGATATTATAAATGTACTTTTAATCAATTCATTAAATGATTTGATGCTTTAGATAATACACATTCTTACAGGAGAAGCAATACTTACACTTGTAGGCAATTGATGAGGGTCATTTTTGAGGCAGTCTTTTAACATGAGAATAAAACAACATTACCTTTCATGGTTGACAGATAATGTGTGGACAGACAAGGAATGACCAAGATCAACTGTTAGAACTAGGCTTCACTGAACATATTTGCTTTTTAAATAATCATGTATGTTTTCCTACTTTGGATAATAATTTGCGATTATTTAAGGCATTCAGTATCACCCAACATTTCTGTACTCGGTGATGAAATGTGGTTTGACACACCATAAGAACCAGCTGTCAATTACAAGAAGTTTGCCATTTCAAAACTTTAAAGCTCATTTCACCTCTGATACGCTGCAGCTTTCCTTTTTTTCCCCTTTATTTTTCTTTTCTGTTTTGTTGGCAAAGTGGTGCTACTGATAAACACTGTTGAGAAGATCAAAATTGTAGGGTCCATAGATACTGAAAGGAGTACAAAACTCTTCAGCAAGCCATCTGTATAAGCTAAGCACTCTACACCCAAGTTATCAGCCCACCACTTCTGATGGTGATCACCTCCTCCTTTCCCCTGCAATACATAAACCCTCTCTTTTCCTTCAGCCGCTCCCAAGAGCCTGTCACGAGACATGCAAAAATTCCAGACTCATGTCTTAGTTCATGAACTATACAGAATTACTCAATCCTGATGCTCACACACTGTGAGCCTCACACAGGATGTGTATTTTCAGACCAAAAAATCCTAATTTTTTTACTCTCTCAAAAACTCTGAAAGTTTCACTGAATTAATGTCAAAAAAGGAAAAGAAAATCTCTATTGTAAAGACTGAAGGTACTTTATTAAGTACTAGAAATCTAGGGAGTACATGAAAAATTATCCACCCAAGAACATGGACTGAATTAAAATTATGTTAGTCACTCACTTGTTCTTTGTTAGAGGATTAGTAGTGTTTTTTAGGAATTCATACCTCAATCAATACCCACAATGAACAATTCTGAGATCTTCTAATTGTTTTTCTATTCTTCTGATTAGCATATTCCCTAATGCTTTATTTAATCAAATGCAGCACTTGAGAATGAATAATTGGTTTGTGGGATTGTCTGAGGTACTTTTCACTGAGGGGGGAAATAAAATCAAAGCACTCCACTGGTTTTGCTTAATTTTTATAATCCCTCAGTGAAATGAAGACTATCAACCTCTTTTAAGCAACAGAAAGATGAAGTAGGGACCAAAGTGAAACAAATCCAGTGGTTTCAAGTGCCTTGTCTACCCTTTCTCTTCCCTGTCCAGACTACTTAACATTATATATCAGCTTGCATGTTCAAGGCAGTTCACACTCACTTCAGTCACAGGCAGGGGAAACTTTACAGATGAAACATCCATCTCCTAAAGCTTGACACCCAGCAATGTGGGAATAAACAATTAGCAGCTGCTTCTTATCAGTTGGGATTAGGATGGCATACCATAACATCCCGCAGGAAGCCTGTGGCAGGGACAGAAGGCACTTCTGAGGCTGCATTCAACCCTGCAAATTATGCTCATTCTAGCAATGGCTTTCTCTTCTTCTTCAGTGTGCGTGATTAATATAATTAATGAATGCTCTTTACTTCAAAGCACCATGTTAAACAAAGTAAAGTATCCTTGAAATGCTCTGCCTCATTTTCCCTAAACAAACTCTAAAGAAAAAAAAGCAACACAGGTCATGTCCACTGGTTTGATTAAAGAAGTTACTTTCGTAACTTCTCAAACACAAAACCAGCTCAGTCTGTCCCTCGGGATTCTGACAGGCTCAGGGTATTTCATATTATGTAAATATACATAGATATAGTCCACTACAATTTGCCTCTCCTAATAAAATTCGCTACATTCAAAGGTGAAGTCCCTAAGCTCCAAAGGAAACTGGATTTATCAGGTCTCGTGAGTGTTGTTAAAAAAATAAATCCAGATTTCACCCCCTAGTTCAAGAAGAAAAAAAGTTTTAGTGTTACTCAACTATATTTTCCAATTTTATCTTCAGAACATCTGCAAGCTTTCCCTATCCAAATTATTGTAGGACACAAAATGACAGATGACTACTACAACTATACAGCTCAATCCTTCAAACTCTCCCCCCAGCCCCTAATTGCCCTGCATTCAGGAAGTTCCTGCTGTGCCTGCCCCTAATGTAAGAAACACAGACTCACCCCTGTTTTAGTCAAGCATATTTATAATGACTTCTAAAAAAATGGGGGAAAAAATGTAATAGCTGGAATGGACTGAATAATTCAAAAAATTGTGGTTACATTTATGAAAAACTTTCCAAAAACTAGAATTTTGTGTTTTGGTAGACAAATTTTCCACAATGTCACTTGTCTGCCAACCTTATTACCTGCAATAACAAACTCTTTGAAATGCATCTTTTCCCATAGCATGTGACAAAATGCCTTCTACTACACTATTTTTCTGGTTTTTTCCCCTCCTCCTTTTTTTAAGTTCACATTTCTCTCTTTTCACAGCCTACAAACTCAAGTAGCTGCAAATGAGGCAAGCAGGCATTTTCTCTAATAATAATCTACTATTTGAGCCTGGATAGTTTACAGAGGCAAAAGATTAGAGCACACTAAAATCCTAAAACCTTTCAAAAAATCATCAGATTTTTCTTGCACCCTTCAGGGGAATATTCTTTCACGCATCTGAAAAAAACTCAAAAAACAGAGATGCTCTGGGAAAAAGTGTGCCAGTGCTACTCTGAAAAGCTCAGTTAAGTAAAACACAGAAGTCCAAATGAACAATTCCTGTGCCAGGGCATATGAAGGAGTGTATTTACCTTTTCCATTGCTGAACCTTCATGACTTCTTACTACAGGGTTTCTCAGGAAACATTGATAATCCATGCCAGAGATTTTCTTCCCTCCCCACTTTCAGCACACTTCTCAGGTACAGATTTTCCTATCACTACAGCTTGATCTAATACGATATATAACTCTTCACCAAGATATAATTTGCTTAAACCTCTTCCCTATCTCCAGCCACATTTTCCCTCAATGCTGAGAACTGCCAACTGCTTTTTCTTGGGAAAGACAGAGTGGCTGCTGAAAACAAGGCGGTGCAGAACACCGAAGCTGCCATATGCACGGTACTCTCCACTGCCCAAAACCCAGGCTGCTGCTGTCTAGACTTTGTGCCCATCACTCCTTACCTTTGTGGTTAAAAATGCCCTCCATCTCCATGCTGCTGCGAGAGTGGGCGATGCAGAGGGAGCCGCAGGGGACCAGGCCTTCCGCAGCTGGGGAGCGATCCGTGGTTCGCACCAGACACCAGTCGGGCTTGTCATGGGGCCTCTCCAGGACCTCCACGGTCTGCCCACGGCGGATTGTCAGCTCGTTGCTGTTGCAGGCGGTGAAGTCATGGATCACCACAGTCAGCTCGCACCCACCAGACAACTGCGAGGGGACAAAACAAGGAGAAGCCAGATGAATGCTTGTTATCAAACCATCCGTCACGCACCGGTACCTATTTAGGGCTCCTGGCAGGATTTGTATTTTAGATGAGGTAGCAGGCTTCTGGGACTTTCCACATCAAGAACAGAACATTTCAAAATCAGGCAGTTCTGGCGTTTTAGAACAGATTTCTAACTCTGCTTGTCTCTGCCTATTGTTCAAAGCACACTGGTTGTGACAGTGCTGGGCGGAGGATTTAAGCAGCTTTTCTTGCTAGACTGCTCTGTATCCCAAAAGCTGAAGTAGCAGCTGCTTCTGAATATATTTTATGTGTGATAATTAGCAAAGAAAAGGATGAGATATTACTAAATACAGTCACCCATGTTATCTTTCAAATTCAAGAGAGAAAGAGGTAGTTTTTTCAAATGAACTTGCTGCCTTATTCCCACCCTACTCACAGTTTACACTCACAGGTCACAAAATCATCCAAGACACATCATAGACAATTGTAAAAATCAGCATAAAGTTCTTCACAAAACATTCCCAAATACTCAACTGTTTAATAGAAAATTCACACAGGCTTACAACTTTCACAATTTTGTTGGTTTCCCCAAATAAAACTGCATAAACTTGAATTAAAATCATGCAAGCTTAGGGTTTTCCTCCCCCTCTTCAAAATACTTAATTAGAATAACTTTGCCTAAGCCTTAGTTTCCTCTCTTTGATTGTTTCATCTGCTTTGATGTGAAATGAAAATTATTATCAGAACTTTGCAAAGTTCCCAAGATTGCTCAGTGCCAAAGCACCCATCCAACTTAAGCAAGCAGTCCTAGAATTCCTTCTTCCTTACGGCAACATTAGCATTCCAAGCTACTTCAGTTTTTCATGTGTGAGCATTTCTATAGCTCTGGCTGCTTCAGTGCAACATTCATACCAGATCTCAGCTGGTATTCAACTTCTGTAAATTCAGTGATTTTGAATCAAGCCAGTGAACTCCTTCAGCTCAGTGAGGTAACCTTGCAATGCTCTACACTGACAAAGGAGGACCAATACCCTGTGAGAGTTCCAGCTGCATCACATCTAGAAGCAAGTGCCACACCAACACACTGCACAGATCCTGCCACATTGCTTTTGACTATTTCATGGCTTTTGACTGTTTCATGGCTGCCAGCTACATCCCATGAGCTTCAGAAACAGGAGATAAGAGACTGCATTGTTTCTTATTTATTAGTGTTTGTTACAAGCCTGGAATGGAAACTGTACTGGACAAACTTTTCTAGGAAAATGCTATTTGTTATCAAGCAAGAATTTCAGAGCAAATGACAAAACCAGCAAAATCCCAGTAAGAATCAAAGGACAATTCCAACCTTCTCTTCCTCAAGTCTGCAACAAATGACAGAACATAACTCCTAGCAGATGGGCTGCAGTAACTCCAGAGCTTTCCCATGGTATCAGCCTGCTAACCTCACTGGCTAGCATTGCTTGTGTGTGCTTACAAAGGAGCAGAAGTTTTCTTGAGGGAATGCTGGGGCCAAGAAGGGCAGAAAACCTTCATACATCTAGTGTTTAAGGAAGATAAATCAGGTTGTACCCGTTTAGATACAGGCTAAAAATTGCTTCTACGCTCTCTCTTCGGACAGCCCCAATACACAAATTACAGGGGGGGTACACCTTCAAAACATGTAACCTCCTCCCTCTTTAAAATGTTTCCTGTTCCCTTACACTCCCTTTTTTAGTCCATGCAAAGCTATGCAAAGAGGAAAAAGTAAAGAGCTTTCCCTTGTTTTCTGGTATTGATTTATGTTACAGCCTTTGTCAGACCAACTCAGAAAGAATTGAAACCATCTGTACGCCTGATGGGAACTAACAAAAAGCTGATGAAGTATGACTTCACAAGGTGTCCAGGGCAGACCAAATTTTTCTCAGGAGTCCATATCCCATCCAGTGCAAGCACAGTAACAAGCTGACACTTTGCAGAAACTGCATCTTGTCCTTATATTTCCTCCTAAATACCTCCAGGAGCATATCTTTGGTGCTCTGTTTGCTCTCCTGACCTTTCACTTCCAACAAATAGAGATTAAGGCGTATTTTTTGTGACTGGTGCAATGGCCACATATTTTGGTAATACAGTTCTTTCTTTTCTTTCCCCTAATAAAACAAAAAGTAGGATCTCAGATTTTATGTTTTCTAAGTATTTTATAACATTAATTAATATTATATTAATAATAAATGTTAATATAACGTTAGGCTAAAGGAAAAAGCAAATGAAGGTTGTCAGTGGCCATGTTAGATGGCCAAAGTACACCAAATTCCTAGTTTTTCAGATAATGTCATAATCAGATGCCCTAGCTGGCCAGTATTCCACTGAAATTCAATACTCATTCACACTTCAGTATGGTGTGTAAGACACTTCTTGCCCAGGGCTGTTAGGTCCACACCACCCTCAAACATGCACCTATGCTGTTATATGCAACTTAGTGCAGAACTTTTCCACTACTGCTAGGACACCACAAACAATGATTTCTGTACCCAGCAAACACATGCGACACTTGGGAGAGCTAAGCAAAAAAAAAGCATTTACCAATTTTCCCTTCCTTTGGGTTAACTTCCCTTCTTTCTGCCCACAACAGTAGTGGTTAGGAAACACTTCTTTCCTATTTGTTTTATTGCTCAATCTCTCTCCATAGCACACTTTCTGAAAGCAGTTTCATCTTTCACACTGATTAAATGCAGTTGGACAGCAGGGAGTGTCTGTGATTAAGAGCGTTGCTCAACAGCTGTTGTTGGACAGCTTTGGCAAGGCTCTCCAGGCTAGCTGCAGGGAAGAGTGAGAGGCACAGCACAAACTGGGAGACTGACTTGCACTGAAGGGAAAAGAGTTGCAAACCATCAAAATCCAAATTCAGGCTGAACAAAGGCTTTATATACTTTATCCATCCTTCTCAAGAAAGCTTTTATGTAAACTAAATTAATCATGCATGATAAAAATAAATGATGCTATGTCTGAAACACGGAAACTGGAGAGACAGACGAGATGAGACACAAAAGCCAGACAGAAACAGAACTGCAGATTACAAAAAGGCACAAGGTTTAATTAAACAGCTTATCATGGGACATAGTGCCTTGCAGTTGCTGAAATTAATGTTAACCATCTATGTTCACCTCTCTGGGGCCTTTTACTCACTGCTTCTTGTAGAGAGAAAGAAAAAACCAAATGACACAAACACGTGAACACTGAATGAGTATTCTTAGCATAGGTTTGCTTAAGTCAGAGACACCACACTAAGTCCATCTGCCACCACTACCTGCAAACACCATGAATGTCCAGATATTCAAGAGCCTTTACATCAGGCCATAGAACACCCTCTCAGGACTGCAAATGAAATTTAATTCTCCATGCTAATTTTAGATTAAGATGAAAGGAGAGCTAAGAGAAGCTAACAAGATTTCTCAATTATTTCAAGCATAAAAATCTTTAATCCCTGTTTAAAATGGAAACAAGTGCACTTCGGCAGAAAATAAATGGGACAGTACAAAAGTTCTGCCTCAAATAAAGAGCGATTTGGTTTGACCAGGTAGCTGTGCAGACTTGGTTTCTGACTCTGAAAAGAGGTGTGTACTCAGAGCCATGTCTGTTTTTTTTATTGTCTTTTTTTTTTTTCTACTGATTGGAGCCTTTTCTCTTCCGGAGACTCAGCTGGCAGAACTAAATACTTGGTTGTCTCCTGCTGCTTCAGTCCTTTTTCTGTCTTTCAAAGAACTACACACAAGCTTAAAGAAGCATGACAATTAAATACAACTTCACATAGACAGTAATACAAAGTGTTACCAGCTGGGCACAAAAGACAATTTCTTAACAACAAAATATTGCTCTACTGACCACCCACAGCAGCTAGCATGATTCCTACTATTTAGGACAGCAGTCTACAACAGCTCTTCTTCTGAAAGCCTCTCATGTTCTTAGATACTAGTTTGGATTATTTTATGTTTCTACCAGATCACTGAATAGAAGCATGAAAAAACCTATCAGACCTCCACCGTTTCCTTCAGCCTCCCTATTTAATTTCCTGTGTGCTGGATCAAGTTCAAAAGACAATGTTAAAAATGAGACAAGGCTGAGGAAAGGCCAAATGAGTGGTCCCAAGAATCTCTTTTATCCGTTAGCCACCTAAAATGCTGGCTACACACCTACAGAATGTGAATGGAAGGAATGCTGTGAAAGGTGAAGGGCAAAATATTTACTGAGAAGGGCACAATGAGAGCACTCATGCAGAAAACTGAGATGCTTTGATAGAGTAGAAATCTCTCTCTCAAAAATTCTGTATTTCACGCTGGATTTCATATACCTTCCAATGCTTCAGGATGGGTCAGTGCTATTGATGTAAATATTTAGCATGTCTTGTAATATGAAGATACACCCCATGATAATAAAAAAAGGCCAGAAAGGGATCTTAAATTACCTAGTCCCCTTCATTCCCTTCCTCTAGAGCGTGATCAACCACATCTGTGTGAATCTTTAACATTTATCCAAACTGTTCTCACAGAATTCCAGTTACGGAGATTTCCCAGCCTTCACAATTACTCTGCTCTAGGTTTTCACATTTTCATACCCATAAAAAGTATTATTGCAATATTTTTTAAAAATAAGTAACATTATTTCATCCCATCCACTTAAAATATAGGTAAAAGCCTGTTACTAAATCTGTGCAGTAGCCTTTTTCACCACTTGAAGACGTAAAGTTCTTCCTCCTGCCTTTTTTTTTCCCTTTAGACTTGTTAGCCCCAATTCTTTACCTTGCCCTGTAAGTTAGGTTTAGTAGAATTCTAATCAGTCTTTTTCTTCTTTCCCTCAGAATTCTTCCAATGCACAACTGATTTCCCAAAATTCTGTACTCATACTGGATGCAGTATCTAATGTAAGCCTTATGAGTTCTGAGTAAAGAATGAGAACTTAGTGTCCTCAGCATGCCATTGCTACAAGCCAATATGCTGCAGCTTCCCTTGCCCTCCCAGATGTATCACACAGCTAAATAATAAACATCTTGTGAGACTCTGTTGCTTCTCAATCATCCTCTCAAAAACTGTTTTAGATTCTTGCTGTTTTCATTTGTTAACTATTTCTACCTATTCATATAAGCTCAAATGTGTTCCTATTAAATTGCACAGAATTTTGCCAGTTAATTTTTTCCATTGCCAAGATTATTCTGAATTCTAATTCTGCCTTCCAACACTGTTTTCAGATGACATGAGGCTGGGAAGGATGACAATGTCAGCTTTATAAACATATGGTCTATTGCATCATCCCAGTCATTACTGAAAAGCAGCATTGCAACAATCAAAAGTTGAAATTCTAGCCTAAGAAGCAAGGGTGGAGAAGAAAAACGCTAATCATGAAGTTATTCTCTGTTGTTATGGCAATTACAATTATGTCAGAAAAAGGATGCAAGGAATAAAGTTCATCTGGACAATATTCAACCACTTACTATCAAGGTTAAGGATTTTCAGCGCTTTCAAAGTATATCTCTGAGGAGGTGAGAAAGAATACTGACATTTGGATAAAGGACTTCATTCTTGATATACTCCCTGTATAACAGTTTAGCACTTCTAACCAAAACATTTATTTTACAAGAACGAACTGTCTGAACGTATAATTGGAGGAAGTAAAAGAATGGTTTTACTTGGCTGTTGATTAATATAACGTGTTTGGTATTTTTTGTCTTTTCTCAACTCAATAACGGATACATGTGAACAGAAAAATGTTCAGCAAGAGCTTAATAACTAACATAGCACTAAACACTTCGACTATTTAATTATTACTGGTTTTAATTGCTTGATATTTTTAATGTTTCTTGGTTTGGAATCCCATCTCAGTTAAGTACATGCTCCAAATTTGACCAAGGAGATCCACTGCTTCCTCTGGCTAACCACATCAACAGCACTTTAAATCTGTACAACTGTTTTACTCCATTTCTGTAAGACATTCACACACACTTCAAGCTTCTAGGCTAATAAAGCAGAGTTGATTTTAAACCCCAAATCGACTGCAGCTAATGAATTTTCAACATCCAAAGTGAGAGATTACCTCAGACTCGGTAATGGTGTTAAAACACCCTGCAGATTTCACTGGCCACTTTCCTGTCACTGTTCCTTAATAATTTTTATTTTGTATTTTTAAACAGATTAAAGATTTTCTCAATGTATTCAGCAAACCAAAGCATACAACAGAAACATCAAACAAAGCTACACCGCTAATTCACACACTTTTCAGAAGTGTATAATAGTAAATTCCTTCCTTGGACATACAACACACAGAACAAGTAACTGCCAGATAGTCATCTGCTTGTTTTTCTTGGCAAAGGAAAGTCTAACAAAAATTTTATGCAAAAATGTAAGACAACACTACAGTCACTAATCACACCTAAAACCTGTCAGGAAAATACTGAAAAGTGTTCTCCATTTCTTTTTCCTTCCATTCCTCCTCCTGTTGAACAGGTTGTTGGTAAGAATCCTCCTCATGTCAGACTGGAAAACAATCCTGAGGGCATTCTGCTTGGCCACCTTTCTCAGCAATTCTCACACCATGCATGAAATATGCCTGTGAGGGGCATCAGGAGACAACTGTGCTATGCACTCTAGTGAACAGTGCACAAACAGAAGGGTGTTGGCTCTGCACGGCAGGGGTGGACTGCATCACCTCCAGCCTGCATGTACTCAGCCTGGTGTCTCAGCCAACAACCAGGGGAATCACAGACAGCATGTCTTGCTTCTGGATGTCACAGGTTAACTACACTCTTCTCTTAAGAACTGTTTGCTAGCATACAAAACTCAATGTTTTTAAATCCCTAAATAATGAAGTTAGAATGCTAACAATAAGAGCAAAACAAAAGTCATCAAGAGTTCTTCCTCTAACCAACTGTTCTTCTCACAGGTATCTTTAGAAGAAGCTACTACCAAAACTACAGACCAAGCTCAGTACAAATGCAAAAAGTCAAAACATAGGCTGTTCTTGAAAAATACAAGAGCAACCTAAGCATGTAATATTTCCCTCATCCTGTCTGCTTCTCTATGGAAAAATCAAACCATAGAGTTTGAGCAACATGCGAAAATAGAGAAAACTCACTGAGTTTAGGTGATGATGGGAATGGTCAAAATACTATTCTGAGAACCTATTCATTTATCTACCTTGAAGAATACTGGTTATTTATCTGCATAGTTTGAATGGCTCATCAGAACAATTTTATACAAGGAGGTAATAGACCAGAAATCCCTAACCAAATTTTAAAGTAATTTGCTAGGCATCTTCAGTGTTTTAATTCATTCTTCTGTTTGATAAACTTTTATTATCCATCTCCACCTCCCTCCAGGGTCCTAACACTTCTCACTTGCCAAAAATCTTGTTTCAATTCCAAGTAACACACACATTTCAGAAAAATTTTTATTCTTTTGACAGTTATCTAACTTCCACCCAGGGGAAACTCTGGCTGTGTATCCTTATGGTATAACCCAGCCAGAATCTACAGGGAAAGATGGAGGAAAGGAAACACCAGCACTAGTACAAAATGACAGTTTGGTGGGTTACTTCTGGACAATTCCATCAGCTTTCATGCAGAAAGTGAACACCTACTCCCTAACCCATAAACATTGGAGAGTACTTTTCCTTTACAACAGTAACTCTGTGGTGATCACCAGTCTGAAGCCAGCATGAAAAGCAGATGGTATGCTTTCAGGAAGGCTGAGATGAATATGAAGAAAAATTCTGTGCATCACTATCAAATTTTATGGAAAATAAAACTTTCATTTTAAACTGGGTCAAATCTTTGAGCAAACTCCAGAATAGAGGGGATCAAAATGGTTTCAACTTGTCACAAACAATCTCTTCATGACCTATTTGATTTAAACAATCACTCCTGCTCTCCCATGGTATCAAGATATTTTCTCTATTGCAGACAGCTATTTTTAAGAGACTGAGTATTTCCATGCCTCTTCTCTGACGGTACTAACGATTAATCTTGGGTGCTAACTCACACTAAGGGACAAATCATCTGCTCTCAGCATAAAGCAATGTCTGGGAAACTTACCTTATCACTGTCTAGCGTGTTCTGGGAGGTTCGTGAGGCAATTGAAATAGTATCAGGCTGGCTGCTGCCATCTCCCTGACTGTCCAGGTCCTCGCCATCTCTGCAAAGAATTCAGTTCTCATTACAAGAGTGGCACTGTGTTTGTAACATGCTAGTAAAGGAAGTGAGACACTCCCAGTGTGGCAACAGACACCAAATTCACTGATGCAAGAATCAAATACTCAGTACTTAATACTCTTTTCTCAACTGTAAGAGAAGAGATTAATTTGCAAGGTATACATCATGTAGAATTAAGGCAACAACCAGTGAGCAAGAAATATGCCAACAAACTTGCCCAGTCACTTAGTCAAAGCTAGCAAGGAGGACACTTGGTGACACATTTCAAGCGTCAAAAAATGAAAACAAAGGACCTGTGTAACACATGGAGAACTACAAAATCTAAAATGTACAGCTATTCTGTACTGTAGTTTGAAATCCCTTCTGTAATGCCTCATTTACACAAGCCAGGGACTGTTCAGAGCAGATTCTTTTCTCAACTGTAAGAGATTAATTTGCAAGGTATACATCACGTAGAATTAAGGCAACACCAGTGAGCAAGAAATATGCCAACAAACTTGCCCAGTCACTTAGTCAAAGCTAGCAAGGAGGACACTTGGTGACACATTTCAAGCGTCAAAAAATGAAAACAAAGGACCTGTGTAACACATGGAGAACTACAAAATCTAAAATGTACAGCTATTCTGTACTGTAGTTTGAAATCCCTTCTGTAATGCCTCATTTACACAAGCCAGGGACTGTTCAGAGCAGAAATCTCAACAAATTCAGCACTGCAGGAAACTTTAAATTAATGATAAGATAAAAGTGGACAAAATGACTCTTGCTTTTGTCCAATTCACTTAAAAGCATACAAAATTCAACACTCCAGAGGAAAGAGCACTATTGTACACTTAGAGATCTCTGATTATTTGAAATACTACTTACCTTCTTCCTTTCTGTTTTGTTGTTGGTGCAGTTTTGGGAATGTGGATGGGCTCTTTCAATGCTCCCTTCAGATGAATAGTCCTTTCTTGTATCACTTCCCGGATGTGTTTGATCCAGTCCTGTTTATTCTCTATACTGGATGCCTTTGATATGCAAAAGAAACAAAACCCCCACAAAGGACCGTTGTGACTGAGTAGATCCACACATACAGTCAGCTAATAAACACAAAGAGGAATGCATAAAGAATGACTTTGTGAAAAATTTCTGAAAACCTGAACAGATAAAAGGAAATTCTAGCTGACTGTCTTATTTTGAATTGCCAACACTGCTTTACAACATTATTAATATTAGTAATTTAAAAAAAAACATTTTAACCTTAATTCAGAGTTTACTTTTTTTAACTTGATGACTAAAGCCCTGTACGCATCTCATGAAAATGAGATGAATTCCAGTAATAACTTTGAGAATTCCAGTAATAACACCTTGAATACTGGTATTTTAAACTCACCCTACATTTTAGGTCAATTCTAACTTGAAAGAATAATAATCTGCTATTACTGGCAAAAGAAGTTAACTTTTACTGCAACATATTTCATGTATTACTCTTCCCACATTTTGATACATACCTCCAGGCACAAAGCTAATTTAGGGATTGTATTCTAATTACTGCCTGCAACATATCTATTTTTTTAATACTCCAGAAATTACTTGATATCCACCTGCCCAACTTATAATCTGATTGCTTAGCCCAATTTAACCCTGCACCTGAAATGCTACTAAATATAAATATTATTGCAGATCTGAAGAAATTATTATATATAGTTTCCTTAATTATATACTACTTCTCTTAATTGTTGTCTCCTGAAATAACTTGCTTCAAATATATTATAAATATTTAATACATTATAAATATATAATAACCAGGAATTCTAAAGGGATGAAGAAAATTGTAGGAACACATGGACAGGTAGGAAAAAGAATTTTGTTTTCTTTTACAAACAAAAACATTTAGGAAAAGAAGCTAAACATGAACTTTAAAAAAATCTTTTATTTAGTTTTTCATGGAATTTACTTCTACTATTAATGAGGTAAGGAAGTGCTTGTTTCCAGCCTTCAAAACCAAAGAAACAAACACAGTCCACAAAATTGTGAAAGAGCTTGATGTATCATGGAAGTCTTTAAAATATCCTATGCAATAAGTAAAGTACAGAACAGAAACACCTTAAAGCAATCTTATGTGGAGAACCCTTAATTAAAACCTTTTATTCTGCTCTGCCCTGGGAGGATCATTTCAGGCTGCAAAGCATTGTCTGTGAAATTATGGGAACATTAAAAACTGAAAGAAAATCTAGTATGCATTAATGTTACATTTAATTTCCTTGCATTCCTTGACTGCTGCCAAAAAGCTAATGTAAGCTTTTGTTAGCTTGTAATTCACAAGGAAGAATGTGACATGTGAATTGAAGAGGCCATTTTTAAATGACATTATTCACTATTCACTATGAATATATGTGAAATCACAAACAAGTTTAATAGTAGGTGCATTAATCTATAAATGGGAATATGTACTTTGTTTCAGTTCAACAGAGCTCCTCAAAACATGCCAGATTACCCATTAGCTGCTTATGGTATTATAAAACAGGTTCTTCAGTAGAAGGAGTCCTAGGTTACACACCATAATCACAGAAAACACTGATTTAGTCATTCTTCTAGCTAGGCAAACAGCACTACTGACACCTGTAACTTGCCCAGACACAAAATTTATATACATTACATGCACTTTCTTCTAAAGGCAAGTAGCTTCAGAGAAACTTGCAGCCCACAGAAAGACATAAAAATCTTTTGCAATGTTTGTTTGCTGCATAAAAATATGGGTAATGAAAACCAGCATTGCCAACAAGCAGCGATGACTTGACTGTCAAAGGTAACACTGATGCCATCATTTCTTTGTGACACCAGTTCCCTGCAAGCTAATTGCTGAAGTCTTCAAGCTTAGGGAAGTCCATGGGATCAAACGTCTCCCTACTATGATTTGTGAAAGCAGGTTTGTCTACTTCTTCAGTAGGCTGCAAAGATTCCCCTCTGCTCTCTGGCCACATGAGTTAGATATATATACACCACCACCTCTGCAATCCCAAAGAAAATTATTTGTCAGCAGCTGTCCTTCTCAAAGCAGGTAATCATTCCTTGCTTTCCCAACAAATAACTACAAGACTTGCTATAGAGACTAAAAGCACATCTGCTAAAATTACCTTGAGAACAATTTTGTTGTCTGAAGTTGGCGTCCTTCCAACCCACAGAGCAAACTTGCAGGGGTCTCCTTCTACATGTTCTGTGACACCCAATTCAGAAGTCTGGAATGAAGAAAAAATTGTTAGGACCACACAGCATTTTTTCTCAGAAGCCAACAAAGGCATGCTAATAATCTACAAAATTGAGCACTACTATTTAAAGAGATTTTCAGAAGCTTAAAGCTAGCTCATATGCTAGAGAGAATCCTTTATTCTGGTGGGCAGTATGAGGTCTCTTCAAAAAAAGAAGAACTGCAAGCTTAACAGTCTTTTCTTTAAAGTGACAATAAACAGTAACACTCACAATCTGAATACTGAATTGCTTATTTTAGTTTTTGGACTTGACAGTAAAAGCCTTATTGCTCTAAAGAAGATGCTTGGCAAAAAGTAAGTTTTGGCTTCTCTCCCTGTTAATTTCCATTGGAGAACACTCATTATTTACTGATTTTTATGCTCTCTCACAGATAAGATATGCTTAAGAATTCTCTTGATATCTTCTAAAACTCTGGTTTCTTTTCAGTCAAATGAGACTTTCCTAGTGTGTTTCCTTCCTTCTAAAACAGATGAAATAATTCAGAAATGCAGTTTCCCTGGAGAATTTTGTGAGACAACTACATGAACAATCAGTCTTTGGGAATGTTCTAATGTCAGACCTTAATAGCTAATTATCATCCAAAATGTTTTCACTTTCTGACTGGAACATCTCATTCATGTGAACTGGCTTCCACTTTAAACAATTCATAGAGGCTCTGTTCCAAAAAAATTTACAAAGAAATAGAGCTCAAACTAAAAGAGCCCTCACTCCCCAACAGCTGCCAAGTATTCTCACATGATTAGAAGCTGTATTTTTCCATCATGCATCATCATTAGCATATACACACCTCTACACATGGGATGCTGGATATCCAATACCTGAGTAAAAGTACTTTTTTTCTTGTCTCACTTGGATGCCAACTTGGCTTTTATTTTCTGTGTGTGTGGGTGAAAGCTTTTTAGTTATTTTTTTTCTTCTAAAGTAATCCCATCCCAACATCTAACCTTCCACACACAACTGTCTTTACCCAATAGGCAGTAGAGGAACACGGCTCTCTGCAAAGGACGCCGAGTCTGCATGTGGCTCTCCAGGACAGGCTCACAGAGCAGAAATCATTGTGGGTTACTGGACTGAGGTGAGGAAACTCCCAAACATCCAGTTACTGGTGTGTGTGTATATGTATATGTATCATGCCATTGAGTATCCTTTGCTGGGAAAACCCTGACGGTCATCATGCCCAAAGCAAAGAGAAGGACCTAATTTTTGTAAAGCCACCTTCCAGAAGTCACAGGATAGCATACAAAAAGGATCTTTAGCTCAAATCAACATGCATGCTTTCAACACATGCCTTTTCTAAAGATCAAATTGTAAGAGCTACTATAATAGTAAGCTACACTATAGGATATTTAGCCAGATAGAATATGACAACAAAAAGAATCCTTATATTTCAAAAACTGAGGTACAATGAGAGTCTTCAAGATTTCCAGCAGCTTCTCTAAGACCTAAGGCTACTCCTAAATTCCTGTTGGAGGAACTGATATGACAATTTAACAGGACTGACTTTCCAGTTTTGTCGCCTCTCCCACATAATCCCTTGGCAGCTATTAATATTCTCCAATACACCAGCATTTTTTTTATTTTGGGTTCTTAAGAGCAGCAAAGAAAGGTGTGATCAACAAACAGCTGCAGCTGTGTTACCTGCTAGCTATTTAGTATCAGGAAGGAAAGCAAGTGTTGGAAATGGAGTGACAGAATATGCAAAGAAAGATATGGAAAAAAAGAGTTGGTTTTTTTTTCACCAACCTGTTTTACCAGTTTAGACACAGAAGTGGGAAGTGGGAATGAATGAGGGAAAAACAACAGAAGCACAGAGAAAAGACTCAGTATTTATACCATCTAGACTTAGTCATATATTCCAATAGGATCAATACAAGAATACTGTTTTCTAGAGTGTAGTTCTGAGATGGGAAGTAATTTCAACTACTTGCTCTGAACTATTTGGTATAAATGCTAATCTTGCCTTCAACAGATGCAGAGCAAACCATCGGAGACTGTCTTGCCACTTGGCTACCTAAATTTACAGAGTGTGAATATTGCTCTCACCCAAGTCATCCGAGGATAGGAAGGTAAGGATATGAATTCCAGAGTCACATTTTGTAAAGCATGCATGCTAGAGATAAGGAAAGCAAGAGTGGAAGTTTCGGGGTTGGTTTGGGTTTTGTTTGTTTGGTTTTTTTGTTTGTTTGTTTTAAAAGATGGAAAAAAATGGGGTTGGTTTGGGTTTTGTTTGTTCGGTTTTTTTGTTTGTTTGTTTTAAAAGATGGAAAAAAAATACATTTCCACCTTTACATCCTTTCAGTAGACCATAAGTACTACAATTCTATATGCAAAAGATGGCAAAAAAATACATTTCCACCTTTACATCCTTTCAGTAGACCATAAGTACTACAATTCTATATGCAGAACTTTATTGTAAGACTACTGGTCTCAGCAAACATTCTGGAATGAACTTTTCCAAAACAAAGTTCTTGCCTTCCCCAATCAGTGGGTGTAGAATATCCACTAAAACAAATCCTTAACCCAATAGTGAACAAGAAAGTTGAAGGCAGCTCATCAACTCCTTCCATCCTTCTGCTTTATACATATAAGTGTTAAAGAATCTGCAATCAACACACAATTAAGATAAAACGAGTCTAGCCCAATATTGATTTTCATTTGACCTGACACACCAAGACTGAAATGTACCCTTCAGCAGTTGCTTTGAGCCTATCCTTTCTACTCAAAAGCAAGACAAAGCACCAAATTTTAAAGGTTCGGTCTATACATTCCAAGGCTGTTCTTTCAGTGCTCTGTAACAGTTGTTCAGGTTTTTCAGACACACTTAAATCACCTGAGCTCAGCTGAAGACTAATCTAGACAGTTTTGTAAATATGATCAGTTGTTCTCCCATACTTACAAACAGTTTGCTCTTGTAAATGTACTTGCTCCTTCCGCTCGAGTCCTTCACTTCTTTACTGAAAACCAAGGACATCTCAAAAAGGAAAAGGTGCCTCTCTCTTCCCTTTCGAATCAGAGTTTTTGGGTCCCACACTTGGAAGGATTCTTGAAGGATGAGCTCTCCCTGAGATTCTATATTTTCATCAAAGCCTAAAAACAGAGTGAAAGGAAAGATTCACCATGAAAAGTTGGTAATGCAAGTAGCATAAAAAGTACAGCTTCTGTTCATTAACCTATATGATTTTTTTCTCCCTGACAATTTCCAAAAGATTCCAAGAAAACAATACTAAAAACAAGACTTGATTTTAATGCTGCAATATACTAAATGTAGCTGCAGCTCAAGTGCACTTCCAAATTTGGACACCCAACTGTTAAGAACTTAATCAACTCTTCTGGCACTATTTTACCAACAAATGACAAATCTGTCAGATTCTGGTAACCTCTTCTGTGATGAAAATGATTTCTCTTATGAGCTTTCTGCCACTGTAGAAAGTAAGCAATTTGCAAAGACACAGAGCACATCAGGTTCTTCTGAGAGAGGCAAGCTCCGAAATGCCACCTTTTCTGGAGGTACACCTTGTCTACCATGTGGGCAATGAGCACAGAAATGTGTTCCAACTGGGGATGGAGAAACATGGCAGCTTGGAGCTGTTGGCATACAATCAGCCCGCCATTGGTCATGCCAGAATTGATCCACAGTAAAGTAATTACCAGCTGGACCACTAGTATTGAGACATAATGAAAAAAAAATGAAGATGGAAAACACCAACAATTTTGCTTCCATTATAATGGTACCATGCTCACCCAGTTTAATATACAGCTTTAGAGCTGGAGGATAACAAAAATTGTCTACTATACTCTTTTGAGTGGTATCAAAATGTATTTTAAATAGATACTGCTTGCCAGTTCTCATATTCTGAACAGAGCAAGAGTATGGAGAGGATCAGAGGCAAGTTCCGCCAGGATGTTCATTCAAATTCCTCTGGAGACATAAAGAGGAAATGTGCTCACTCACTATATTTGTCCAACATGGGATGACTCAACAATGCACGCACTATTTGTTGTAAAACCAACTTAGGTAAAAGATTAGGATATTCTCCAGAGTCACATTCCCAGTGTTAAAAGATTATTACCAAAGCTGGTCAGCCTTTATACCAAGACCACCTCCAAGACAAGCATTTGGAAGTGATCCTGTAAACTGACCAACATCCTTACTGCTTAAAATCAAGAAACAGAGGTGATTTGGGGCATTTATACGATCAAGGATCACGTCATACCAAGGCAAATTTTACACTACCTAGTACAATATTGGAAGTTCCACAACAAGCTGCATGCTACTACCAGAAGGCAGAGAGGAAGAAAAGGTGTATTGACTAGAAAAAGCATTTATTCAGCAACTATTGGCTAAGAGGGCCCTGCTTTTTTCTCAAAAAATTTAAACACGCAAGAAAAACATTTTTATCACTAAATGTATGACTGCACCATTATAAATGATAATGTGCCAATTGCAAAACAGATTTTGGCACAAAGTTGTTCTAAGCACATAGATGCATTACATCCAACCTCCACTGTCTGCCATGAACATGATTATACTGGCTTAAGCTTGGGCTAAATTGGCTTATGCTGACATTTGACTGCCAGAAGATAAATTTCAACCAGAAGTCTGTTGTGGAACAGGCAGCAAACAGATGTGAAAAGGACAAACTTCTTGAAGACAATTATTTGATACATAAATCATCAAAATCACCAATAATACACTTATGAACCTCATACAAAGAAGCTAAGGTTGGAGAATGCAGCCAAAGCCAGCATATCTGACCAGTCACCTATTGCATTTTGGCTAAGTAGTGGACTACTTTCATTAGCCTACACATTTTTCACATCTGCAGTGGCACAACTACAGATCAAGGTGAAAGAACAAGTCAAGAATTACTAAAACTCCAGCAGCTGAGTGTAACAATTTATTTTCCTAAATAAATTTTCATCTCCTATAGCCCTGCCAAAATGGTATGAAAAATACAAACCCTGATAAAAGAACATGTTCACAAAACAAAGTTAATCTGCAGCACAAAATGAATTGGAAAGGCAGCTTGAATCCTACCTTCCAGCATGCTGAGATGCATGGCATCATTGGCTCGCTTTGGCACACTAAGCATCACCTCCAGGCCATCCTTAATCTCACCTTTACCTTCTTCACAGCACGTGAGCAGCTCCTGCAAAAGACAAGCCAACAAAATGACTCTCTATCATTTGTTTTTACACTAATAAGACAGACAACCAAAGAGTAGTTATAACAAACCAAAAATCATTTTTGACACATGAAATATTTTTGAACTTCTTACTCTGCCAATGACATGACTGTGTACTTTGTTTCTATCATGATCATCAGTTCTTCAAGGAGCAGCCCAAGCTATCAGCTAATGACTTCTAATTTAAAGATTTCTTATTAAGCAGATAAACCTGTTTAAAAGTTATGTTAAGAACAGAACTTTTTTTGATAAGCACAGAGTTATCAGATGCTGTGCTACATCAAGGCCCAGAACAATGCAGATGCCAAGTCATGAAAATGGGGGAAAGCAGGGCAGCACAAAAGGACCTTCCCACCTCCCTTGTCAGTCATCACTCCACTGCACTAAAAACCTGCTCTGTACAACTGCTGATAAAGAGAATTTATATTGCTTTATTGTAAGTATTCCATTAATGACTATTCTGTGTTCACAAAGTTAAAAGCAACCTACTGACAAAATTTTTCAGTACAAACTAGCATCAACTAATGGACAGAAGTTAGAGAATTTAACATGCTGAAGTGTTGTAGCAGAATTTAGGGCATACAGTTCTCTGTCCATTCAACATCCCACAGATTTAATGGAACAGTGTCTGAGCTGATATTCAAATTTCCCGGCAGCTTTCAACATTTGAACAGTATCAAGATAAAATGTAGGTTACATAACCAAAAGGGCATATTATGTTCCTTCTGTTATTCAAAAAGCCCACTTAATTCATTCCCTCAGGTTAAATTCCTTTTCCCCTTTTTAAAGAGAAAGCCATGTGACTTCTGTTATGATCATTACAATATTTTTATTCAACTGCCAGTACCACCATTACAGCAAAACACTACATGATCCCACCTAAATTTTGCATGACAACTCCACAGAACAGTGAGAGTAACTAAGTATCTCTCAGAGGCACAGAAGAGGAGCAGCTTCAATACCATTTGGAAAAACAAATGAAACTTCCAGAACTGTAAAATGTTTCATTTATCATTCAAGTTTTAGGCTCTTAATCCTATTATGCTATACATCTCTCTCCTATTACAGAAAAAAATAAGAAAAAAAAAAAAGGAAAGACAACCCAAAAACCCAGCAACCACCAGACAAATCCATTTTACTACACAGCAAAGACATCTGGCTCTGCAAACACTGGTAAAACCAATGTATCCCACCACTTCCATAAAGTTGCAGGCTAAAGCATATTAATATTAAAAATAATAATAATTGTTGGAATTAATTCCTCAGAATTTCTGAAACAGCACAGCCCAGACTATTTCTGTAATAATAACTTGACTAAGTTGCAACTCCTTGCAAGTGGAAAACAGACACTAAACTTCAGTCAAAAATGACAGACTTGTTTCCACCCAACGCGACCTGAAATAGCCTCTAATATTTTGCAGAAATGTCAAAAGCAATCACACATGGCTGTTCTCAAGTAAAAAGGGGAGACACAGATCAGTTTCAGTGCTTTTGTAGGCTGCTATAACAAAACAAGCATTGCCACCTAACAGCGACCCAGCACAGTCCAAGAACACTGCTGCTCACTCGAGAAGACATCTGTCCACTGAGTGAAAGTTCTAACTACAAGGTTCCAAAAGCTGTGCTTATTTCGCAGCTACTATTTACCTGACATTTCCAGGCAACATAACAAATAAAAACTCTTTGTGCAACAGCTCTACAGGTACAGTCCCTATGTGTAAATATTTACCGATACACACAGACATTTAAACGCCTTATAGATATTTTGTATAACAATTTTATATATAAATATCTATTTTACAGTATTTAATACCATCAGCATAGCTAATGCCTTGCCAAAATTTGGTGTAGAAACCATTATAAAAATGGTTTTATAGCCATATAGCCATGAATTACTTTTTTACCCTGGAAATGCAAATTATATTTTCTAAGTAAACATCAGTAGACAGGTAATCTTTTTTTGGTTTACAGAAATCTGGACAAAAAGCTGCTTGTTTATGCCTTCTTTCATTTTCAGTTGAAATTTTGCAGCAGTATTTGTGGCTGCCCAGGATGCTGGAGTCTCAGAGAGTAGAGTAGAACAACCCCCCTGATTTTAGCAAGAGCTTTGCCTTCTTATAACAAGCAGAATCAGATGAAGCACTCTGAATTAATACTGACCTTTAAAAGAAGCTGGTATTTTGTTATCCTTTGGACAGGTTTGATAAGGTAAGAGGAGATAGAGTTGGCCAGTCCATGTCGTTGTTGTATCTCCTACATGGAAAAAACAAACATTTGAGGACTGTGAGCACCAACACTCAGATATAAACTGTTTTGAGGGATATGAAATATTCCAGGCACAATAAATCATTATGCTGTGCATCTCACTTGGTACAAACAGACAATTACCTCTGAGAGTACCTGTGAAACCTTTCAACAAACCAAAATACCAAGAGCAATGATTAGGGACACGGAATGTGTGGTAACACCATTTTTAAAAAACATTAAGATCCGTACTTCTTTTGCTACTTGCAAGAGAGGAAAACCCTTCACATTTCAGTGTTTCTGGGAAGAGGCACGAGTACCAGGAAGGCAGAGGTAGAGGTTTCTCAGCACACCCTGCTATTTCAGTGCCAACAGCCACAGACGGCCTCATCCCCCACCAGAGGGAGCAGCAAGTAACAGTTTCTGAGGTTACCAAGCACTTGAAAACAAAACAGCCACTTACAAATAGAAAAAGGAACGACATCCACAAAGCTAAAGGTGGAAAACGGAATTATCTGATAGCTAAATGGGATGGTTACAGACTTCGGGTACTGATTGCGGCTGAACCGCACTGATAGTGTCTGCCATTTATCACAGCATTGGATCTATTTAAATCAAGCAATTTCAAACAGCAAGTTATGCCCCACAGTCTATGTGCCATCAAACCATGATTACAGTATCAGAAATTCCCAAAATGGGATACACACAATATTTTCACATGAAACGGTGTTGTCATCAGTGGAAGCGCTCAAGTTATCTGTGCACAGAATTAAGCCTTCACACTTCTAATATACTTTAGGTGGATTAGGGGATGGAGAACTCTGGATATAGTGGTAAAACAAACGGATCAAAGGAAGTGGTGACAAAAATTTATTTCTAATAGTTTTATCAGAGCCCTGTATTATTTTTTAAATGGTATTTACTAAATTTTTCTTGGTTACATCTACCTGATTTTCTGTAACTCACCTGCTTTTCTTCAAACACTGAAAACTTAACAGAGGCTTCACAGAAAAGCTTTGCCTTACAATGTTCAGAAACCTCATTTCCTCAGTGATTAGATTTTTGACATTAACCTCAAGGGCTTCAGGGATTTCCTCTACTTCCCTCTACTTGTACAAACAATTTAAAAAAATTGTGGTGTCATTACACAGCTAGTGGCTCAGCTGGGAAAAAAAAAATGGAAAAAGACAGCACTCTAATTGAATAATCTATTAATACAAGATACCAAAACTCAGTCACCATGGCCAATATTCTCCCTAAAACTTCTAACACACCTACATTTTTGCTGCTTTTTTATGCAGAATATTACATGTGTAGACCATGCAACCATGGGACTGACTAAGGAGGTTCAGCCCTTCTGAATGACAGCAGTGAAATGAATTACCACTACATGGAATTACAGTTTAAAAGCGCTCCAAAAATTCAACCAACATTTCTATCTCTATTACATACAATGCAAAGTAAGCACATCAAAATGCTAAGATTTGCAGGATGTGCTTGTGTGAGCTGAAGATTCATGTCTCGGTTGTTGTTGCCAGAACCTGCTTCCAGTTCTGAACTGCTCTGATATTTGACAGCGACTTTTCACATCTGATTTGACAGCTCTGTAACACCAACTGAGCAATGGAAGTTAACCATGTGAGATACAGGATTGATTTTCTTGAGCTGACAGCTTAATAAATTGCAGTGTTATTAACAGGAAACTTGCATTTTCTTAAAAAATTAGGCACTCAGCAGAACCACAAATATGAGTCAAACAGCCAAGGTGTTTTAGCTTTTAAGACGGACACGAGGTACTTACATCAAAGTATGCTCCCGCATGTTCTAATATCAGCTGAGTGGAATCTGGCTTATTTTTACAGTAGGTAACGTACATCTGGAATTTGTCTGCCTGCAGAACAAAACGCAAATTTTCAAAGGTTATCAGAGAGCATCATTCCTGTCTCAAAGTTTTTAGGCCATTATCAGAGAGCTTATCTTCCCTATCAAGAAACTGAGCTGTACAGCATTATATTTCCACTCAAACTGGCAGTGTAAAAATACACATCAGGCAAGCAAGACTGAAAACAACAGCAATGTATATAAAACCAGGTTATTCAAAGCTAAGACAAACCAAATCTGCACACAGGTTTAGACAACTTGCATACACTTCAAGAGCAGCTAAGGACTGGCATCTGACAGGAGTGCCCTATTATTGTTTTCTCAGTTAAAGATACACGTTTTACTTAAATTTGCAGGATGAGGTACTTTTACAAATCAAAAAGGGATCTGAGAGCAAGAATTCCTCCCACCATGCATCCTATCCCCCTCTTCTACTTCTAAACATAAGTCTGACTTCATTACCCAAGTAACGAAGCAATGTCCAACATCTTCTGGTAACTGTTCATATTTTTCCAACTCCTTGAGAAATATACTGTGGGTAGAAAAGAAACAAGCAGAACAAGGCATATGAAACATGTTCATTACAGCAACTTGTTTGGATCTATTGTCTGTGGAGAAAGACCATTAGAAAACTTTCTGTAATACCAAATGTATGAGCTAAGGAAATAAAGATAATGAATAGATAAAAATGTGTAATAAAAGTACTAACACAAAACATAATTCAATAAAAATTCTGATGAGAAGATCAGAAATTGAACCAGTGGACATGTAGTTAATATATAAGAATACACAAAAATGTAGTAATTGCTGTTGTTCTCTATCAAGAAGGTTTCCTACTGTTTTCAGTCTCAAGAAAAACCTTAATCTCAATTTAAAAAAAACAAACACAAACCTTACTTTTTGGATACTCAAGTTTTCAAGTTAACACAAAGTATACAAAGAACTGTAAAATCGGGGTCTGAGATATGCGAGGTATATTTTATTATTTCAAAGAATCATAACCCAATACAAATGTGGACACAACCAGGAAATAACAAAGAAGGAAGATTCAGAGCAAGACTTCTGTACACAGATCCCCCCAGGAACCACTTCATTCAGAAGAAAAGGAGTGGACAAGTCTCTTTTATGCTCTGTACTCCAGTAAATGTAAAGATGCTGGAGCATCTCCACACAAGCTAAGAAGAACCAAGAAGAGCTGGGAGCCCTACTCTTTCCCACTAACAGCTGCACTAATGTTTGTGCTATGTTTGTATTTTATTGAGTTCGATAGTTTTCATCTCTTTTGAACAACTGATAAACCTACAACAAAATTTTGGTGTATCCAAAAAAATCTCTTATATGCTGAAATATGCCTGGACTGAAATATATAATTTCTAAGGTGTACATATCTCTCTGCAAAAAGCAACAGCTGAAATAATTTAGCAATGCAAGAGGAAAATCTTGCATTTTTTTTCTAATGGGAAAGCATTTATTATTGAAATACACAGTATTTTCACTAGGAAATCCCGCAGGTCATCATTTGGATTTAGCAGTAGTATGGAAATGGAAGATAAGTCACTCACTTATTGTGGAACTCATAAATTTCCTGCATGTTTCCGAAGATAATGTGTTCTTTGTTTACAATACCAGGTGGGATCTCCTCAACTCCACTTGTCATTTCCCATAGATATGTCTGCCCAGAAAAAAAAAAAAGATGTGTGAAAAGTGATGATAGACTCCCAACAGATGCAGCCAGGTACCTGTAAGTATGCATTCCTGGAGAGAAACCAGGCAAAAATCACACAGCAGCATCATCTCCAATTGTGACAGTGCCTCTTGTGTCAAATATACCTTGTGATTTTGACAGTGAAATACAAGGTCTAAAACTGACAATTTAACATAGTCCCTGAGACTTCATAATTTAAAATGCATAGTGTTCTTGACAACCTCTAATGCTTCAGGATATTCCTTATCAAGGTCATGTCTGCAGTCTAGAAGTTCATGCTTTGTGCAACAGCTACCATTGAACATTAGTTGCTTCAGCATAACAATTACTGGGCACTTTTCCATGGAATCTCACTGAATTTCTATTCAGTGTCAGCTAGTAGCAGAACATGTGATACAGATAATAAGAGAATTAGCACAAGCTCTCCCCTATTGCTAGCAAAGCAAATAAAGTAAACCCCTCCTTTTTCCCTCCTCTCTCTAAAACAAAAGCCCCACACACAATTATGAATTGGAAAAGAAACAAATACTGAAACTCAGTACCAACAAAAGTGAAACATATAGGGTGAATTCTGAAATGGCAGTTATCAGACGTAATTCTACATTTCTTCTTAACAGCAGTAAGATTACTTAAGTTGATCTTGTGATTCCAAACCAATCATGCTCAGCTGTTAAAAGCAGAAAAAAACCACAAAGCAACAGATTGAATCCTGCCTTCAAAGATTAGTGAAAAAAAGAAAACTCACATCCATGCATTCCCGGAGGTCTCTTACGTAAGCCTTTTCTGTCTGAATTAGCTCAGCCATAATGAACCTTAGGTGACAACAGAAAGAATAATCAAATCTCAGTCTGTTAGATCACTGTGAATGCATAATAACCAGAATACATCGTTCTCCTCATCAGCTTTTGCTTTTCCACTGCAGCAAGAAAAATCTAAGAAGTGAAATGTGAAGAGAGACAACAGAGGAAGGAAACATACGAGGTAACATCCCTCCGTTACTAACTAGGACAAAAAGAAATGGGGAAGGAGATGGAATTTTTTCTCTAACACTTTTCACTGCTATAGTCATTTAACTTTTGTCTTGCTTAGCCATTTATTCCACATTATTTCTAAGAACAAAAAAAGCATGATAAAAGAAAAAGAACAGTTTTGAAAGTTTAAGATTCTGTCATGCTGGAATTATCTACGAGAACAAGCATGTGAATAAATGGCAATAAGAGATACTGAGTACTATCATTCTCTTTTTACCATTTATATGATTTCTAAGCTGCCAGACAAGCCATGGCAGTTTTTTCATTATCAGGACTGATTTATGCATTCTCATTGATTAAAAAGAAATAAATATATTACTCTTTCCTGCGGGCAGACTTTCGTTTTTCTTCGTTAAGCTCATGAGCAGCATCACGCAGTTTCACCTCTGACCCAGGGACACTGGCTGGGATTATATCCAGCTGCAAGCTTTTGCTCTTTATTAAAGAAAGGAAGAATTGATTAAGGAAGGAGACAGGAGAAAAAGGTAGCTAAATCAAATGCAAGTAAAGCTTGTTCGTCTGTCATCACACTCAAATTTCTCTTACCGATTTATTGGAATCTGAGGAAATACCCAGAGCTTTCTCTAAAGAGGTCCTGTATTTCTCCATGCGCAGGGAAAAGTCTCTGTACCTCTTATCCACTGCTGTGACACATTTTTTAATCTCTGTTGCATGAGCATGCCCTTTTTCACAAAAGCCATCAGCCAGCTGTATCAACAACTTCACCCTCTCTTTGGTTTGCTATGAAAACAGGAAAATATCAAACAGTTACAAGCTCTACCTGTCATGCAGAGGTTCATTTTGCTTAACTGCTACTAAGTGCAATTGGAGAAGGAATTGAAGAAGCTGCCTTCTTCCCCTCTCTTCCCAGAACGCCTTTAAACAGTCACCTTTTACTTATTAAAAATAGCACAAGATTAATGTAGGTTTCCTTGGGCTTTATTATTACATGACTAGAAGCAGATTATTTTTCTTTGAAAAATGTGCTTCATATCTAACCCAGAGATTAAATTCTGCTAGGTAAGCCTTTCAGCATGGGTACCGTTGCATCAATACAGAGGCATTTTGATGCCAAAGAGGGTACTTTGTTCATTACTACTGAAGCACTGGTATTAGACCTGGTCCCCAGTCTCAAGAATCTACCTCCTTTAGACACCACAGAAATGCTGAGATAGAAATAAGTCTTGTTATATGCTTTACTCTTTAATGGATGAAGACTGAATTCTTTAAATCTCTTCTATATTATGCTTTGTTGGCACAGAGCTGTTTGAGAGAAACTAAGAGAAACAAGTAGTTACCACCAAATCTCTAAATACTTTTCCCAAATGACAAGCTGCCTAAGACTATGCACTTTATTTCATGTAAATCATAAATCATCCACAACAGATGAGTTTATACATCCACCTCTCTCTCTGTCATGAGTGAAGTGTACTGTCAGGGCCCTTGCTAGCAGGGAGTTAAGAAAAAGAGTCAATAAAAACTTGACTCTTACATTATTGAAAAAATCAAGTTTGTCCTATCTTAATTCTTTTTGCTCCCTAATGGTCCCTCATCCAACCATTTCTATTCAGTATGGAATTAGCAAGGGCTAACATATCCTCCCAACAGGTAGCAAAATGCCAAGGGAGTGACACAAATATATCCTTTCAAAAAGGGCACCAATGTCATCTGCAGGCTGAAAAGGAAATAAGGAGGAATAGTGGTGCTCTGCATACTGGAAGGGATCCATGAAATCAAAGTCTGAAGCAAAGATGAAACAGAAGAAAATCCAGCTTTGAACATCAAAAGTGATCTCTGTTCTTTCTGGATTTTCTTTTCTCCCTTCCCACACTCTCTTGGCCACCTCCACCTCCAAGTCTCTTCTGAGGTGATCCTTCAGACAAATGAACACTTGCTTACTTTCCTGGGCTTGATTATTTCTCTGTGAAGGTTGGAGAGCCAGAGGGAGAAATGGGTGACAGTTTGAACAGGTGGCAAAACAAAACAGAGACAGACAAGGCTACAAATTCAGGTAGTTCAGTCATGCAATGGCTGTCAGTCTTTCACATGCGAAAACTGGAAAGCCTCAGGAGCGACAACTTTACAGCCTCAGGCCTGTAAAGGCCTCCAGAGATGCAGAAAAACATTCTGCTGCCTGACTCAAAAAGATTTACAGGAGAAGAACAGAATACCGTAATAAAATGAGTTACCTAACACACAGAGCTTTAATTTTTCTAATATCTTCTAATTAATAATCAGAATAATAATATAGCTTCTTTTATTTTATATCCTAAATGAACATTCAGTAATCCACAGTCATGAAGATATGAAAGTAGAAATCAAAGGCTCTGAAACGTTTGTAGGTATTGAAAACATTTTTAAGCTACCTCACTATGATTTTGTCAGGAGAAGTCAACAGCACATAGGGCTCATGGAGCTCTAGTAACAATGAATATCTGCTCACTATCTTCTGGTTTATTCTATTCTCAGCAGAAATACAGACAGAAAGCCACTGCAAGTAAACAGATCTTGATGGACACATCCTTGGGGGATCTTCTGATGGGCAAAGGGAATTCAGTTGTTTTATTTTGTTTGAAATCTCACATAATTCAACTTGTACTCAACTTGTTTATCGACAGCCTGGAGAAGGAACAGAATGCACCCTCAGCAAGTTTGTTGATGATGTGAAACTGGGGGGACCAGCTGTGCTGCCTCAGTGGGAGCTCAATAGGCCAGGGAGTTGGGCAGAGCAATCCAATGAAGTTCAACAAGGGCTAAGGCAGGGTACTGCAACTTGGGGAAAATAATCCCAGTACCAGCACAGGTTGTTGTTAGGTAACAGCTGTTATTAGGTAACAGCTCTGTGGAGAAGGAGGTGGGAGCCTTGGTGGCCCCAGTACCAGCACAGGTTGTTGGCTGATCTATTAGGTAACAGCTCTGTGGAGAAGGAGCTGGGAGCCTTGGTGGATGAGCATGAGCCTGCAGTGCCCTCGTGGCCAGGAGGGCCAACAGTATCCTGGGATCCATCAGGTGTGGCCACAGGTCAAGGGAGGTGACCCTGACACTCTACTTGACCCTAGTGAGGCCACATCTGGAGTACTGTGTTCAATTCTGGTTTCCACAGTGCAGGAAAGACAAGGAGCTAATGGAGAGGGTCCAGCAGAGCAACACAAAGATGGTTTGGGGTCTGTAGTCTAATGAGGACAGACTGAGGGAGCTGGGCCAGTTTAGTCTGGAGAAGAGCGAGAGGGAATCTCACCAAAATATAAAATACCTCACTGTCAGGGGATGGTGCCAGACTCTTCAGTGATGCCTAATGACAGAACAAGGACTAATGGCCATGAACTACAACACAAGAAGTTCCATCTCAACATGAGGAAGAACTTCTTTACACTGAGGGTGGCAGGGCACTGAACAGGCTGCCCAGGGATGTCATGGAGGCTCCCTCTGTGAAGACATTCAAAACCCACCTGAACATATTCCAGTGAAACCTGCTGTTGGGGACCCTGCCATGGCAGGGCGATTGGACTAACTGATCTCCAGGGGTTCCTTCCAAATCTAAGTACTTTGTGAAAATTTTTAAATTTTATTTTACCTTTGCTGTGATCTGAAACTCCTCATGTTCTTTCAACAACTCTTGAGTGTGCTGGATACTGGAACCAGTGGAAGTATGTGTGGATAAATAAAACTCTCCATTGTCATGAATCCATTCCAGAGCCTAAATAAAGCATTAGTGAAGAAAAGTAAGAGAAAGACAATATATTTTTGCCAACAGAAACTATCTGTAATCAGAATTTCACAGGCACAGTTTGGCCACAGGTGAATTTCACTCTATGTCACTTGTGGCAAACATGTAATACCTCTACAGTACCAAAAAGCTCATAGCTCTCAAATAATTCACATAGACGATGAAGCAATGCTTAGAGAATTAAAAATGACATATGAATCCAAACACTTCAGGGAAGTCCACTACTGCAGGACTACAGCAGTCCACTATTGAAAGGTTCTAACTAGTTGTGTTCACAGTTTTGATAGTATACTCCCCAGCTGAGGAAAAAGAAAAAAAAAGTCACTTCTTTGCTGCCACATGGGACAGCGATACTTAGAAATATGCATGTTCCAATTTGTAAAAATGTATATAAGACTGCCAAGTGTGCAGGCTAAACTTTCCAAGCACGTAAGATTTAACTATCACTTCACTGTTTTGCTGACATGTATTCCAGCCTCACAAAGTGTGGTGGTCTGTGCTCCTAGAAACAAAACCTGCAGCAGAGAAGGAACAGTGTGATGTCTCAGTTAAACCAATTTATGTACGTGTAAGTAGAAAGAAAACAAGAACGAAGAACTGCAAACTAAGATTGTTTCCCTTCCACATCCTGACACTTTATTGGCTCACTATTATGAAAAATGCTGATCTTTTCAATTGTCTGTGCTTTACCTGCTGCCCTTTTAAGCATAACTCAGTGGTCGTGAGGAATCTCTGGCTCCTGGAAAAAGCAAGAGTTGTCTCCAACTGCATAACAGTGAAAATCTAACTGACATCTGTTCTGCAGCTCTCAATACAGGCTTCCTACCGCAGCAGGCAGAGGGATGGAAGCTTAGAAACTTCTCGTTTCTGAAAAAGCCAATAGCAGATGTTCACAGGGTTTTACACAGCTTGCTTAGAACCACCTTATTACTAAATGTGTAGCTTCTGTCTCTTCAGTAAATACACAGAACACTAGACAAAAATGTAATACTCCAAGAGAAAAAGTAGATTGCTGGTGGGTGCTCACTCTTCCCTTGAAAGGATAAACTGAAATTATGAACATTATCTATCCACACTAGCAAGACCAGGAAAATATTTATCTTGGTGGACAGTAGATATGTATGTTTCACACACATCACCTTACAATGAATCACAAAAGGCACTCTCTGTATTATAATTTCACCAATGATTTCAGCTCATCAAAGCTGTGATGCAATAGCGCTGATTCCCTTACTTCCACTTCAAATGCTTTTCCTTCTTGGTGCAAAACCAGAAATGAGTAGAAAGCCTTCAAAATTCAACACTGAATGTGAATGCCAGGATGCCATTTTCTAAGTCACATACTAGTGCAGGTGCAAGCCTGATAAGATGGACCTATACTTTTAGAAGTTGCTGATGGAACAACTGTTGGACTTCTGTCAAAAAGTAACATTTCAACCAACCACCTCTATGTGTGTCCACCACACATGTTATTCTAATGTCAGTCTTTGCAAGTGAAGACTGACATGGACAGGCACAGCATGGCTACCTATTACCAAGAACATTTAATCTCTGCCTTTTTTTAGTGGGTTTATTACATAATGCTGGAATGAATGATAAACAAAAAGCTGCCCAAATCACAGAATGGTTTTGATTGGAAGAGAACTTAAAGATCATGTAGTTCCAACCCCCCACCATGAGAATGAAATGTTGTCTTCTCATAACTTGCTGGCAGCTCTCTAGAGGCACAGTATGAGAGAAAGTTTGACTTGATCTTAATTCCTATGGTTTACATCAGCTTTCATTTCACCTGAGGTATCACTACAAGAACTGGAGGAATCACTTTAGGGATCAGGTAAGCCCTTAACTCTGAAAGGATTTGAGAATCTAACACTGTTCTTACAAACTGGTATGGTATCTTTTCCATCACAAGGGCATCATGTTCTGAAAGCACAAAGAACACGTTCTTCCAAATTCCAGAAAGACATCTAAATAAAGACAGCAACACTTCCATTTTTTTGGCTAATCACTGTGGAGTCCCATATATGGTTTGGTCCGCTTTGCTTTTTGATGACTGAGCTGGTGATTGCTGAAAAATGGGATTTACAGTGAAAATGCTGACAGATCTTTATCTCCAGTGTTTGACTGTTGGTTAGTAATCTCTATACAAAAACAAGTAGATCATGTGCTTGTCAGAGGTTTAAATTAAGGTTATTCAAAAGTAGGGTGGGGAGGCGAGGGCAGGGAAGGAATGGTGGTGTTGTATCAGACTTCAAATTCACTCCAAGATGCATCTTGCATTAATTTCTTTGTGAAAGCATGACAAGCAGACTTGAGAATTCTTTCAAGAGAGCAAACCAGACCAATAGTATTTAAACTTTTGTCTGAATTAGCTGTCAGAAAGAAATAAAAGATTAGGTTTTTGAGCCCTTTAAAGAGGATCTGACTATATTTTACACTATGGGCATTTTCCACAGAACAGGAACAGAGAGCTTCCTTTCTCTGTCTTATAACCAGTTTAAAAAAAGAAAACAAAAAACAAAACAGCAACTAAAAAACTACCACAGATCAATCTACTTACCACTTCTGCCTTGAACCCGGTACTTATTTTTAAGGCATGTGTTTTGATTAGTGAAGGACTTTTTTATTTTTTTGCGTGTCTGGTAGTTACTTAATAGTTCTTTTCAGACTGATAAACTCAACAAAATACCAAGAGGTGGATGTATCATGCAGGAAGCCATGAAACCAAACACAAAGAATTGAAAAACCAAAGTAATTCAGTTATTATTGTTTAATGAGTTATCCAACTTGTCAGATTTCTAGAACTGCCAATCAACTTAATTAGATATTTTTCCTCCAACATCTGAGAAAAATGCTGCTGCCTGTAATTTCCCCAGACAAATTAGGTGTGTGTGTAAAAGTAACAAGCATAACAATTTGTCAAACACAAGCTTGCAGAAATTAGATTTGCCAGTACCAGATGAAGCTGGCAGAAGCAAAACATCATCTTTAAGTTACACAGTTACAGACACACTGCATCACCGAATTTAGTTGTTCTGTATTAAAGGGAAGGCAAAGAATTCAATTTGCTACTTCTATCCTTCTGATGTTTTAACCATTTGAAATACTGAAGTGAATGGCAAATTTGTTACTGTGAGAAGACAGTGTATGTCAAGCCCCGACTACACCAAAGAGGATTTTCATATGAAACCCTCACCTGTTTGGCACTTCTTTCAAACACCACATACTGCTGGCACTGATCAAGACGCCTTTTACGCATGGTCCAATAATGCAGCACACGGTTCTCCCTCTGGAAGAGTTCATTCAAGATATCTGAAGAAATTAAACAGAGCTTTTGACAACCAAATTCAAAATATCACACCAAAATCATGGGAATAAAGTACTTGACATTGTAAAATTTATTGTACACTTACTCTTTCTGTTAGTCCTTGCTTTGCTTTTTTTCCTGATATTAATGAAACACAGAGTGTTCCTTTTTCATCACTTACAGAACTACTGGTTAAAGAAACTAGAGATGCAATTAAAACTTACTACTGATGTGTTTTTTTCCTCTCAAATATTTTTCACAAGAGGACTGCCACTGCTTATAGCATGACTGAAAATGTAGGCTGATACAGATGGCACTTGATGGGGTTTCCTCAGAGAGAATAAGCATGCAAAAGTAATCACAACATGTTTAACATATTATATTTAAGTAAAAATGGGAATTTTTAATATATCCGTCTCCTATAAAGTATTTTAACAATTTAATACAGATAAACAAATATACAACCTCAGGTCACCACAAGATCAAATGCAGCATAAGTAAGCTGACTTGTTAAATATGAATGAGAGTAAGCTGACTTGTTAAATATGAATGTTCACTGAACCTTGACAGAACTTCCAGGTAATCAAATAATTAACTCCACAGTTTGTTATTCCTGAGTGTCAGAAAACTCACATCCAAATCCCACACGTCCAACCTTTTAAATTCTTCCTAGCAAAGACCTTGTGCTTACACTATGCAGAAGACTTTATCTGAATTCTGCTTCTTTAATGGTTATGGTTTTTCCACCAAAAAAAGAAATTCTAGCAGTTTCCTGTGAAGCTCACTTTAACCTCTGCTGCTTCCAGAGCAGCAGCCCTACTTGACTTTGTAGCTATTGCAAACCTGGAGGGCAAGCTGTGCACAGGGGAATGGGGACACGCAATGTCTCCACCAGGTGATTCTGTTGCAATTGCACAGAGCCAAAAGAGAGGTCCAGCAGAAACAGAAGAGACCACAAAAAAGTCTTACTCTCTACACCAACACTACTTGCTTTTCTACTTACACCCAGAGCTGTCTATTTTCCATAATCCATAATTATGAGTGAAGGCTATCAGGTCCTAGGTGTCTTAAGGTCTCTGCATTCTGCTCTCCCACTGTGCAGGTCCACCATGCTTTACATCCCAAAAGCTAACAACTCCAAGAAACAGTATGACAAGAGAAGCTCAAATAACAGGAAGCCTGAAGGGAAATGCATCTTTGTCTACCTCATCAGGGATGTGGGATCAAACACAACCACTTGTCACAGCCTCCGTGAGGATTATGAAACCTGTCTGCATCACTGCCAACATCCTTCTGCTTACAAGCACCATATTCCCACTTGCCACAGGGTGCTGAGAACACCCAGAATTTGCTTTTGGTTGGAATGTGGTCACTGTGGCCAAGGTTTTATTTTTTTCTGGTCAGGCTCCCCTCATATGCCAAGCTATGAGCTGATCTGCTGTGAGCCTCCCCTGCTTTCTCAGTTTAATTTCTGCCTTCTGTCACCTCCAAAACACTTGCTCAGAGTATTTGCCAGATTTCAGGAGGCAGGGAGGTCGAGTGGGTGGGACACAATTATCATTATACAACGCAACACACCCAACTGGACACACCATATAAGAAGAGACATCTTGATAATGACGCAAGCAAAGCAGTTCTGACAAAGAGCAAGCGAGGTGAATTTAGCAAATTGGAACAGCATTTGTTCTGTCAGGACATGATACAGATGGCAAGGCAGTGAGAGATATTTGGCTGGGCACTGTTAGTGTTAGTGCCATTAATTTCTTGGACTGATGAAGAGGAGAAAAAATATTCTATAAACTACTCTAAGGAAGTTATAAAACATCAATATTTAATACTAGGTTTGGAAAAGCATCTCTGTATCTCAAGCCATCTGAACTACAGTCCCTGTTGCTGTCATTTACTTTGATTCCAACATTTGTTAGTATTGTTCCCTATACTTTCAGTTTCTTCTCGAAGCTCAAAGAGCTCTCAGCTGTCTCTATGCAGTCTTCTATCAACCTACCTAAAACTACAAGCACCACTGGACAAGTTCCAGCCAGTACAGCAGAGACAGGTAGCACAGATGCACACAGACTTAGCAGCCAAAACAAAGACAAAGATGCTCTCATTTCTGAGCTTACAGGAATTGTCACCAACTCAATCCACCTGCCACAGCACAGTTTTAGGCCACAGTTCCTTCCTAACTGAGACAATGATTGGGTACCCTTAACTGCATATCGCAGAAATTATTTACACTCGTTTGCAGGGACATAAGGACACCTTCAGAGTTCCTGTTCCCCATGAAGCATATGCTTAGCTAAACTTTGCCGAGATTAAGACACCACTTTTCCAGATAACTTAATCTGCATCTGGGAATAAGGATCAAGTATGCCACTGAATGAGGTTTTTGAAAAATGTTCAGCAGTTCTGCATGAACTCAAGGGTTACTTAAGTTTTTAAGGCATTAATTTATAAACTATATTCTGACTGCAGTCTGCCAGTCTGAAGCATACACTTGAGTTGTAATGCTCTATTAGAACACTCTCACTATTGTAACCTCTCTTTCACTAAAATAAACACTCCATTCTTTTCTTGATTTAGAAAAGAGGTGAAAGGAGATCTCTTTGTTTCTTGACACACATATTTGAACAGGAAGAAGAGAGCAAACTTTTTTATCATTTGGTCAGCTACCACCATACCACTGAGACCTAACAGGAAGGAGTCCCCACTAGATCTATCTTAACTCATGTTTAATTCTCAGAAGTATATACTACATGGTTTATGAAGAGAACAGCTTATTTGTTTCTACTTGGGGTTTTTTGTTGGTTTTTTGTTGCTTTTCAAACATGTATCACTCATCCAGAATTTTAAATGTATGCAGAACATGCATAACACTATGGTTCTGATATGTAATTATTACTCTTAAGGACATTAGTAGAGATCTTTCTATTTTTTCTATTCTTTCCTCATATAAGCACATTTACCTTTCTCAGAATGACTGTTCCTATACATATTTCAAAACTGAATTTAAAAAAATGTCTAATATTCAGTAAGTGTGGTAGCTACAACTTCCTGCTTTCTTCTGCTCTTTGTTTTCTTTGTTTCTTACTGAAAGAAGAACTAAGTGACAAATGCCAGCTTCAGTTACTGATACATTTGTGTTGAGATTTTGTTTTGTACAGTTCTATAAATGTTGGGGACAGAGGAAAAACAATGAGCTGTTTAGCCCTTGTAGTTCAAGTGAACCAGTGAACATGTCCTTTTCTAATAGAATCATCAAGTAAATTAGTGCGGAAGTGACCTCTGCAGGCCATCTGTTTCAATCTCCTCCTCAAAGCACCACTAACTTCAAAGTTTTCCAGAGGCTTGTTCAACTAAGTTAAAAAAATTCGTACAAGTACAGATCCTACTACCTCTCTGGGCTACCTGTTCTAATCCATCTTGCTGTAACACTTTCTCCCATTCAGAATTTTCCTTGCTGCAACTTTTTCTCTGGATTTACCGCCATGTTCCTCTTGAATCTGGCTACATCATATGCATAACTCCCCTCTGGGTAGGAGCAAACAGCATTTAATTAGAAATTAGACTTCACTGATTTTGAGACTGTAGTGTGGCCAGAGTGTTCAGTCACAGCTTCAAAATGCACAGAGCAGAATATGACTGGCAATTAAATTATTAAAATACAATATTTACTTCTGAATCTGATCTCTGTTCTGCTACCACATCCAGCAGTTATGCACACCCTATTAATTTTTGAACTTTTGTCCCTCAAAGCCCTACAGGTCTCTCTCTCTCCATTCCCTAGAGTGCTTATTACCCCTTAAAGCTGTACTACGTATTATTAATCTTAGCAAGAGCCAAGCCTCACCTAGTAGCTCTTTACAGCTTCACCTCAGCTACTACCTGTCTACACATGCAGTTTAAACATGATGTAAGTTACCCCATACTTCATGAAGTTCCTCAACACTGATTCAAACTATCTGAAGAGCTCAAGGGCATTGTACAAGCAATAACCTCATATCACTCTGGCACTCCCAGGGAACTTGCAGAATGCCTGACACCAACACATTGAATAAGCTTACACTGATCAGCTCCCATTTGGCTTCAGACCAAACATTATCATGTGGAAGTTTACTACCTCATTGACTCAATAAAAGCAACACACTTGGGTCTCAAATAGAAAGAAGATTAGGTGTAAGTAGCAGATAAAAGAATTCCAAGCAACTTCATTTGAGTATAAGAGACTTTGAAGACTGTCAGCGCCTTCAAAGTGTGCAGGCAGTTTGTTTCCCGTTAAGCCTGACAGAACTCTTTCCACTTGGGCAGGCTTCACTACCCCATCACCAAACATACCACAGCACATGATGATCACATTCTTGTGAGAAGAAAGAGAACAAGAAGTCCCTTACTTTTTACTTGCTGTTCAGGTGCTTTGATGTGTGTCACCATCCCTGGCATGTTGACACTGTTCCTGTGCAGGTATTTCAGGAACACATCAGCATTCCTCCGAGCCAGTGTGCAGGCCTAAAGAGTCAGAGGTACAATTTTATTTGAAGATGCAAAAATAAACATGCAGAAGAAATTAAAGGTCTTCCTAACTCTCTTTTGTACATTTGTCACCCTCTTCAGTTTTGGAAAGCACTGCATGTTAAATCTTTTCTACAAGTAAGCCAAGCCAACCCAACTATTAAAATAGATATTCCACCAAATAGCAGTTACACCTTACCTGGCAGAGAAAAAACAAAGCAGATAAACAAATACAAATAAAATAAATTAATAAAATGCTATTTCTCTTTTCTGAAGAACCTGAAAAGCAGTTGTATGTTCTATGGCTTTCAGCATGACTCAGAGCTCACAGAGAAGTTTGTTTAGTGTATGTGCCATGTGCCACCTGAAGCTGCTTACTGTGTAAACAGTGCACATTCTTATGTACCCACCTGCATATATCAAAACATCCATTAGTAAAGCGAACGTTTTGCTGAAGTGAAACTGAAAGTGCTAAAATAGTAATACCTGCTCTTCAAATATGAAGGCAAGGCCTTGAGAGCTTTCAGTTGTTGCCATTATATTGCAAGCACTCAGCTCAGTTGTCATCTTCATCTTAAATATCAAATACTACATATTGGTTTTCTGCTTCATTTTTAACATGCAAGTTATAGAATGCTACTTTAAAAGGTTAGATGAAGGTAGAATGGTTTGATACAGTAATGAAGATACTAAATCATTTCTCATACCATTTTAAAACAAAGATTAATAATTCATGCCAGCTGCAGAAGGATCTATTAGGCTGTGTACTTTGAGTTCTGTTAATATGTTTTTGAGTGTTGTAATCCATGTAATGAGAATAAGTTTCTAACAAAAAAATTTTATTCTCTTAGTAGTCTTTCATGGTGATGCTCAAAAATGCCTTTGATAACAAAGTTAGTTATAACTGCTCTGCAAGCACATGCTGCACATTTCATTCAGTATGATCAATAAACTTCTTCAGTAGGACATTAGCTGGAACAAAAATCTTTCATTTATCTGAAGACTATTACACAAAACCCAACTACTTCCAGATGGCTGTCTTGCCATTTCGTCCTGTATTCCTCTGTCGTCCCAGTACATTTGAGAGCTGCTCTGATGCACAGAGCAATGGCACTGTGAGCCTTTCACTTTTCTTCCAAAGCAGCAGCCATTAAGCATTCTTTAGAGTGACAGTTGCTCAAAGCAGTGACTTCCAATTCCTCTTCAGGCACACTGGGAGATCTGACATCTACTCAAGTTCAACAGGAAATGTATTTATAAAACTGGCTACAATTTTATGCACTTGGCAGTATTCTCTTAATCACTGTCAGAAGCAGTTAACATGCCACTTCCCACATCTTTGCAGTTGGGGACATACGTGTAGTTTGGAATGGGCACTGCTGCTTTCCACAGCCACGTCAGCACTGTAAGAGCTGTTTGCCTGCTCTCATGCTTCCCAAGACACAGGAGACCACAAAAAAATCCCCAACCTTACCTTCAGAAACGCTTCCTTCTGCTCCAGGTGTTTGCTTATCATGGGAGTAACGTGATCTGTTTCAGAGTTGGGGCCCAGTTTGTCTGCTCCCCCACACCAATCTTCTTCTCGCTTATATTCTTGTTCCAGGCTTTCCAGCACACTGCACACCTTTCAGGAAAAAGTAGGACAATTCAGTAAGGCAAAAAATCAAAATTCAGGCCTCAAAAAAAGAAAACTCATCTGCCCCTTATATGTACCCCTTAGCTTCTGACACGTTTTGACTGGGACTTAAGGCAACAAACTCTGGCTGTAGGTTTGCAAGCACTGGCCTGCTTATGCGGAAGCACTCAGAGGCTGTCCCTAAAATTGTTCATCTTTCTCTGCCTCTCTGACTGCATAGTTCTGGATGGGCTTAAGTTATGACTACAGAGGAGGCAACCTTGACAACCTCCCCCCCAAACTTTTCTGTGGACAAGCAGATTAAGCTGATTTTTTCTGACTCCCACACAAAAACCAGAACTAGCCATCAAATGAGTAAAAATAACCAAACCTCATCAACCATTTCTTCAAGTAATGCTGTTTTATGCCACACTGAGGAATTAACCAAGGCAGACCTTCTGCATTTCTGTACCTGTTCAGAAGTTTTATAGAAGGCAACAGAGGCATTCACAAGCTTGAGACGATCCTCCATCTTCAGCATCAGCTGTTGCCAGTGCGAAGCGACCTTCTCTGCACACTCCCGGATCATGTCCATATCATAGTGATTGGCCTGCAGCATTGCCTCTGCCTTCTGCTGAACCTGCAGGGCACTTTGATGTGTTTTCTGGCAAAAGGTGAAAAATCAGGAGTTCAGTGGAGCACTTCAGTTCATTTACTCGGAGACCTCAGAGGCTCACACTTCCACTGTGTCGATGACACTTCCATATGTGCACCAACACTCATCAACTAAAAATGACTGTCTAATACTGCGTGACTTCTTCATGCAAATACAAAGGAAATAAATCCTGTAGAGATTTATCATCAAATCAACACTAAATAGCAATACTTAACAAATAGCAACTGTTTGGCATTAAGTTACATGTGATGTATCTATGCTGCATTACATCTTGTTGCAATTATGAATTTCAGTTTGATTTTCTTTCCCTTCACAGTGAAAAAAAGAAGATGACAGAAATCTATCTTATTCTGGCAATTTCTACAGCTTTAACTTCAGTCTTTTGCACATCAGTAGTGAGTAAAGAAAGGTGCAGGTGTGCAGACCAATAAAAAAGACACCTGTCTATTGATTGTAAGCTAATTTTTTTAACCATATTTCTCTGTGCAGAGAAACATTTGCCTAATATAAAAATATTAAGGGGTTAACTACTACTAATTATTATTATATCTGAGTAAAGAATGTGGCCTAGGACACACAGATTTTTAAGCGTCCCCATAATTTATTCTTAAACTGACAAACACCTAGAGGTCTCATAACTTTTATACTTGGGAGTTACCAAAGCTGCTCAAAATGAGGGTGCATATAGTGCAAACTTTAATTTAAAAAAAAAAAGAGAGGGGAAGCATAAAATTCTACCAAACAGGAAAAGAACATTAAAGAGTTACTGCAAGGCAGAATACTTCTGAAAATAGTCTACCAAAACAATCATAATATTGCTAATATTATCACTAAGTTACTCAGTAGTGCATGTAAGTAAATAATACTGTACTTCAATCAATCTTAAGAACCCTGCCTATTTTTTTGCAGCAATATGACCAATCAGATAAGTTTAGCTTGAAGCCATGGCAAGGAGATGGACACACCACAACACAGAAGTTTCACTGAAGCCTACTCTCAATCAAAAATGGAAATATTAAAGGATGACCTCAGAATTCACAAAACCGCTGCTTCCTGGTCCATTTATTCTTGATTTTTTTACATTTAGAATTACAGGTTATGTTCTAGGAAAGGAATAACAAATGAAAACACTATTTTCAGCAAAATTGGTTGAACAGCTACCACTTTAAAAAGATGGAAAAAGGCACTAAGAAGATGTTCCACCTGGAACTGCAGCTTGAAAATAAATAAGAACAAAAACCACCTTCTCAGTAAGTACTTTTGTCTCTTTGCCATAACAGCTTTTCCTAAACTGAAAATACTATAGCATGAATACAAGAGTGGTATTTACAGAGTTGTAAATACAAGGCCATGGTCACTAAAATGGTGCTTTTACCTCTATTGCATGTTGAAACTGCTCATGCTCCCTCTGTAACTGTTCTGCCTCCTGCAAAGAGCTAGCAGTGATGAGCCCAGCATTTAACATTGACTCTCCATTTCGAATCCAGCCCAAAACCTGTAACAAAAGAGAAGACCATGAAACACACAATTCCACTGTCAACCAGCAAGAAAACACCACTGTAGGGGCAAACACATTTAAGGTCACATCAGCACTGGAACGGATAACTAAATAATTTGTTAATTACATACTACAGTGAATTTGGTATTGAGTAAGCACAGTGAGTGCTTACATTCAGTACAATTTCAGTGAGCTAACAACTCACAGCTTGCAGTCAACCACTACATGTCTGTGGCTTCAGTTCATACTCTTAAAAATGGTTGTGCTTCTGAATACTGTTTCTGTCACCTGAAAAGCTGGAACAAGTTAAAAGTAATAGTTGCCTGAAAGCCAGTGTCAGTAATGCAAATGAAAGATATACAGCTTAATAAAAAGTATGCACACAATTTTGAACAGTAATGTTGAGAAAAATGTGGTCATTGAGTGTCCTTCTAACTGCTTGAAGATTTTAATTTTTCAGTATGTGCCTTCTTTGATATGCCCAGTGAAACTGAAAGAATCCATGTCTGGGCAGAAGCCTCAGGAGGCCACCTTATATGTTCCTTATCAATAGCAGGAACGTGCAACTTTTTAGACCCCTCCCAAAAAAAGAAAGAGAAAAAAAAGGACATTTTCTCTCTCTATCAGCTTTGTTTTTTCCTCTCCTTTTCCCATCAGGAACATTATCTGATTCCCTCCTTTAGACTCCTCTTATCTTGTTGACCACAGTCTCTTCAATCTCTTCCATGTGAAGTCAGACACTTTATTTTTCTAGAACACTGCTCTTTTATGAGCTCTCTCCAGTTGATAACCATGACTTGGTCATAATTTTTCAAATGCTGAGTAAAATGGGACATAATTCAGGTTATTCACTGTCATCTGTACAACTCTTCTATGGAACTGCTGCCCAACCAGTAATTATCCCTGTATTTATTCAGCTGATTATTCTTTCTAGTACATCATGCTCCGTATTTTTCACTATTTGAACTTATATCCTTCTTAAAGCATAGTTCTCCCATCAAGATAATTTCAACTGTAATCCACTGTGTTCTGATGAACTCAAACCCCTTTTCCAGCTGCTCCTGCTTTTAACTTCAAATTTAATAGTATAATTGCTAACACGTAGATTATCTGACTAAGAACATGAACTGGTAGTATCCAAATACAGACAATTTTTTTTTTTTTTCATTTTTAAATCTGTTTTCCAATCCACTGAGTCTCTTAGCTTTTGTTACTATGTTTTTTCAACAAGTTATCATTTTTGGTAATTTAGTCTCATATAACATTCTCATCGAGTCTCTTAGCTTTTGTTACTGAGTATGTTTTTTCAACAAGTTATCATTTTTGGTAATTTAGTCTCATATAACATTCTCATAATAAGTTAGGGCCAGGCAGACTGAGTTAAACTATTTTAAAAGCTTTGACACTGCTTTTCCACCCCTCCCAGAAGAGCTGTTGCTTTGTCAGATAAAAAAGGGGGGTTTATCAATGGAAAGCTATGATTAATTGATCTGTGTTAGCCTTTTCTCCATTTGTCACTGTTCAAGTTTAATGATCTACTTGTTTCAATATTTTTCCTGGGGACTGTGTTAAACTAGCTAACCTCCAATCCTCCTTCAGCTAGTCCTTTTCCACTTTTGAGATGTAGATGTCGAATTTCAGGCCTCCAGAATCTCATCTAATCTCCTGATGTTTGGAAACAATGGCAGTTTTCTAAGTATTCCAGAGTGAATTTCTTTAGGCCCAGATGATTTGAACTTCACCAGTTTTTCTAACTTTTTCCTACTAATTGATCTAGACATTTAACCACTGCTAATAAATATATTAACTACCAAATCAGTTAGTTCTTAATACTAAATATTCTCATCTAGGGATCTGCACATGACACTATCAATTATAGCACTAATGCACTAAGTAATCAGGATAATATGACTGCGCTTGCAGACTGGGAACATGGGCAGAACCCAAGAAAATGACCTATTAAAAACACAGTTCCTCACAACCTAAAAGGCACATATGAGTCTACAACCAAAGTACACTCTAACATATCTGACAGCTTGAAGCAACTGAGGTCTAGCCATCCTGACACAACATCCATTCCCTCAAATCTGTACCACAACCTCACCCTCTGACTTACACTTATCCAGATTGTGACATTGTTGTGTTATTAATGCAGGTTTTGCCATTTCTGTCTGCACAATGAATAGCTAACAAGTTTGGGGTTTTTTTCCCATCCTGATAGCATGTATTCGAATTCTCCTGTATAAATTCTGGATGTCTGTAGAAAAGAGTAAGTCTACAATGTGGAAGGGAGGGCATGCCAGATGCGTGACTGGGTGCACATTCTGGTCTCCTGGGGAGAAAGCACTGGGTCAGGTGCAGCCTTGCAAGCAAGGGGAAGACGGCTCCAGCTTTGGAATGATCTCTCCTACTGCAAAGGTGGCACCTGCAGATCACAGCCTGTGGGCACACAAAAGGGACTATGAAAGAAACTGGGAGTTCCTAAGTTGCTAAGGCACCAGGGGATTTTGAACACTCAGAGAGAAAGCCAGGGTAAGCCTCAGGAGCAGGAAAAACAGCAGCTTCTGAGGGAAGCAGATGGGTCCAACAGACTGTAGATAGAAACGTCTCCATATACATGGACAAATATGGACTATATTTGTCCATATACATGGACAAAGAAATTGTCTGCAAGAAAATAGAGGCAGATTATTTTTTAATTCCTTTTTTATTTTTATTTTGTCTTATGCAAGTTATTCTAGGTTCCTTCTCTACCTTAAAAAGTAATTCTTCCAGGTATGGCATAACCAAACACACCTTTTTAGGGTTCTTATACATCTAGCCTTCTTCAGAGAATTTTAATGAAGGAGGTTGCTCAGGCAGCACCAATTGAAAGCTTCTCTTGACTTGGCATCCCATTATTTACAGCAGCAACAGCTAGAACAGAACATGCCATTTCAAACACAAAGACTTGTCCTCCTGCTTGGTGCAGGTCAGGGTGCAAGTACACAAGCTGGTGAAACTCACAGGAGGAAATTTGCCAACAGTACTCTCTCCCCTTCCTTCTGCTCTGACTCAAGGGAAAATATAAGCATTAGGAAATAGGGAGCCTGTTCTCCTTCCAGGGGTGCTGCCTTCAGGGTTTGTTGGCATGTTCATGTTCCCACCACCTCCCTGTCTGAGTGGATCACAACCCCCATCTTTCCCCTCGCAGCCTTCAACAGGCTAGAAAAGCATCAGCAAAGCATCAGCAAAGGCGTGGAAAAGAGACAGAATTCAGGTCACTTGGGACACTTGAAAAGGTCAGATAGGTAGATCTGTAGGTAAATGCTTGATGTAGGACTAGTTTCTTGAACAGATTTTTGACTGTAACTAAACATGATCACAAGACAACCTGCTTCAGTCTGCTGTCTTAGCTATGTTTTCATATCCATATGGCACTACATGGAGTGCCAGGATACCCTTCCTGAGTAGTATTTTGGGATAGTCAGAGCTCAAGCATCAAGCTAAAAGATTTGCCAGTGAAAACACAAAGCAGCTTAAGGTACTCTTGAGGGCTGAGGTATCTGTACACCACTGTACATATATTCATACAGTTATATATCCAAGAATATACACCATGATCAGAACAGCAGAAAACATTGCACTCAAAAGGCTTAATGAGCATACTGAAACCAACTGGATTGGGTTTGAAGCTTGGTAGGGATTTTGACCTTAAACACAGTAAAGCATTCACTCCACACAGTGTAGAGTAGCAGTAAGTAATCCAACAGCTGTATGTTAGGTGATTAATAAAGAAGGTTTGTCTGGCAAACATGCAGCTGGAGTTCTGCATGAGACATACATTCTCATAAATATTACTCTGCCTCCACCTACTCATATGTCCCTGCCCTGTAAGAAAGTGGTCACATTTTCCTTTCCATGTTACTTTCCCCACATAAAGATGTCTCTTTTATTTCAGTCAGCGTTCTCTTCCCGCTGTCTTCCATGTTTTTTCTACACTGTAATTTGCTATCTGCTTCTGCCCGTTCTGCACATATTACACATCAAGTTGACAAGCAAATTATTTGCAGGTTTTATTTAAACCTCTGTTTGTCTTCTGGCTCTTCTGCTTCCTCCTAGTCCTGAGGCTTGAGATACAAAACTTCAATGCCACAAAGCAGAACTGGCACAACAGTTAAGGAAGAAGCAATACTGGGTGGTTTTGTCTACTCCCTGTGCTTATTTGATAAAAATTCATTAAGCACAAGGTTTCACTACCTAGTGAAAGCTATGGAAGAGAATCCTTGCAAATTTTTGTCTTAATTCCTGCAGTGTTCCAGTCTAACTGCTTCACATGACTACAAGCTACATATTTTTATGTATTTTATGTAAATATATAAGTGTGTGTGTGTGCACATGTGTACGCGTGTGAAAATACAACAGCAGTAATGTTGCTTCGGCATGAAGGATTTAAATGGAAATACTGTCAGAATTCCTACTATGGAGGCAGGATCCCCCCTACATAATAAATATGCTTACACCCAGTTCATCAGCAATAAATCTAATAGAAAATCACAGTAACTGAACAGGAAAACCGTATGTTCACTGCTTCAGGCCACAAAACACAAATAAAACAGTCTGAAGATGAGGTTTACCACTTTATTTTACCCTCAAGTAAACCTACTGTGACCTGCTGACCTATGAACTTTTTCCTAGTGCAGAAGAGACATGAGAAGATCATGCTTCCTTAATCATATTTAATAAAAATAAATCAGATGCGGTTCTCTGAAAAGGCAACTGAAATCTCAAAACTAAGAGTTACTAGCCTCAAAGCATTGCAAAGGGCCCAAAAGAAATCCTACGAGACAATGTATTAACATTCAGATTGAGTTCCATTCAATTTTCAGGCCTCAGGCTGGGCAAGTATTGCAGGCAAATCTGTAAAAGTAGAATCTGTAAAAGTAATATAGGAACCTTCTGTCAGCTACATGTTCATGTATGATTGCCTGAAAGTTCACATATATTATGGCATTTAATTCAACATAAAATCCCACTTGATAAAAGGTGTGTTCTAGAAATATGAAACAGAATATGGTTCTTTCTTCCAAATCCCAGTCTACCAAGAAAAGACAGCTGGGTATGTTAATGTACTCCCTATACCTTAATTATAAGACAAATTTTCCAGTACTTTCTTAAGAACCTAAATTTTAGCTTCAGTTTCATTCAGGGATAGTAGTGGTTCAAAAATTAGAAATTTCTTAAAGAGTCATCTACAAAGCACATACAAAATGCACTAAGGGTATTCCACTAAAATCCATGATGTTCATCATCTGCTTGTTTCTGCCAAAATAACACGTGTCATTTTTGTAACATTTAACTTGCACACAAACAAAGTTAGTGGACCAAAGTACTCACTTTATTGTGTAAGCATGCAGTATAAATAACTATTTAGTGTCTTTTAATATATTAAATAACACCAAACTGCTATATTCTGTTCTTTTACTGAATACTATTTCACCATTTCACCATCATGGAAATTAACAATTTTTTTTCCTTACTAACTCATTCCACCCAAACCCACTGACATACCATAAAGGGATGAGAGTGCCTCAGCTGGCATTATTTATTTTAGCTTTTTTCCTTCCTTTGCACATGTCCACTGTCTTCCTTCATCTTTGAGATAAAATGCAACTGAGTACAGAAACTATCCTGATCTGCAACAATTTTATCTCAACCATTACTCATGCGGAAGGAGAAATTTGCAATCTGCACTTACCAACATGTGTAAGTGCTAAGGCAGATAGAGCACAGTTCAGTAGAGTATGCAAAGCCTTGAAATAGAACATCAAGTATTTGATTGACACCTAATGTTGCACTGACAGCAGACAACTATCAGTTTTGTGCATTCCTTTAATTCAAGACCACACAGAAGCTTTGCATCTGTTACTGTAGAGCAACCAACCACTGCCTGAAAATACTTCAGGAACCTTCTGTACACTTCTCCTACTCCTAACTGGACCCCTTTCATATTACTTTGCAATGTGGAGTTGTCATTCAGTCTCATTATGGGCCACAGTAATACAACAGACTATAGCAAACTTCTGTGATGCTGCCAAGTGTGAGCAAGATAAAAAACTCTCAGCTTTTTTAGTGTCTTGTTTCTTTTTTAAACTTTCACCTACTTCAGTGCTTATCACTATTTGTAGATGTTTCAAACAACAGACCCAGAAAGTATCAGGTCAGTGTGCAGGGACTATGACTGAGCATTGTTGTTCATCGCCGTACAGATGGTAAAAGCATACGTTTAACATTAGCTCAAATCACTCTATACTTCAAATACTTGACTTGTATCTACAGAATATCAGAATAACTTGGGTTGGAAAAAACCTCTACAACCACCATGTCTGTTAACCTAGCACTGCCAAGTTCACCACTAAAGCATGTGTCTCATATCATGTGTCTCAGTGTCTCATCTACATGTCTTTTAAATATTTTCAGAGATGGTGCTTCCATCAATCCTGTTCCAGGGCTTAAAAACCCCTTCAGTGAGGAAATGTTTCTTAGTATCTAATCTAAACCTCCTCTGGCACAACTTGAGGACTTTCCTTTTTGTCCTATCACCTGTTACCTGGGTAAATAATCCAGCTCCTACTTTGATACACTCTCCCATCAGGTAGTTGCAGGAGTGATAAGGTCCCCCCTGAGATTCCTTCATTCCAGGCTAAACATCCCCAGCTCTCTCAGCTGCTCCCATAGGATCTGCTCTAGATCTGCGCAGCAAGATCGGTGACGCAAGTTAAAAACATGCACTTAACGTTAACAGAAGATGAAGTTTCTCAGGTGATCACAGTCCTCCCCTGCTCCCAAGGCACGACGGAGGTGCTTTCCCGCGCGTGTTTTCGGGAGCAGAGCCCTCGGCAGGGCACGTACCTGCTTGACCTCTGCCTGCAGGTGGCGCAGCTGCACGCACTGCTCCAGGTGCTTGCGGTGCTGCTCCGCCGCCACGTCCAGCTCCTGCTGCTTCTCGTGCAGGAACTCCAGCAGGTCCTGCACGCGGGTGGCCATGTCCACGTCCCTGTCGCAAAGCAGCTCCACACCTGCAGTCGGGATGGTCGGACAGGAATGACTCGCAAAGCTTCCGAGACAAACTGCCCGCTTCCACTGTTCTACGCTTAATTTCCTACTTCCTTCTCCAAGTTCAACCTAATTCTTGGAGGATTTGCTTACATGAGTATAGGGGTTTGCACTCTTTAAGAAGTGCAATATGGGGGTTCTTTTAAAGTCTGACACTTACCCTATGCGATCATATACAGTGAAAAATATCAAATGAAGGGGAACACGGAACAAAAAAGGAAGATGTTTACTTGAAAGCTGAAAATCTCTGCTTGACTGCGTTGATCTGACTACCTATAAAACTAACATTCCCTTATCTACTCTAATTTTACAGACTTCCTGAGTGAAATCCCTTTCTCTAAAAACTAAACACCTTCAGGTGTTACCAACTGATGACATTTATGTGCCAGCATGTTCTTATGAACACCACTGAATGATTTGAGTATAAAGGAGCCCACATCTCCCCAGTTTACAGTTGACCAGCATCCCTGTTATTTTCACGCATCCCATGAGGAGACAGCTGGATAATTCTTAGAAAGCCACTGCCTGGAATAGCACAAAGGAGCCATCTTACCAGATGCCTGCACTTCATTGACATACTGCAGCAGATCCTGCCCTTGGTGGATGACATCAAAGGTCAAGTTATTCATGGTCAGGGCTTTGTCTGCATGATGCTGGAGCCTCTGCTCTGCTATTGTAAGATCTTCAGTGTCAAAGTCATTCATCTGCTGAGAGAGCTCATCATTCCAAGACTCAAGGTCTGAAATAATCTGGGGGAAAAAGGAAGGAGACCATGTTCAATTACCCATTACACAAAAGAAAACAGCTTCTTTCCAGTGTCGCACTGATGATTGAGGTAGGGAACTCAGTGAATCCAGCAAAATCAAAAAGCATAGTTTATTACAACATTACTGCAATGTCAGAACTAAATTTGCTTGCTGATATTCTTCAGCTACACTTCAGTTTTCACATTTTAATTCTGGATTTTATTATTATTATCTGCAGAATGTCCTAAGAAGTGTATCTAAAAAAGTTTTTGGGGTTTTTAGCACACGTATAAGTAAGTTCTCCTTGTCTGTCCACACAAGCGTATTTTCCAAATCATACTGCAAAGCCTATCTGAAATATAAAATATTCCTTTTAATTACGGTACAAAACTGGTTTTAAGGCTAACATGTAGTGCTTGCAATCCTCATTATCAAAGTGGGCTGAGTTTGTACACATTTGATGCATCAGTTACTTCAGAAAAGTCTAACACACTTATCCCTCAAGCAAATAATCAAAATTTTTCCAGAATTTTCAGCAGTTTTAGCACCAACTACTGCAGTTCATTGGGAAAGCAAAATTATAGGTATCAAGAAACAAGTATGGGTTAGTTCCAGTGTTGTACGATTTCAGGAGTAGGGCAAACCCATGTGAATGGTGCTAAATGAGAAGAAAGTACCTATTTATGCAGCAAGACACAACAAAAAGAGGACCTGACTTAATGGGTATTAGCAATCAAGTATCTAAGTGCATAAATATTTAACCAAAGTCATTTGTTGTCAGCAAAAGAAAGATGTCACTACCCCTTTTCAAGTGGCTGTAATAGTTCCAAAGTTAGTGAGACAGTTAAATGACAAGAAAAATTCCAGGAAAATAGGGCTTCTTGATAAAAAGCAGAACTGAGGAGATTAGAAAAGTTAAATCATTTATATAAAGTTTCTGTAGTTTGCTACAATCTCTCATGAAGGCATTTTTCCATTCCACTCACATGATGCCATAAAAAAATGGACACATCAAGCAATTAATATTGAAATTGTGGCACCAGTGAGTTACTTCCTGTTTTAAAGGTATTCTGCAAAAAAATTCCACTTGAATCACTAGGTATTTGAGTTTTACATCACGTCATGATGGGAGATACCAAACAATTAAGGTAGCTATTTGCAATCCTTAAATCTGCTCCGCTACCTCTGCTGAAGTGAAAACATGCAGAAACTCAAGTGCCAGGGGTAGCACTGAAAACAGAAAAGCTAATGACCAAAGTATTCAGGAAGATAGACAGGACAAGGCTTTTAGCCATTGCTTGAAGCTCCTTTCATCTTCCAGGTGCTCTAAATCAAACAGTCTCTATTTAGGCCTTGTGAGTGGTTTTCTCTCTAAACACACAAAAACAGACCTCCTGTCATACAAAATCCTAAACAAGTTCCCTTAATTTCCTTTTTACTTAGTCCATGCCCAAAATGTCTTATCACCTTCCTCTGCTCTTCCCTTTCTTTTAAGTGATCTGAAATTCTAAAGAAACTTTAGGTTTTCCTGACAGTCCAGCCAGAGAAATTCCTTACTTTCAGCTACCTCTCTTTTCTGCTCTTGTGCATCTCAGCTCTGCTCTTCACATCTTCTCTCTGAAATTCTGTGTTCATTTGTTATTAGAAGCAGTGGAGGTCATCTAATGTTTGTTTCTTCATTCACTGCACTAGGGAAGTTCTAAGAAAATAGATTTATCATCTTATTTTCATCCAGGTCAGTTAACAACATTCAAAAGTTACCCTGAAGAAATAAATATCTGTAGTTGGACTTCGTCAAACAGAAATCTGAGCGTTAAAAAAGGTTGTGAAACTCCACTATTAAAACACCATCTTTCTAAACACCATCGCATGAACCATTAAGATTCAACAAGGCACATTTTATAACACTGTTTTAAAAAGAAAGCCAGTTCATCTCCCTTCAGAACAGATGATAAGCCTTATCTCTTTTACTGGGAATTTAAGTGGGAATAAAGTAAAAACACACCAAGCTCACAGTATGCCACTGCTGTGGCTGTGTCAGTATTGTTATAATAATGAAATAGACTGTAGTCACTAGCTCCTAAGATTCCCTCTACTTGATAGGAAAAACAACTGGTTTCAAAGGGTCATAACTGTGTCTTGCCTCGGCTAAGAGGTTTCACTGATAGTGCCTCCAAAGAACAGCCACAAACAGCCAGTAAGAATTATAGCTTTTCCCATGCTATTTCATACAACCAACCCCATGCTACAGATCATGGCACACATACTGTTTAAAGCAGTTTAAAACACTCTGAACAAGACCAACATATTTCCTTTCCTCTTCAAAAGATCAGGATGCCCATGATTCCAATAAATAACGCCAGCATGTTTTCACACTGATTCAAAAGCTAAGTAGTCAATGACCATCATAGAGAAGTTTCCTAACAACGGCAGTAATCCTCCTATTTTATCATCAGTAATTAGGTGTTGCAGGGTGATCTATTTCAGCCATTGCACCCACTGTGCAAATCTGAAGACAGAGTTAATACAGAAATATAGCATTCACTAAGCCCTCTCTGCCCACACTCATCAGTGCTTCATCTAAAGTTCTGCTTTACAGACAACACTTTCAAAGCAAGCAGGCTCCCATTTTGGTTGTAAAGTTTTGTCAGGACAATCAGCATTAAACAAACAGAACAAATCACCAATAGAATTCTAAAGTAACTGAATCACAAATTCATACTGCTCTCAGGAAATGGACAACCCAGCATAAACACAGGCTAACAATTTACCATAGCATGTGTTCAAGAAGTTCCTGGTGCAGATTCTGAGCTGCCTGACATCACTGCATTCTCTTAAATGTAAAGGAAACATTGACAGGAAACAAAACAGGGTATAATATGGAAGGGATGCTTTCACACCGAGTGGGAAAGAAATAAAGAACCACAGGTCTCTTCTCAGAAGTATCCACCATACATGGTACTAACTGAGTGCTCATCAAGACCCAGTAAATATTGTGTGCTTAGTAGAAAAAAAAATAAGGGAAAATGGGAATGAGAGAGGAGTTAGGTCTCTGTGATACCCCAGCATTTTACATCCTCGTCTTTTCAGCAGTGTGATTTAACAGGCATCTTGTAAGTATGGTCTAAAAATAGAGTTGAGATAAAGCTGGAGCTGAAAAGTGTGTGGTATGCTCTGTGTAGAGCCCCGGCACAGGCCTCAAGGCATGGAAGTTACAGACAGGCAAAAACGCTCAGACACAGATGAAACAAACACATTTTGGACTGTGTACTTTGCCAGCAGTGTTACCATCCCACTGGGCTCACACACACCTTCCTCATGCTTCTAATCACACTAGCAAGGGAATCTTCACCTACATTATTTTGTTCATTCTTGCCTTTAGTTGATACAGGCATTTAAAAGGAGTCCTTCAAACAACTCACCAACGATGGCACTAAGAATCATGCTGAAGATAGAAAAGGTAAAGTTTATATGCCAAGAGCAAGGGGCAAAATAGAGGCAGTACTGCAGTTATACCCATTTCAGAAAAGCATGAGTATCTGAAAAGTTGTAGGAAAAAAATAAAATGAAGCATTTTATCAGCAAATTATAAGGGAAGAGTAAAGAGAAGAAGGGAATTAACCCTGCCTGCAAATCTCACCAGTGTCCCCAGAAGAACAGCTGCATGGCTATAACCCTGCAGTGCTAGGGAGTCCTTTGTCCCATTTTAGCCTGTGTAATTTTGCAATCAGTAAGAGAAGCTAGAAACACTACTTGCCTTCAAGAAAAGCTGTCCTCACAGGATGCTCCCCTGAATTAACTGCCCCTACAGTCAAGTCTTAACTGACTGGACCAGTCACACAAAATTCTGGAGGAAGGAGAAGGTCAAAACAAGGTCTGCAAATTCCTAGCTGGCATCTGGCTCCTCCTCATTATCAAGTTACTTCAGCTGAGCTTCTGCTTTCAAACAACTGACCTGGAACTAGTCCCCACATTTTCTTCCTGGAAGTTTCCGAACAGATGTCTGCCTTCAGGGAGAGGGAAAAGAGAAGCGTATTTTGCTGAGGAAGCAGAGAAGACATGGCACAAAGACAGCAAAACAATCAACATTTTGCTGAAGTCATTGCAGCCAGGGCCATTTTCTTCCTTGAAGGACTCTCCATCAATCAAAAATAGGCATGATTTCCAAGCCATATAGACAAACTCTTTCAACAAGCTAACTGGTGCTTTGCTTTACAATGTATGTAGCAAAATGTGAAGCATGCCAAGTGTCAGGTTTAGAAAAAGCAAGACCTGTCAAGTGTGTGCAGTTTTGGGCACTACAATATAAAAAAGACTAATCTATCAGAGAGAATCCTGAGGAGGGCTACGAAGATGGTGAAGGGTTTGGAGGGGAAGCCATATGAGGAGCAGGTGAGGTCACTTGGTCTGTTCAGCCTGGAGGAGACTGAGGGGAGAGCTCCCTCAGTGGAAGGGCAGGTACCAATGTCTTCACTCTCATGACCAGTGACCAGACTCAAGGAAACATGAAGCAGAGCGAGAGGAGGTTTACGTTGAATATCTGGAAAAGCTTCTTCTCCCAGAGGGTGGTTGGGCACTGGAACAGGCTCTCCAGGGAGTGGTCACAGCACTAAGCCTGACAGAGTTCATGAAGCGTTTGTGCAACACTTCCAGGCACATGGTCTGACTCTTGGGATGTCCTGTGCAGGGTCAGGAGTTCGACTTGATGACCCTTGTGGGTCCCTTCCAGCTCAGTATATTCTCTTCTATGATTCTATGAAGTTAGGATTTGAAGTCTTCTGATGCAAAATCCTATGGGCACCACCAAGTAGCAGTACCGGAAGTACTCCTACCTATACAGGTGCTGTCCTAACTGAAGCACTAGAACAATCTGCAAAGCAGGGCTCCTGCAACCAGCCTTTTGCTACTGAAGAATCCTGGCTTACGTAACTTATAACAGAGAGCAATCAACTTAAAAACAAACTTCACTCAAACCTTTATTCTAATTCCTCCATTAATTTTCCTGGTATGCACTGTCCCACACAGCTGCCATTCCTTCAAAAAAAGTGTTCTGAGAACATCTCACAGACATCAAGCACTGTTGATCACTCCTGCAAAGACTGTAAGCATTGAGATAGCTACTCTCAAGATCAAAGCAGAAAAGCCACTTGCACATAGTCAAAATAGAAAACTCTCTGCAGACTAGTGTGAATTGCAAAATTGGAAAAAAAACCCCCTTCTTTGTCTTCCTTTACAACAGAGTTGTTATTACTGTGGAGCACACACTCTCACTTCCTCTGTGAGTAAGGATCAAGGAACTGTGTCTGCCTATTTCTGCACTGCCCCTAACAGTGTGCTTAGCTAAACCAGACTTCAGCCATGAAGTCAAATCAAATCCTAATTTTCCGAAGGGGAAGAAACACCCAAACCAAAACATTAAAAACCTGGGACGCTATCAGTAAAAACCTGAGAAGCTTTCTGCTGACTGTCTCTTTTACCTTTACATTCATAACCAACAGTGGCAGCTTTTACTACACACAAGCAATGGGGCAAACTTCTCATTTTAACTCATGGTTTTCAGAATTTTGAGGTAAGTCATTATACACTCAAACAAGAACATTTACCAATAAATAACCCTGAACCTCACAAGGCACCAACTTGTCTCAGTCACTGTGTACAGCATTAGTAGTTTCATGAAATCATAGGAACTTAAAGTTTTTAAGTGCAACTCTGCTAACCTAAGTTCCTTGTTGAGTTTCATGTCTGTTTGTGTACACGTTCCTGCACACAAACAGAAACTTTTCAACTGATAAACTGATATGTAACTCCCTTCGAAGTTTGGACAGGCTCAAAACTTCTTGAAGTTTTGCAGGGGTGAAGCACTACAACAGCTATTGAATTATTTGTGGAGGTGGAAAAGAATTTTATTTTTATAAAAATAACAGCCCATAGAACATTCTCAGTGATCAAGACAGAATTTCAAGTACCACTTGCAGCTGCCAATTGAAAACTGCTGATTTGGTAAAGGAAAAGAAGAGGGTTGTTACTACAAAGCATCAGTTTAGAAGGTTTGTATGAAACCATCTTGCAAGTCCTATACAATCAACTTCAGGCATGCTAGTTGTACCAAGGTAGTCTGATATTCAAGCTAAACTTAGCACATGAAGTAACTGATGCACTATAATTTTACCTAACATTTGCTTAAAGATGCACCAAGAGCAAATCAAAAAGCTCAGCTCTGCTGAGCACTGAGCTCTTTGGACACTTTCACACACAGGACAAAAGCCTTAGTTCAGGTAAGAATTAAGTCTACCAGCCATGTGAGGCATTGTAGTTTGCCAATGCAACTACACAATCTCAGCGTAAACATTCCTACACTAGAGGAGAAATGCATGCAGTGCAAGTCTGAGAGCAAACACTCACATCTATTGCATCTCTTTCAAATATGCGGAGCTGCAGAAACAGCTCAAGCTTGATCTTGCGCTCTTGGAAAAGCTCCTCCATCTGAGACTGGGCCTCATCCAGCTGCTGCAGGACCGTCTCTATGTGGTTGATCGAGCTGTTATGGGGGGTCTTGTTACTAGAAATGGCAGAATCCCTATTCAAAGCAGAGAGAGGGGAGGGGGAAGAAAAAAGAGCATTATAGAAAAAAAACCCCATACGATTTGGATGCTATATATATGACCACAAGATATAAGCCTGCTTCGGATAACATTGTTGCAAAACATATTGCACAAAATTAAAGTCTGTACATCTTTGTAAATAAAAAGTCCAACTACGTTCAAGAACTCGGAAAAAAATTAGGAAATTAATTACCTTCATTTTTTTCCCAATTCAACATGTAAAGACATTCTGTTTACAGGAAGGATAAAATTTAAAACCAGAGACAAATGCTGCCACTGTGAAAAGGAAGTAGCATACGATAACTATTTACTTTCCTGAATCTTCCTGGCAAGGAAAGAAAATCAAAATTAGTTCATTAAAAAAATTACCTGATCTTTTATGTGAGTATAAAACCTGCAAATTCAGATTTGTTAATCTCCTATATGAAAGGAGACCAGCTGGGAACGAAATTTATTTATTTGATAATTTTTTTAATGAAATGGACCACAAATTTGGCTTTTACTACAATGAAGTTACTTGTCAGTATGCAAAACAAATTCAAGTGTCTCTTTATAAAAAGGCTGCTATTCAGAATTCAAAATGCAGTGGAGCCCTGCATGTCAGACTACAAAAACACATAACTGCTTCTATCAAAAAGGTAGCTTATGTCAACAAAATCTCCTTCTTGTGGCAGCAGTGTTTATAAGCTGAGCTTCCTGTAAACAGAGGTTTAGAGACCATCAGTACAGCATGAGAGATCCCAGTAGTCCTAATATTTACAAGTTTTATTTATAGGTCATATCTTGTACTCATCATCTCTACCCCCAAAATAGAAATAACCTCACAGAACATCAGGAGAGATTTAAATAAAAATATGTTTTACCTTAGTTGCTGTATGAGATCTTCACCTTCTTTTATGACATTGACTGTAACCTGCAGAGTGGTCTGTTGTTGTTGACCAAAACGTTTAATCAGGTCTTGGACAGCCTCCACAGACTCAGCATAGACATCATCAAGCAGTTCTTTCTGTAGCTCTTCAAGCCACGTCCACAGCTAAAGGAAAGGGGAAAAAGCAAGAAATGTAAGCCCGAGGATCAGGCAGTCAACTATTCTGAATCCATCTCCCTGGACAAGAGAAAACAGACTGAGGTGGCAGGAAGAAAGAGGATTTGTTTTTCTTGATAGAAAAATCCCATCCTCATATTAATGAAGTCAAGCCTTCGTTTCAAAAAAGGTTTTCGCTTCTTGGAAATACCAGGAAAGCTTTATCCGTGTTGCTAAGTCACCCTTTCTTCCCCATTTTGCTTCTACAGAACTGAGCGTATCCGATTGAGCAGCACAGAGTTCATAGTGAGAATCCCATCTGCAGCTCTGCGCGAGAGTCCCTGGGAGAGAAATGCTATGGTAACACTCTCTGAGAGAAGGGAGGAAGGAAGGAAGGAAGGAAGGGAGATGTATTGTAGCCACCATCAAATTTGCACTGCCAGGCTGACACTGCACACAGACAACATAACACGTTTCAGTGGCCTTCAAAAAAAGGAAAAAGAAAGAGCATTTCAGAAAACAAAATACAGAGACAAATCAGATATAAGATGTTATTGTTCTAGCATGATGGTGTTTGCCCTTCTGATTTCAGTTTCACACTATTACAGCAAAAATCATCATAAGCAATTCTACCAGTTAATTTGAAATTCATCCTCCCTGCTTCCCATGTGCACATATCCCTGCTCAAGAACGGCCATGCACCACGGCTTACATAAAAATCCCTAGGTATATGCTGGACAGGTATCACTGCTGGTCACGCGAAGAACCCTACAGTGTTCTTTTCCACAATTTCATGATGGAAACTCTTGCCATTAGCAAACCATTAGCCATCTACTGTGGAACTGAAAAAAAGCAGCAGGAGCATGGCTGTATCCTGCAACACTCCCATGAGCAGCACCAACATCACACTGGAACAGCTGCTCTTACAGGAAGCATTCAAACACCCGGTCTCTCCTGTCTATTCTACTATCCCATCCCAAATGCTGCTATTCCAAGAACAGGAGTTTGCTTTTTATCCCAAAAGAATAACTCTGAACCCATCAAAAGTATTAAGGTCTTTTGAGAACATTTTAATCTCTGCCTTTGAAAATTTTAGAGACATTTGAACCTAATTAAAATGTTAACAGTGTTAAAATACAAAACTAAGCAATCAAAACTGGCTGAAATTCAAAAGAGAGAAACTTGACTGTTTTCTTTATTTCTTCGCTAAACATTTTCTACAGAAATAGCCACTTCATGCTGCTGTTTGTATATGTATGTTTTGATCATAAAGGTTTCCTAACTAATACATTAAAATAGAACTCAGTGAATGATTCCAGGTGTTGATTAATTAGTTCCTTTGAAACTTTGTTTTAAAATCAAATGCCAGTTTTGGTATCTCATAGCTTTATATGCCTCCTGTAGATTTTGAGTAAACCAAGCTATAGGCTAAGTTTTCACAATTGGGATGAACTAATGAGATTTAACCAGACTCTTGTCTACAAATCTCCTACCCCCTCCTCCCCAAACCAGCACTGTCTGTTCATACACAGTGTTATTCTGACTACTCATATGCTTCAAAGACAATGCTTGTCACAAATCTGAATGCAACTCCACAGTTGTAAGCACCACAGCACAGCAGTCTTTCTTACTAAAAGGACCACAAATCAATAGAACTTTACAAGTGGGTCAGAAGCACTCGTCAACATTCATTCCAGCATAACCCAATGCAGCATCCAATTTTGTTTTCCAAATGCATATTTCAGAATGCAACTTTAACTGGGAAACAAATGAAATTTAAGAGCAAGAAGTTAGAAAATACAACCTGAAAATTTTACTCAGTGCCCAGAGCACATACATTCATTCCTCTCTTAGCTTGTGAAGTTTATGCCTGACCCATAAAAATAGGGCATCGAGTCAGAGACCTTCCAAATGAGCTGTACAGTACAGCTTGCAACTGTGCAGATACAGACATTTGAGAGCAATACTTTGTTGTTTTCTGCAATGTGCTTGGTGCTGGCTAGACGACATTGCTGGCTCTACATGCTTACATACACTCCATGCTTACTGTACTGCCTACAAAAGGCCAAATTCACACAGATATTTACTACAGAGAAACTGGGATTAAATATATTTTATTTCTCAGACTGTATCAAGTTTGCCACCTGGGTCCCTTAGAAGTACCTGTACTGCAGTTCGAGACAGGTCTGAGAGCCACTTCACTTCTTAACAACATGCCTTTTGCAGCTGAGCAGTGTCAGTCCTCTACAAAGAACACACCTCACCTCTTCATTTCTTATTCACATACACTTCAGCCACTTCTATAACTGGATGGAGATCTGGCAGAAGCAACAAAACCTGCAAGTGCTGAACTGGTGAGGTATTGTGCATGTGAATAATTCCCTCAGAGCTCAGCCTGGATGCTGGAGACTAAGCCAACAGAGGACATGCAGACCTTTCCCTCTGCACAGCCAGCTCAAGGCAACACCACCTGACTTGAGCAGAAGGACATGGGCACCAGCACAACCAAGTGTGACGCTGACTGGCTAAGTGCCTGGTCAGCACGGCATCACTACAAACATGGTATCTGGCCCCCAAGGTACCAAAGGGCTCAAAAATACATTTGCCTAGCCCATGAGCTGAATTGTACACAGCTTGGGAAGCAAAAACATCTTATGAAGAGTGCAGAAAGAGAAGGAGAGTAATTAGTATGCATTACTTGCCTAGCTGTGATTCATACGCTGTTGAAAGTGGAACAAGTTAAGCCATTTAAGTGACTAAACAGCTCTGTGACACTGCCATAGCAGAAGTTACTCTAATACATTGCCAAATAAACGTTTTACATTTATGCATCAAGTAAGTTGCTGACAAAAATCTTCCCCTCAAAATAATCTAGGTGTTTATAAACAGAAGTTATGATAAAGCCACCACAGATGAATAAAACTGTCAGATTACTAAAGCTGGATAGAAATTCATGTAGAGCATTGAGAGAAGCTTAATTCTTAATGGGTGGCAGTAGCCAGCTGGCTTCTCTGCAGCTTTCAAACCAGAATGAACCCTGGATATACTGGAAATTACATAAATTACCTTGTTTTCAGATACAAAATTAAGGTTGAAGACTGTACAAGGTTGCACAGCAAAGCCAAAAGAAAGCAAACAGTTTACAGCAGGGGGTGAACAGAGACTAGAGCTTACCCATACATGTTCAGCAGTGCAGAATTACAGATTTTACAGTGCAATGACTTTCTGAAGTAACACATTATTCCATAAAAGAGAGCTTGGCAACAAAAATCCAGTGGGGGAAAAAACCACAAACTCATCATTAAAAAACTATTAACTTTCTCTCGGTGTGAACTTTTGAGCAACTTCCAGTCATGTTTTTTTCTATTCTTTGTAGAGAAGTAGCATGAAGATCCCTAAACAAACATCAAATCCTCTGATCTCAGTAAGAACTTTATCCAGCAGCAAGACAGCTCTAACACATGGTGAGAAAAACTGCATACAAAACTCAATCCAGTCACAGAAGGAGGTTCTTCGCCTCTTTTCATCTGCTCTTTGTATCTTATCAGAATTAAAATTAGAGAGGGAAATAAAATTCTGAATCCCTGACAGGCAAATGTTTCACTCAGCAGATTTTTTTCTTGATCTAAATATAGCACAGACTAAGAAACATCTGCTTGAATGAGCCTGCATCCTGTAGTACCTCTTTCCTAAGTTCTTGGGAGCATGCCATTAGTCACTGAGATGGTATTACTTCAATTGTCTGCAACATCCTGGAAGTTTCAGTGTTTCCATCATGGGCCTCTATCCATTTAAGTCCCATCTCTGCAATCTCCTGAAACACTGCAGTTAAATAAGACCCTACTATATTTTGCTGAATTTAAACAGAGAACAATTGTTTCTGAGTAAATACTTCACCCAAGAGCACAGAGTTATTTATTAGGGTAAAATATCCATCATACTCTTTCACAAGTTATTTTTTCATTTTTATAATACTGGCTTTTGGATTTGCAGTCTGCCTTTTCAGTAGGCTCAGGCAAAGAAAGGCACATGGTTTCTGCATGTAAAAACTGCAAATTCCTCTTTCTGCCCCCGTCCCCCAGCACAGTGTTGCAGTATGTGCATTACCACAGGCACAGTTGTTGAAGGACCTATTATTTGTACAGGGTCAAATGTTGTAATGGTGTTCTCTAATAAGTATGTCCAGGCACAGGAAGGGGCTGGTGTGTGTGTGTGTCTGCCTGTAAGCTTTGGCTTTGAGGATATGCAGTGCACAAAAAATGTGACTTTTTAAAAACAAAAACCTTAAGATGTTAAACACCACGGGGTTTGTCTTCCAGGGCCTTTCAGAGGCATTTAAGATGTTAAATGCTTGCATTTTTTTTCATTAGATATAATTATCTTTAAAAGCTTCAAATACCCCTATCTATCCTATGGTTATAAAGGAATTAATTTCTGATTCAGAATAAATTCATCCTTGCAGCAAAACCAAGTTTCCCACATGTTCATAGAATTACATCAACTACTACTACCCTGTTAACATTTGCCCTATTTCTTAACTGAACAAGAGAAAAATGTCTATACATAGCTTAATAGAGCATAAAGGCCTACTTCTGCCTCACTTTTGTCAAGCACTCTGTGCTATTTCAGTTACACTGAGACTTTAATTTCATCCTTTTTCCAAGCAAAGAAGCGACCAGTATTAAAAAACTCAAGAGAGAAGAAAAGCTGTGCTGGCAAACTGAATTCCAGTCCTACCAGCAGTAAGCCACTACACATTTGAGCGTACAGCCACTGAGAGTAATTCTTATTTCTGATTTAAAAGTGTCCTCCACAACTCTCACAAGATGAGCAGTGTATCAAAATACTGACCAGAATGCGCTTCGTATCTTTTACCAGACCTGTTACATTGACCATGGCTGTGCTATAATGACACAATGAAAGTATTAGAGATGCATGAGCCAAATCGATAAAAAGCCTTTACATGTAGATGGGGGCATCCAAGAGATTCTCTGCTGCTGGAAACAGCATGCAGAGGAGAAAGCAGCCTTTTCTGTGACATCCAAATTTAACCTGTACACTGCCAGCACAGAAAGATCAAATACCCAGGAGGGGCATGCAACCAAAGGAGCAGAGCTGTCATCTCAGGGTCTACCTCGAGACAACATTAATGCAAAGCTGTGCTATGGACACCTTCACATACTGGGCAACACAGAGCAAAGTGTATTTCCAGGAGTGAGTTGTAAGACAAAGCAAGACTATTATCAACAAGCTTTTTTGAATCAAAGGCACATGCCTCATAGGCGTGAATGAATGGGCAGCAAAGCAAGGCCTCCCCAGCCCTCCCTTGCACTGGCACCCTCAAAATGATGCCACCTTCCCTCCAATGCTTGCACAGACCACTGTTCCATTACTTTGGTAATGATGGCTTCGTGTCTGAAAACCCAGCCAATTCCACTTCCCTTCTCTTTGTTTCAACCCCAGTCTATTCTGGAGCAAAGTTTAGTTTAAGACAAAAAAAGTAGAGTCATGCCTTCTAGTAACACCATTAAGCATTCTGTGTTTACATGAAAAGCGCTCTGAGCTATTTTATAATCAACTTGTCAGAATACCCACAAAAGGTTATATGCAAAAAAACAACAGGCTCTTAAGAGATCATTCCCTTCCACATACAGTCAGCCTGATCTGCATTCCCACACTTGACTCCAGTTAGGAAAATATCTGTTGCTCTTCTTTGGCACTACAACAAACACCTGGCTTGGACAGGATTTCAGTCTTCCCACTCACAGATGCTGAGGGAGCCATTTTGGAGAGAGTGTGTGTGCACATGTGTATGAATGTGTATGGAAGAATTTGAACTCACACCAAAATGCTGTTCATCTCTAGTCTGTGACACACTTCATAGCAGAGACTATTGAGACTCCTGCTCCTGTGTTCTGCACACAACCTTTTATGATAACATTTGAAGATAACAGGAACAGATAAGCAGTTATCTTTTACCAGGGCAATTTTTTCTCACCTCGTCCCTTGCCATCTTATTAAATGTCCAAAGGCACAAAAGCCATAAGGGTTCCACTGTCTCACAATGGTCTGTGTCAGATGTTCAGCTGTTGTATGCTACCCATCCTCAGGCCAGGAATCTGTCAAGACACTGTACTTCCAATGCAAAGATCCTGACAGGGATATTTATGATCCAAAACATTTCTAAAGCTTGTCGGTGCACAGCTTAACTTCAGTACATCACTTCACTGAAGAGTCTGGCTTACAGATTGAAATTTCGCACTGTAGGCATGGGAGGTAAAAATCAATATTCACAACCTCACAATTTTAAAACTGGTAATAAGATAGCAGTATGTAATCACAATTTACAAAGAGCAGGCAACTGATTTTCTCAGATCACTGCTAAGCAAAATGAGTTATACCATTACATGACACTGTATTTCTGTCATTTCTGAATAGCTCCTTTTTCTCCCCAGTGAAAAATGCTGTCTGTTGAAGTCAGTCTGTGAGGAGTCTGAGAACTTATATGCTGGTTTTTTGGTATTTGTAAGCCACAGGGAGCTCTACCAGCTTGTAACAACCTCACTACAAAACTTCTGGAAAGGCTAAGGACAGACAGTATTTTCCATGTGCATCATAACAGGCTGCTGCACACACAGCACACAGCTGCTCTGTGCATACAAAGAGCAAAAGTCTGTTAGTTTCAGGAAGAGCTTTTCATGGCAAGCACACTGTTGACAGCAAAAACTGCTGATTTACTCAGCATGAACAGAGTGAGAGTACTGGGCAGTCACTGAAGGGCTGCTGCTTCCTAGACAAGCGGAGAAAACATGCAGGCAAATTCTGCATCAGGTATAAAGGTTATGTAAATCTACGGGGGAGAAGTGGTAACAGAATACTCTCATCCAAATGTGAAGCATTCATTCAACATGAAGTATTTCTGGAGGAAAAGAATAAAACATACCTCAGAGAAATCAAGGGATTGGAAGGATTTGGAGCCAGATTTCAAAACCTCAAACAGCCAACAACTCAGACAAACAGCTTTTCTAAGGTCTGCAGCTCCCTCCAAACTCACATACAAACAGGAATTTAAGTCTTCATGTCTATTTTTTTTAACCAGGAAAATACAAAAAACAGATACTAGAGATAGAATTTGCCCTGAATACTTCAAGGGCAAAATGCATTGGTGCGGTTTTGCTTTGTTTGGTTTTTTTGTGTTTTGGGGGTTGACTGGTTGGTGGGTTGGGCTTTTTGGTGCTCTTTTTAAGGTTTTTTTTTTTTTATTTTACAACTACGGCACCTCCTTCTGCTTCAACAACTAACCTATTATCCTACTGCCAGAACTGCTCTCTTCATTTTTTTTAAGGTATTATTTTACAGGTATTTTTTAAGGTATTATTTATAAGGTATTATTTTACAACTACGGCACGTCCTTCTGCTTCAACAACTAACCTATTATCCTACTGCCAGAACTGCTCTCTTCACTAGCTACGTGTGCATGTTAATTTCTTCACAATACAGCAGAAAGGTTATGTTGCTTACAGGTATGCACTAATTTATTCAGCGACTTCCCACATCCTGCAGGAGGAACACAGTTCTCCTGCCAATAAGCACGGATGTCTTTCAGGTTAGGGCATTTTTATCTTCCATCTGCTTTGTGATGCCTTCTCAGCACTCCATACGTATGTTTGATAACAAACAACATGCTCTTGAAAATAGATCAGAATACAGAAAGTACAGGAGAGCTCTGAGCTTGCTGTTTCTTTGCACCTGAACCAAGGACTAGTCTACTAAATATGAACCACCCACCTCACTCCCTCATCTGTATTTTTAAGTAGATTGCAAACATATAAAAATATATTCTTCACAAACAGGTAGTATTAATTTTTTTCTGTGCATTGCTAGGTATAAAGGCCATTCATATCACAAAACAAAATTAAAAAATCAACATCAACCACTATAGTACTTTCCCCCCAAAGTCTGGACTGCAAAGAGGCTTCCATACTAACAGCTGTGTGTGCTTACAGACTCAAAATAATAGCCGTTTTCCCAAAGAAATAAATCAAAATACAGAATATCTATTTTTTTTCTTTTCAATAAAACATTATTATCTAGGGGAGCACTGGCAATGGGCCAGCACATCTGGATCAGCCTCCCAGAATTATTCAACAGTGACTCACATATCAGTCTGCCCTTCAGGGTTTTTTTTCATTTTTGAAAGCAAATCCTTTTACACTCTTGGTCTTTCACCACCACAAACAAGTGTATTTTATTTAAATACCATTCCAGCTGTTGTTTTTAATGCTAAGAGAAACAGGCAATGAAGAAATATAGATGAAGAAAAATGAACACATTTCAGCAGCTGACTGCTCCTGCGCTTCATAACAGATAAGGACCAGTACTATTTGCTTGACAAAGTGAAACAAAAAAGCTGCCCCCTAAGAACAGTTTATGAAACAGCATTTATATTTTGTTTGAACAAGCAGTGTCCTGTGAGAGTATTGGCAAGGAACCATCTAGCAGAAAACTGATGGGGGAGCTATGTACTCATGTCTAAAGCTAAAAAGTAATTCAGTCCTGACCTCCTTCAAAGACCAACTGCCTTGTGCTTTTGTTTCAAGTGTAAAGCAGATGTTTCACTTACAAAAAACTCCCACTCTTATCCTCTAGGAGGTTTTGCTGAAGAAGCTACTTTGAATACTATGCAAAATGGTCTGTTCAGTGGCAAAGCAATGTACAGTGTCAGGAAGGAAGGCACACTGGAACATGCTGTGATCCAGAAGCTTTTCATATTTTCACTGAGTTTGAACAGTGAGGAGACTTAACACGAGCTTAAAACAGAACCCAAGTAACATAAGACTGTCAAAAACCAAAACACCTTGCTGAAGTCCTTATTCTTGTGGTAGCCTGTTCCACCTTCTCCCATGAGCTTATAAATTCACATTCTGTGTTTTGAATTGGAGCAAAAAGCTAATCTTACTGAAAATTAGTATGGCTGAATTTTCTTTTTCCTGGTGACCTTGGAAGAAGACTAAAAATTGCAAACATGAGGCAAACCACTGCCATTATCAGATAAGATCTTTAGGTTGCAAAGAACTGTCAATATACCAGATAAAAATGTGATGTGCAAAACAGAGAAATAAAAAAAGTCTCTCTGGGTGACAAGGTTGCCTTCAGTAGCCTTGCACTTCTGCCATACATTTCATTATCCTGAACCATGTCTGTCCAACCATGGGTCTGGTATGTCAGACAACAGGAGAGCTAGTTGGATAAAAAAACCAAAAGTGCACAGTATCTCCCTGCACAATGCTGACTTTTAGCTATACCAGATCCCTGATACGACCCTTCTCCCTCCCCTGTGACTGAACAAGCATGTGGACTTGTGCAACGAAGGAGGTAAAAGCTGCTTCTGAAAGTAAAAAAATCAAAATAAAATAAAATTTTAAAAATCCTTAAGCAGAACCACACACAGTGGTTCTGCTTAAGGACCACAGCCCACAATCCACAGTGAATTACAAACCAACAATCATCATACAACAGAGGTTTCATGGTGGCCTATGGCAAGGTTCTAACAATGAAAGTAACACTGGATAATACTGGGTTTAGGACTTGAAGTTATCATCACAATTAGTAGAAGTTTTACCTCTTTAACATGAGTGTGAAAGGACACAGACATGTCCAGCAGGATCTTGCGCTGCTCCACACGCCTGACAAAATCCTGTATCCGGTCTTCGAGCTGATGGGCAGCTTGATAAATCTCCTCCGGGTCACACTCCCCAGTCTGAGCAAGCTGCTCTGCTGCTTCTAGGAGCTTATCTGCATTCGTATATGTGTTCTGGAGAGAAATAAGTTAGTTTCACAGTATTAAATGAAAGAAAAGTCAGTCAGTACATTTTAAAGCCACGTCACTAATAAAAACAAAATTACAAAAAGGCCCTTGGAATGTACTTGTCTTTCTTCTTTTCTTAAAGGCAACACAATATAATCTTACTAAAGATTTTGTTACATTTCTATATGATTTTTCACTTAACTGTGAATAAATTCCTTAGCTCCTTATTTATGCCTATTCAAAGGTTTCCTCAACACAAAACATGAACTTAGTATTTTATATACACATCTAGAGTAAAGATCACCCAAAATGCCTAATTCACTACATGAAAACTGGCCTATTTCAATACTGGAAAAATCACTACAGGCAGAGACAGAGGACTTTTCAAATGTGTACTACTAGAGCTAAAGAAATTCTAACTGCTGGTAGAGACACCTAATCAAGGAAGGTGGTAGAGACACTTCCAGCAGGAAGGTGGAAAGTGACCAAGCACAGAAAGAGAACATTTCTCTCCATCCTTAAAGAAGTCAGAGATCCAAAATTCATGCACCAAATGTATCATCATTTGTGAAACAGCAGCAGCATAGGAAGATTTAGAAGTGAGCTATGGCCGAGTATCCTAGTGGAACAGTGTCCCAGTACATCCCAGGATTAAGAAATGCAGATCAGAAGGCATGTAAGAGACTTGAGACTAAGCAGAAAACAATGGAAAAAGTCTGGTCTCTGATGTGCTAGGAGTGCTACGGTGCAGAGAAGAGACAGGTGTTTAACAACTCTTAAAGCTCTGCATTGCAGCCTGCCTCAGTATCTTTCTGTTAATTTGAAACAGGACTGAGTGCAAACCTTTGTTACTCTTTGGGTGCCCTTTTTGACCCTAACCTTGGGTTTTCATGTTTTAGAATGGTTCTCAAAACTCTCATCAAGGAAGGTTAAAAGGATGTTAACCACTGAAGTAAAAAACTGAAGCCAAGTCTAGCCTGATAGGTTGGCATCACAGACTAAGACAAGAAGAAAGCATTCTTGACAATACAAACTACACCTTTTGCTTCTCCTTTCTGCCCTTCTATGTTCTCCCGACCTCTTTTACACCAGGTAAAAACAATCCCTGATAGGGGATGAAGCCTATGCAAATGTGCTCTTCTTTGACATAAATATAGTATCATACATCTAATTAACATTATAATATCCACAAAAATTAAATCCAAGTCCAGCCCTAAAACTGAACTAAGGGGCAGGAAATAAGAGCTCTCCCCCAGGGTATCAAGGTAAATTACCAGACAAGCCCAGGACAGATTACATGACTCAGTGAAGCTTTCACATATTTGGGGGAGCTCCCCCTTAATTTATTATGATCTATTTATGCATGGAATTAAATCCATGCTGTTCCTTGACTTTGACTCTCAAGCTCTTCCTTAACTTTCAGCTTTTTAGTTGTACAAAGAGATAGATGGTTTCCCTGGGAAGCATGCAGAGACAACACGAACTTATGCTATTCAGGGGGGAGCAGGCTACTCCACGCCCCAGACCACTGTCTCAGGCCATGCTGGCCCTGAACACACTCTGAGCTGTGCTTGGGTGTCCTGCCTTCCATGCCTGCAGCTCACATGTGTTCAGGAGCCAAGGACAGAGAGCCTCAAGGCACTCCTCAAACAACAACTACTTCATCAGTCCAGAGCACCACACCCAGCTGCAGATGGCTGAAACAGAAGTTTCCCATTTTAATGAAAACTTTATCTCACATGTGAAGCATTGTTTACGAATTCCAGGAGTATCTTCCGCATTACACAGGCCCAGGCACATCTGACTTCTCTTTTCTGTAAAGGGGATGGTGAGCTGCCTGTATTTAGAAAAGAGCACAGCCTGGATGCTGCTTCAAAAGGGGTTGCAATTCTCAAACCTGGCAGCAGGCACATGCCTCCTTGCTCAAATTTCACTTCCAAGTAGAGCTGGAGTATAATATAAACTGCCCCTTGGATAGAAATCACATTAACTAGGTGTTCAGTACCACCTACTGCCTCCCCCAGCTCGCTGCTTGCTTCTAAACAATGCTCAAAGGGAAAAAAGCAGTAATGTGAAGATTTTTGAAAATGCTTGTCCCAAGGGGCAGCCTCTAGCTGAAAGTCAGGCAAAAAGAGCAAGAGTTCTTCCTTAATGGTGCTTATGCCAATTTCCTAAATTCAAGGAAAGGCAAGGAGCCTTCAGGGTGACAAACTTCTTCAGGATCTCTTCACTGGCACACTCTCCCCAGATCCCAGGGGAAAAGGAGTCCTGTAAGAACTTCAAGATCACCTGTAGTCCATCCTTCTGTGCCCCAAGGTGCAAGTCTTTAATAGGCATTCTTCTCCAAAATGATGAAAAATTCTCCATAATGGAATTTACTACCTCCTCCAACTACAACGTCCATAATTTTTCCCATCTTTCTGTTAAATAATGTTTTCTCAACATTCTTCATAAAGAACAAACACCATATTTTTAGAAAGCATATGAAGTGACGCATCACAGAAAACCCAAAGATTAAATTTCAGACACTAGTGCAGATATGACTACTACTGACAATAAATACAGAAACAGAAGTAAGTGGAGATATGGACTGCACTTCAAACAATCTGGAGTTTACTGTGGTCTGGAAAGGGAAGAGCGACACATGGATGGCCACAGACCAGCAGAGGTATCCAAATCATTAAAGGTATAGAAAACAAGATAGAAGACTCATTAAGTACATAGTGAACACTATCACATTTAAGCATCAGACAATACATTTAAAATGAAAAAGCAAAGTACTTTTCATCTGAGGAGCAATTAAATTGCATAACTCATTGCCACAGGGTCTGGCACACATTCCAAGATCATAAAGGGGTTCAAAAAGTAGCCTAATTAAAGAAAGAAAAGTCCATCAGTGACTGGTTCAGATACATCCTTCAGTTCCAACATCAAACTCAAATAACTGGGAGGGTGAAGGTAACTTTTTAAGCATACAGTCCCTTTTCTTTATGCATCCAGTGAAAACCACAAGTCAGTGTAAGACATGGACCTTTAATTTGATGTATTGCAACCATTTCATGGGTAAAGTTCAGAACCAGTCCGAATTCATAACCCATTTTTATGGGAACATGGGAACAGGTGTTGGTAGTGAAATGAAAGGTGTATTCAGACAAGGTCTGCAATAATCTTTCTTGCACATCTCTTGCGCCAAGAAAACTTACCTGTGGGAAAAAATCCCACTAATTAATTGCTGCCATACACCTTTTGTGTTTCTTGAGCATAGACTACTGTCAAATAGCGGATACAGATTCCATTTGAAACCCAAAATCTGATTTAGAATTTCAGACAAAAATGCACACAGAAGTACAACTATAATATTGACCTGTATCCAGTGTTGTAAGCTGAAAATTCATGCCCATAAGTGAATCAATTATGTCAAAATTTGGACACTTGACACTTTAACCAAACAGTCTGATGGACACAGAGATGAACATGGAGAGAGGGTCAAAAAAGAAAGAAAAATATGGGTGAGTAGAAATGTAACTGGACAGGCTTCACATGAAAAGAAAAACACAATTTTACAATAGTGGGTGCAAGCCAAAGTATGTAATGTGTAGAATTAATTTGTAATCAGAATTTAGGGAGGATTATTAGCTGAGTTTCGACCATCTAGCTTTTGTAGTGGTAAGAAAAAGTGTTAAATAAAGAAAAACAAACCTTCATTTCACATTAATTCAGAAGTGACTAATTTGTGAGACTACAGCCCATTGACTGGAATGTCTATTCCATTTGACACACAGCTTATTTTAACATCTCTTTGTATGCTGTTGAGGAAATGGCACCTCATTCACGTTAGAAAAAGAATGTGGGAAGAAGCAGAAAGGAAGAAAAAAGAAAATACAATTTTCACTCCTCTCACAATCAGGAGTTAGCCTTTGACCAGAAACATGTCAACATAACTGTTGGCTCCCTGGATGTGCCAGAACATTGCCATGCCAGTGACACTTCATTTAGCATTACTTTCAACTTCTGGCTGGAACTGACTGAAGACCCCTAATAAAGCCCAGAGTCCTACTAAAAACAAACAAAACCAAAATCACAACAGAAAGAGCAACAACAACAAAAAAAGCCCAAAATAAAAACCACAACAAAGACGTGGACCAACCAGAAATGTAGGCAGAAAATAAGTCAGCCAAAAGTTACTGGTGCTTTAACAAGGCCTGCAGAATGCTGTTTTATACTCGAACATAATCTTCCTTGTAACAGCAACAACAGGAATGCCTTTTGGGCTGCTTATGTTCATTTTTACAGCAAGTAACAGGAACAACTCAGAGGGTGTGCCTCTCTTGGCAGTAACTTGCTACACATTCAAGAGTTAGAGATGAAAAAAATACTTATTAGATCATTTTGTCCATCCTTCTGTCAGTGGAAGATAGTCCCCTGTAGTATATTTAAGTTCTTTGACCAATCTAAGTTTTCAGTATCTCCAAAAATAGAACTTACACCCATTCCCTGAAGAGAGAATTTCAAACTCCAGTAACATTCAGTCTAAGGAAGTTTTTAGTAAACATTTGCTTTAAAATTTTCTGCTTTAAAGTCTAATGCAAATTAACAAGATGCTTTTTTTAACATCCAAGTAACATTTCTATACATTTCATCCACTTTTGGCTACTCAAAGATTTTCTTCTTCTTTGCCCAAATAATACAGTATTAAGTATGAGATCATTCAGGCTTTGTTAAGTATCTTACAGAAATAGACTCCTGCTTGTCTGACCCAAAAAAATAAGTATTTCCACATGGAAAATACTACTTTTTACTAAAAAATTAAGTAATAGACATGCATATAGGAAATCCAGCATGTATCTACAGAAAAGTAACAAAACTTATTCTTTTCGAAAATTTTACAGGAAATCAATATTGAGAAAGTTTTCTCACGCTATTTCAAGTCCTCAGCCACTGGAGTGCTCTAAGACTGTATTTACAATAAAATTTTACCAAGAGCTAATCCTCCACTAGACAGGCAAACTGTAAACAACGCTTCTGATGCATTCCCCATAGCAGGTGTCACTGCCAAGTTCCTGCATACAATGCCACAATTATCTAATAACTTTGCCTTCTGTTTGAATGAAGCACCCCTATATAAACCTCACCTTCAGAGATTTTTCTTCGTTAACCTTGGAAATAATGTTTTCTCTTACCAATCATTAAGACTGGACAGACAGTGCATGTTACCAATGGGGAGGATTCTAGCATTCAGCTTCCATCACAGGGTTTTTCTTCACCTCACATCCCCTTTTAGAGGCTAACACAGCTACACCAGCTTCTTGTTAACTTTCCTGCATTCCTTTGTATCTCTGTTTTGATTTTTTTCACAGAAGAATGTGTTCTGAAGTTGTAACATCACTTAAGGCTAAACTAAGAGTTATTCAGAAGAGGAGAACATGTACAAACTCAATTGTATTCAAAGAAAAAAAACTCAACCCAGGTTGGCCAGTTTGCTGGCTCACTTGGCTTCTTAGGAGTCCCCTTTCCTCTCCATGAGACTGCAGTGAGAATCTGGGAGCTCCCCAAGCTCAAAGTCAGCAAGCTCCATCCTCTCTTACAGGCTGCAGAAAAGTTTAAATCCTATAATCCCATGGAACTAAGTTACTTTGAAATGAGAGCTTTCATTCTTCTGTAAATCAATATTTGTAAGTATGATTTTGAAGAAACAACAACAACAATAATAATAATAATAGTACTGTATCAATCATGCCAGAGCAGTTCTATTGTACTTTAAGGCTCACACTCTCTAGGACTGTGGAAGTTTTTCTTTTTCATCTCAAAGCTGGAGCATAAAGGAAAAATGAAATAAAAACTTGCAACAGAAACAAAACAGTCCCTTTCTGGAATGGAATGTTTTGTAGTGGAGCTCCCTCTGCACAGCCCTTAAGTGCAAAAGCAGGAATTTTTCACTTATTTCCATGAGGAGCGTACAGTCCTTCAGGTGATTGCTTTTACCTGTGCAACCTCTTCGAAGTCTTCATGGCGTTTCTGCAAAGCTCTGGCCCGATGCAGGGATTTTCCCACTCCAGTGTGTTTGCTAAGAAAAGCTTCTCCATGGTTTTCAATCCAATCCAACACCTGTGGTACAGAAGAGAGACACAAAGAAATCCTGAGTGGCTGTATTGAATGTTACAACAAAAAGACAATTATTCAAGCAATTGAGAAACTGTAAAGGCACTGCTTAAAAAGAACTGAACTGCTGGATTAAAACACAATGTTGCCATTGAAGGACATTAATTACATCTCATTTAACTTTTCTCGAGGCGGTAATTAGCTCAAACTAGCAAAATAGTATGATTCAAGATTATACCTGTATTTTGATGCCTACCAAGGACAACCCCATTCCTCCATATTCATCAATTTGACAGTAATCTGATCCAAGGGTTGAGACCCCTTGTGATGGTCTCTCTAATCTGTTTATGCCTTCAGCTGACAGAAGAAATGCCTTGCATTTTTCTGCAAGGTAACACTAATTTAGCTTGCACATTGCTGGTGAATAACACAGTGAAGTTCTACTTTAGATGATAACTCACTTCACCTTCTACTTTAAGGTATATGATTAAGTCAAGAAGTAAGATTCAATAGTAACTAACTTCAATTAACACAAGAAGAATTAGTTGAAATCATTATGAGATAAATGTCTATATTCAGAGCATATGAAGGAATATGCTCCAGTTCTTAAGAGGCATCTGTCACCTCAAAACATCAGACATAATTGTTTATTGTGAATTTTATAGCTGAAAAAGTGGCGAACAAAACACATTTTAAGGACCTTAATGCTTCTACCACGTCTGGGGTGACAGCTTTACAAATAGTAAAAACTATACATGTAATTAGTTCCTGTCAGTTAACACAAAATATTTCTGCACATATACCAAAATTCTGATGAGTAAATGAAGAAAAACATCTAACCTCTCTTCAAACTAATACTTCCTACACATAACTTAATCTATTAGTTCAGTATGCATATGGCATTCACTTTTTTGGAAGATACTCAAAAGGTTCAAGAATGACATTCAGAATTAAAAACAACAGCATATAAGCAATTTTCTTAAGTCAGCTAACCATATCTACACAGCACTTATGTAGTGGTGCAGAATACCTTACCTAACATTCACCTCCAGTGTTCTTTTTTCTTTAAAACATGAATATTTTAGTTGGTTTTGAAAATAACTTCCAAAAGCCTGTCCTGTGCCTCTTCTTATCTAGTATTGTCCTTTACTCTGATTCCTAAAGTTGGGTGAGGTTTTCTTGACAGTTTTCTTTTACTGAAAGTGTAACTGAGTATAACTAAAGAGACTTTTTTTTTTTCTTCCACATAGATTTGAGAACCATTCCTGCAACACCACTCCCGATCACATTCAATACACATGTAATCCCACACACCATTCCCATGAAAAACATCCATGCTTTCTTTAGCAAAAGAATGAAAACATGGTTTTCTCATTTATCTTGACCGTGCAAATATTGTTCCATTTGCAAGCTCTCTACTACTGGACATCTTCAAAACAACAAACAAATCCCTAATAGCACAAAATACAGCTACTTCAAATCACCAACACTTCATTAAATCTCCATTTTTAACTTCTGCAATACTTGCTTTCCCAGTAAGTATTGCCAAAAGAATATTATTGTGTTTTAGGTCAGCGCAAGTTTTCATTGTTTTCTCTCAAGGTAAAGTATCGATCAGAGAAAGGAGAGTGAGGAGCTAAACATAGCCTCAGTTATTATTACCAATGTTTTTGACTAGTTTCAGGAGACTACTTTTCCCATTATAAAAAGAGCTGAAAAGAGATATGTTTGGATGAAATAATTAGACTGGACTCTGGAGACTACTAACAGTTACAAGCTAACAAATGAAATCAACAGCAAAATCAGCCCCAGAAAGCATGGGATGAAATGCAGAAAGCAGCCCAGGGAGAATGATTTTTGCTCTGAATAATGCTGAATAACTTCTCAGGGGAAGAAATTGTCATAGAAATCCAGTACACAGATCATGACATAAACCACTCAACTAGAGAAACATTACTGCCTCTAAGTGAAATCAGTATGAATACACATCTCATTACTGTACACCCTTCATACCTTGATTCTTAACAAAACTGAGGAAGGACTCTTGGGAATTTTACAGCATGAAGAGGCAGAGTCAAGTTAGGCTCTTCCCATCAGTAAGAGCTTTGCATACCACCTCAATCAAAGGACAATACCACTAGTTGGCACTGATATTAGCCTTTTAGCCACTTACACATTTTCTTCCTCTTCCTCGGAGAAGTAAGAGTTACAGAAATCACCATACTGAGAACACTAAAGGGATCTTCTACCAATACTGAAATCAAATGGAATTCAGTCTGGTACTTAAGGATACATAGGAGTCTAAGAGGTTCAACACCTTTCAGTGAAAGGGTGAATAGTATCACCCTCCACTGCAGCAAGTTGCTTTAATGATGCAATTAAGTTCTATTGCAGTATCAGCAAAACCATCCTTATACCCAATACAGGATCTAGAAAAATGCTTACTTTCCAACTCCCAAAAGAATATACGTCAGAAGAAACTACTATGGAAAAACAGCTTCATTTTAAAAAGTATTGCTCATGGCTGTAAAATATGTGGTATATGCTGCTTGTAGAAGTAAACCTGATCTTTTGCAGATTCATTGTGCTCATTTGCACCAGTCTTTCCCACATTATTATCCACTCCTCAACCCCCCCACCCCTTTACCTACTTTGCATACATTCACTTTTCTGATCTCCACTTACTTGCTGCTGACATAGCATTCAGAAGGGGAAGATGGAAGTATCTGCATTTCTGATCTTCGGACAGTTAAAATGTGGAAATACTCACTCAAAAAAGTCCCATTTTGCACTGGAACCGCCTTCAAAAGCCACATGGGAATCACACAGTGAAATCATGTTGATGCTAGCAAGTAGCAAGCATTCACGGCCCGCCCATCATTAGTCAAGGCTGAAACTAGTGTCTGTAACCTGTCTTGAGGCAGGCAGATCAAGCAAGAAGCAGCACATTTAATCCAAAATGGACAGAGAAGACACCGACTATGATCAAATAAATGTATTTCTGGGGGGGGGAAACCAAGCCAAACCAAATCAAAACACCCCCCCTCCAAACAAGAACAACAAAAATAACTAATCCCCCTCCCACCCCCAAAAAAAACCCTCAAAACATCTCCTACCAGCATGTTTTACTAATTTCTGGCTTGCAAGCTATCAGGAGAGTTTTTCAGGCACCAAAACTCTGATCACATAAGTGTCAGCGGTATCACTCTACCAGAAGCATTATCTTTATGCTCAATTTTGACCTGTCATGGCCTAGAAGAGCAGAACATTTTGCAAGTCTGCTTTATTGCTTCATATCAGAATCAGTCAGCTTCGTTCCTTAGGTGAAAGGCTGACTCTTATTTACTTGTAAGCTTATTAAGTCTTAAAACACAAAATCATACTTTCACTAGCATGCAGAATGACTACACAGACAACTGAGTGCCAGTGGCCAGACTTTGTTAATATACAAAACTAACTGGGAACTAGATCTCCCAGACTGAATTCCATTTCCTTTCAGTATTGGTAGAAGAGCCCTTTAGTGTCTCAGTATGGTGATTTCTGTAACTGAAGTCAAACCTAAAGTCAAACCTTTGACTTTAGGTTTCTGCTACCTAAAGTCAAACTCAGAATTCCATTCAGTTTAAGACTGTCATATGTTTTCACATTTCAAATTTCAGATTTTCTGTAATTCACTTATTATCTACTATTTCCACTATTTCATACACTACTTTCCTTACTACTCGTTTCAAAAGATCAGCTGATGATTCTTGATGTACTCAAGGTATCACCACAATGTTTCTGTTGATTTGGAAGGCTCCACTACAAACACCTTCCCAGTATACAAGAACATGCAAGACAGAAGAAGAAATCCAAAGAGCTTTCTGAGGTGGAAGTAACACAAAGTGTTACCAGCTCAACACGGCCAATTCCTTCCCCCACCTCAGCTCTGTCACTCACTTAACACTTCCATGAACTGAGTTATTTCATTAACCCAGCAGAGGGAGGAGGAGGAAATCAGAGACTCATGCTAAAGGACAGTTATGGATTCACTTACAATGCTCTTGGTTGCTTGCCACTATGTACAAACTAACTATAAACAGTGGAAGAGAGCCACACTTAACTTATTGTGAAATAAATAAAATAAACAAAACACCACATTTAACTTTACTGACAATAATTAAAAGATGCTTTCATATTAATTTCTCAATCAATCCTAACTGAATTTTTTAACATTTGAACAAAGAAAGAATGTACAAACAAAAATGAAAGTATTTTAGAAAGAAAGTTGCTTTGGAGCTCTACATAACCATTCCAGAACCATCTTGGATTTAAATTTAACTAATACCTCAAACTAGAGTAATTTCATGAACTGAATGGTATTAATGATTATTCAAATGAAAAACTACCGTTTCTCACATTAATTAGGATGATCTGATGAAGTTGTTTTGATTTTGTTTTGCAAGAAAAAGGAGTATTTTTATTGAAGATCACTTTTTTCCCCCAGATAAATTTTCAAAGCCAAGGGAGCTACAAACTCTAAGACATCTGCTGTGACTATTAGATTATCTCTCTGGTACGGATGTTGAATGGTCATTGTCTTACAGACTGACCTGCACTGAAATCTTAGTATGAAAAGCTGTCTTATAAAAGGGAACAGTGACCAAAATTCACACTGTGATTCATAATGCAGTGCCAAAAATACCTAATATCTGTAAAGTTAAGTTAAAGCAACATAAGGAGCTATACTTCCACATGCAACATTTCAGTAATTAACAGTCTTTAATAGAGATAAACCAAAGGACAACTCAATCTCTAACAGTGGTAATTACTGGACACTAAGGGAAGGGCTTAGGAATACAGCAAGCAAGGGCTGCTCCTGTAGATCTAGCTTAAAATTTCATGTGGTTGATAAAGATGTGCATTAGCACACAAGGCTGCAGCTTCAAATTTTCAAGAGGATCTCTTGCTATCTTAATTCAGTGTCTGTCTTGCAAAGCATAAAAAGAAACCACAGGCATAAACAGGATGAAAGGAATTTCTCCAACCAGTAGGTAAGCCATGTGCTGAATAATAAGTCAATGTGGACCACCATTCTCGAGACAACTGGTTCATACTGAAAACTTCTGGTGAACTCACAATCCACATCCATGATTTGGGTAGCACATTCCTGATACTGGAAGTTATAAAAATATGTAAATCTGTTCTTTTTTTTTTTTTAAACCTGTGACTACTTCATCTTAAATGCAGCAGTTCCAAAGGCTGATGAGTCTAATACAGAGAAGGAAAATCCAGCATCTTGCTGAAAAACCTGGTGGTGACTGCACAATGCCTTGAGTCTAATGATGGGTTATTTGGCAACTTCAAAGAACAAAGCAGTCTGAGAGCTAACTCCTCCACACCAAGAGCCATGACTTAGGATGGAGCAGAAAATGAAAATTTCCTATAAGCATTTTAGGACTCCCAAGATATTAAGGGCAAAGAGTAGGAGCAATACAGTAAGACTCTCTGCAGAATTTAATGAACACCTTCCCTCAGGAAATGAACTGCTTAAAGCCTGGCCTACAGGCCTGAAACTTGAATTATGCACCAGGCAAATTACCTCAGGAGACCCCTTGGCCTAGATCATCTAAGTAGGTCCTACTTGAAACTGAATTCAAATTAGAGGAGGAAGTTACACCATCCAATCCATACTTGTTGGCACCAGACTGTTGAGAGGAGCTACATTTTTTCCCTGAGAATCAAACTACTGTGTTAAATTCCAGTTTCTGAAGATTCCTTATGAAGCCTTTTCAATTTAAGATGTGATTCATTTGTGTGCTGTGCCTCATCACAGTATCACAGCATATTTTGAGTTGGCCCTTCACTGACTACTCATGCAAGTACCAGCACTGGACCCTCCCCACTAGCAACTACTTGCGTTGTAATCTTCATGGAGAGCCTCAAGGATTTATACAACGGTATAATGAGTCTTGTGTTCTCTGTGCCCTTGCTGACCATTCATAACATTCCCTATGCTTGCTTTTCCCTTTTTTTGTCAGCTAATATTTTTCATACATTTCTACATCCTTTGTCACATCTCAGCATTGACAATCTGGATAACAGCCTATCTTTCAATATATGCTTCTTTTTAGATATTAAAAAAAACCAAAACCAAACCAACAAGTAATAAATAATTTACTGCCTAAGTATTTAAGTTATTTTCTTTAATTACATGAAGAGATAGTCACCAGATGTCAAAGGAAGTTCAGTTATCAAGATTGCTCAGTCTCCCCACCATCTGACTAAATTATCTTTTTCAACCACTGTAAATGACGAAAATTGGTTATTTCCCTCCCAACTGCTCATATCCAGTATCTTCTTCAAACAGAAAAGTACAAGAAATTTAGCTTGAAGTGCAACTAATTCTGATGAAAAAAAGATTAGTTTAACCAGAGATATGGCTATCTATCTAAAAACCCCATTCAGAAGTTGTGATTTCTGGAAACTATTACACTGAAATGAAAGACCATGATCAGCAAATACTGGCCATCTTTACTTTTTTATGAAGATGAGCTCTTAAAGTATAAATTACTAATGTCTCTGTTAACTGAAGTCCAAAGCCAACATTTTATGCTCATTAAAAATCCATCAACCAAGGAATTTTATGTTGTTTAACTTCCAAAACATAAAGCTGTGTCAGAGATACTAATGCTTGTATGTAACTACTAACTTTTACAGATATTGTCATAATAATAAAAAAGAGCAGATAATAACAATTAATTCAAGAACAGTGTTATTATAAGAAAGTCATCTAATCAGTAATTTTTATAATTATAATTATTACAAATTTTAAAAAATTATAATTTTGGTCATTTTTATGATAATAACTACTCTCAGGTTTTAAAGAAACACTATTAAGTCAATTAAGTATGACTGAGGATTTAAAGCCAAAAATTTTACAGAATAATGCTATTAATTTTTTGCATGTTACAACAAGAAGCCTTTTTGACACTTCAAGTCCAGAATTTTACCTAGAATGTGAATGTCAGCTTCCAGCACAAACTGAGAACAGCTGTCCATATTAAAAATCTTTTTATCATATATGACTTAAAGTAAATATTTAATTTAAAACCAGAAAAATATGAAGTACAACTAACTTCCAACTATAATTGTTATCCATAACAGCCAATACCCCAGTTCTAATAATACCCAGAACATGGTATCACTCAGTCAATCTCATGCAACTATTCACTTGTTGTACAAAAAAATATGGGAATTAGTAGTGAAAACTCACCTGTCAGGGCAATCAGGCTGACAGAATAGAAAGGCATTCAGACAAAATGAAACAAAACCCACCTGTTGAACATCCTGCTGAAAAACGCAGAGCTGAAGCCGCTGGTGCAAGCGGACCTTTCGATGCTGCCAGATATTTTCCAGTTGGCGCTGGTGATGTAATACTTCATGGATGACATCCAGGACATGATGAACTGCTTTTGAGTAGTTGGCAGATGCAGTGAGGGAATCAGAACTCCCAGGAGTCAAAGGTCTCTGAAGTTTATCAAGGAGTGATTTCCCATCTTGGCTCACCTGACCACCAGAAAGGATGAAGAATTACATGTCTTGCCAAAAGCTTGTTGGGCTACTACTTTGTACCCCACCCCTTCTCCTAGTTCTAAATGTCTTCAAGAACTCAGGCAGCAATGATAAAGACTCATTTTATTGCAGGAACGATTACCTACATGCAGTTATTACAGGAAAGAAAAAAAATATATATTCTCTTTAGCACTCTTCTCAATAACAGCCTGTCTTTCCATTTCTTCATTACTTTAAGAATGACTTTCCTTCAAAGTGTTGGGATTTTTTGTTTGGTTTGAGTTTTTTGTTGTTGTTGTGAGCTTTTTTTAAAAAAAACTAGTAGAATCTAACTTTGAATCAATATTCTTCATCTCTTTCCCTAGTCAACAAAACACCTAAAATTTGTCCAGAATTATCCTTCCTAAACAATCTCTCTCTTCATTTGCTGTAAAGGTGAACAGGGAGGTTACTTTCTGTAGGTTAATATTTGACAAATACATTTAAACAAACAGATATAAAACTTAGTACATGACTCAATCTGACACGATTTACAATATCTAAATTATTACTGCTACTGGTAAGCCAAGGGAAAACTGCTGTTAGGGCAAACTTAATTCTGATTAAATCACATAAAACTTTTCCATGTAGCACAGTAAGGTACTGTTTTCCAAAATGTGTTTAACTACTGATACTGACAGAAAACATTTGTCATTTCTAACTGTTGTCTTCTCTGATTTATATCACAGCAGAAATATTCAGATTTACCTTGCATGCTAATTAAAAAGCAATAATCCTCTCTTATCTGGTCACTATCAACATTTAGTGTTGAAAACACTTTTCATTGCTGTTTACTCTGTCACTTTTAGCATGAAGCTCAGAGAGCTGTTACAATTCAGTATCGTTATGCTACCTGCAAAGAATTTTTCTAACAGCTCATTTAGCAGGCAGGAACAAACATCATCTGAAACCGAAAGACACAAGTATAAACAATAGCCTGAATCCATCAAATCCACACCATGTCAGAAACAGCACATTTGCCAAGGCCTTCCCCCAGTGGGTCTTTTCAACAATTTTTACTAAGTCTAGGCACATTTTAAATTTGTTATTCAGTAGTCAAATAGATCCAAATGAAAATTGTTTTCTGATAATTAGGTTACAAGGGAGTTTATTTCTCAGTTTCAGTTCAAGCTCTTTCATTTTAGCAATGAGTATCAACACAGAGAATGATGCTCACTTCTGAAATTAGCTCTAGTAAAGTCAGGTCAGCAGAAAAATGAATAGGCAATAGCATAGTTACAATGATATCTTTTTTCTTTTCTGTATCCAGAAGAATTATCTAATAAGTCCTTCAAGTATTTCAACATAATGGACTTCAATTATCCATTCTGAGTCCATAAAATCTAGGTGAAAAAAAGTAATTGTGACAGCCCCTTGATCCAATTAGTTTATTAGCTTTATAAACAAATGACTGCACAGATTTTACTTTGGAGTTAATACACTATAATTTTCTTCCTTCCTAGTGCATGACTGCTTTAAGATTTCAGTGAGATGTGTAACTTTATTTATATATATAACTTCCTTTAAGCATCTGTCGGATTTTCAGGCATATCAGTGGTCTCATCTTGTAAACTAGTAAGCTGATTTACTAGAATTTTCAGTAATTACCCTCAGTAAAATCAGACTGTCTAGTCTTAAAAGCATTTACCAGTTGTCTCATCTTGTAAACTAGTAAGTTGATTTACTAGTAATATACAGTAATTACCCTCAGTAAAATCAGACTGTCTAGTCTTAAAAGCATTTACTTTCTTAAAATTACTGTCTTCTACTTTGCAACCAAGTCGTGTTGTCAAGACATTGCAATCTAAAATGAATGACAGTGTTGTGATTCCCATAGTGTTGCTCTCTCTCTTCCCCCACTGCTCATTCATCATAAAATGAAAGGAGCTCCATACTGTAAGAGAAATGAAGTCATACATCTAATAATGGTAAGCAATAGTGCTGTAATATCCTGACACAAAGATGCCTCCATCAATCTTCAAAAAGGAATGCATGTTTGAAAAATGCAAAATAAAACCTTCTGCCCAGAGAAGGAACACAAGTTGTACATACACATACAGTTATTACTTCTGCACCAATTCTGGTTACTAAAGACGAAACTGTTTTTTTACCAGATGGGGAAAAGTAATGACCAGAAATCAGAAGAAAGGCACTTAGTGCTCTTTTTTCCTTTGAGCAGTACCAGTGAAGATTTTGTTAAAACATCTAGCTAACCCAAAGTCAAAAGCTACAGCTTTGAAATCCTAAATAAATTTTCAAGATATGTCCCAAAGCAATTGTATAATCTACCAGTCTAATTTATTTTCTTTATGCATCAGCAGCAAGCAAACATTATTTAATATGCTAATCCACAGTACTTATTTACACTTACAGCAGGCTCATCCAGTCACATCCCTGACATAAAACAAAGAACCCACACTCAAACCAAACAGAACCAAGTAGAAAAAAAATCAATGTCAGCCCTTTATAATCATTATTCTAGAGAAATCTAACCTTCCTCCTCCTTGCTGTACTCTCATGAAGCATGCATCCCAGAATGCCTCTCCATGTAAATCTGTTACAATCATGCTATGTCTCTGTCCCTCACAATGATGAAAGTTTATCATGAAGACAAGGAACGTTACTACAAAACATGCTTTCAAGAATGAGCTAAAAGAGTTATGTGTAAGTAAAACTGCAAGTATTATCAGGTGTGATAGTATGTCATTAGATCAGTTGACACAGCAGCATGGCATAGAGCGAGAACAGGGATATCAACGTGTATTTTACACAGAAGAACAAGAATTCATGAACCCTGGACATCTGACTCAAGGTCACAAAGTTTATGCAGGCCCTAAGGTGGCAGGTATTCAAAAAAGTCAGTTTTGATACACTAACAATAGGATGGATGATCAGCACTAATCCTTACACCCTTACTGCTAAATGAAATTACTTAGGATTCAGCTTCCTATAATAAAGCTGGTTCATCAGAAAGTAGTTTTAACTTTAATGTAATGTATAAATCACAACCATTAATTTAAACCCACATGATCTCCTTTTAAAGACAGGTGCAAGGTGTGGCCTAAGCTATCCTGTGTCCACTGATCATTTTTACTATGATTTAACCAAACATGGAATTTCAGTACAAAACTACCGTATTTCATCCACAATAACATCACCAATTGAATAGCAGAAACGGTTTTACCCAACAATGAGAACAACCCTAACAGAAGAAGGAAAGGCAAGTAAAGCAGGAAAAGCAGAAAATACCTGTTAGCTAATAATAGTGAATACCAATTTGACTTCTGCTACGTAAAGCACAACAGAAAACTCAACTTTTGAAAGAAAACAAAAATATAGTTGAGTCATCACTTTCTAGACACGTTCAGAATAAGCATTTTATCTTAAGTTGTAATACAACTACTAAGAAATAGTAACAAATACTATGATTCCAGTGTGTGCTGAGCCCAAGCTTAGAGCACCAGCACAGGATATGCTAATCTTACAAATGCTGACTACATAGGCATCCTAGCTCATTTAAGTGTCTTTGAGGCTGATGAGACTAAGTGCATTAGTCTCTGGCTTCTCAAGTAACATCCTTTGATAGTTAAGTTTTTTTTGTGAAGCAATTTCAGAGATGGATTTTCACAACACACTTAGAGAAACCCATGACAACAGAATACCTACCCAAAGAATGCTGAGCTAACTTCAAGTAAACGCCTAAACAAAAGTATCCCACTGCTATTCAAAGGCAGTAACATGCAAAGGCAAATTATAACATATTGAGCACTTTAGCGCTCCAAGGGTTGTTTGTACCGTACATGGTTAAATCTAGCCTTTTAATTTCTTTCCAAAGGTTATGGGAGGACTTTAACCTTCACTTTTGAACAACAATAGCAAAATCCAGTATATAAAATTTAAAAAGAAGTTCAGCAATTGAGTTTCCAACTAATTCCTAATGCAACAATTGCTACTGAATCATGATCCAAACTTAACAAGACACAATTTTATCAAAGGAAACAAACAAAACACTGACCTCAGAGTAAGCCAGAGTAATGTGCTCATATATCCCTTGATGATGATGGATAGCATCTTCTAAATCTTGCAGTTCTGAGGGAAGCTCCACCTCACCACAGGCTTTACACCATGAGTCCACATTGCTCATGTACTGCAACAAAGAAACATTTGGCTTTGATTTCAGCTTCTACCATGACAGTAATTCACAAAAGGACATTCATCTCTGTCACAGACACTGAAAAGACTTCTTTTAAGCAAAAATTCTTTACAGTATTTCTCTCTGAAAGAACCAGAAATTTATATCAGAATAGAAAGAAGTTTTCAACTCTGACTAGTGCTTTTAGGTATCTGAAACTCATTGAGCTGTTAGGTGACAGGCAGGCTTAGTTGTATGTTAGCAGTCTTCAGAACCAATTTAACTCTGGGCAATATTGATGCTTCAAGTGTACTCTTGCTCCTTCTCTTGATTTTACAGCTAAGAAGAATTTTCCTTCATCCTGTGCCTACCATTTCAGAAACACAAAAGCCAACTAAGGTCTTGCTTACACAAGGAAGTAAAACATGCTACAGCTTTCAAGTCCAGACCCTTGGTTTTTACCCATCAGCTCCCTGTGCAGATACTCATGGTATCATGAGGTTTATCACCTCATGTCCTTTTAATCTTCAGAGAAAAACACGTTACTTTGCACATGCACACAAAGAATTACTGCTGAACCATTCACTGAAACACTCCATAGTTGTCTTTTGCTGGAAAGAGGTTATCAAGGAAGTAAAGCAGTGCCAGGGCACAGCGAATTCACACCTCAGTCCCTAAAGAACTTACTTCTACGTGCAGAGAAGCACTAAATCCATTTGGCAAGCTACTACCGCAGCAAGCATGTAAGGGATTTACAACTTAAGTGGAGGTCTCTTAGGACTAGCATTGAACTTTGAGCACACAGCTGTATCAGCATAGCTGCTCGAGTCAGGCCTTTCAGGGGAAATTGAGGATACTGCAACAGAAATCTCTTCTGCAGACAATTTAAGTTATCTCTGAAGTTAAGCTGTCTTGACAGACAAGAAACTGCCATCACAGCTATACGCACAGCAGAAGTTCTGCCAACTTACTTTTTCACAGCTAGGGGGCATGAATTTTATACCCCTGTTATGCTAGGAAGGGAAAGAGGAAAAAACAATGTTCTTCTAGGACTTTTCATAGCTGTTAAACCTAGCACAACCAAGCACATGTGAGCTCTGTAAAGTAAATTTTCTATATTCATGTCAAGTTCAAGACTCAAAAGTTATGAGACCAAGCCTTTTGTTTCATCATACATATCTTAATTCTTGGAGCACAAGTAGTCTTTTGAGAAAAAATGAATTCATAGATCACTTCTGGTACTCTTCTATTGTTTGATAGTGGAGCAGAAAGGTGGTGGAGTATATAGCTCTAAAATACTTCTTTAATTCTCATTAAGGGCCAGTTAAAAAATCTCTAAGGTTAAGCATGAACTTTAACAGAAGCTCCATGTGCACCAGTGAGCAGGCACTGATAGCTGGTACAATCTTCACTGTGCCTGACAGTAGGCAGCAACCCAGCAACACTGACCTGTCCCTTGCAAGAGAACACATGCATTCAAGAAGGGTATGTTTTTTCTTGGGCTGCTTACATTTTAATCTTTTTATGTAGGTCAAGCGTCACCACTCTCTAAAGGGGTCATTCCTCATATTCCAAACCCTCTTTCCTTGAATTTACTCTCCACTGTTAATGAAACAGCTAATATATCACAGGCAGGCATCTTACAAATCAACTGGGGCAATCCATTGCAGCTAATCATAAAATGAAAACTGCAGAATGAGCAATTAAAAGTAAATTAATCCCAGCAGATACTGCACTATTTTCTCTCATTTTTATCTTTCCTCCTGTTCACACTTGTATTTAGTGGTAAAGAAGGTAACACTGACCCTTGCTGTAGTTGCCCAGCACACAATCGCACAAAAAATTTAGTCCTTTGACTTCTGATGAGCTAATTTATAATTTTTCTTATGAAAAATGACAGCATTTGAGTCAAGGTATACCTACCTGTTCACATTTCATTCATCTCTCTCCTACATGTATGGCTCAAAGTGCTTAAATGCAAACCCAAATGACCCGAGTAACTAGAAAAGCATCAACATTGACAAGGTACTGAACTGTGTCTATCAAAAGCTGCAAGCTGACTGCTGACTTTTCTATCATAATTCTTTAATCTCATTTTTATGTAGCTTTTCTGTAAAACCAGCTGAAATGACTTGTTACTGTGGCATCATTTTATTATATTAGTCTGTCTAAGGACATTAAGCCAATGTCACCACTAACATAACGAAAAGGAACATGTATTTGCATCTTAATACACTCTCATTTCTAATGTCTAGGTATTTATTCAAGTTAAATATCCATGTAGTAGAAATCAGGGAAAAAATATCTTAAAATCAAGTGTACTGCCTCTCTCTGTTTCTGAAGTTTCCAGCACTCAAATGCTTCCCTCATTCACTCCAAATTGAAGTCATATCAGACATTAACCTTTCCTTGGATATAATTTAGCAAGGCAAAATGAAAGAAAAGTATCTACATACAGCACATCAAGCCATACCCATCCAAGAACCTCTGCTCTCCCAACACACCAGGGATGCACAGAGCAGTCTACAAGATCAGCGGGTGACTCAACTGCGCACACACAGCAACTCCTTCAGAACTGAACTCCCTTGAGGGTGAAACATGCTTTTGCCATTAAGACTATTAACTTGGGGATATTTATTCCTATTTCCCCTACATATACCTCTTCTCTGGCAGTTACACATGGTTAATGACTTAATTAAAATAATTGGTATAGGCCTAAAGCTAAAATGTTTTTATAGCATAGGAGGAATCTCCTATGGAATACTAAGTAAACATCTCCCACCACAATTTCAGATTCAGAAGGCAGTTAATTAACTTCTCAACTTTCAGGCCAGTTGAACTTATGCTTTCTAGAAGCAATTATCATGAGTTAAATCTTGACACTCAAGGATTGATGGGAGTTGAGTGGTCAGGACAAAAAAGAAGTGACAGCTTCTAGATGTAGAAAGGCATTATATAGATACTTAAAAGCCTTATATACATAAGCATTTCAGTCCACTTCATTTTGGTTCATATAACTAATTTGGTTGTTTTACCTTGCACTGATGTAGGCAAAGCATTCTGTGGACTAAACTGAGGAGAACAAGGTTTTGTTTGTGTATTGAAATTGGCAGAAATAAATATTCTGGTTTTCTTGTCAAACTTTTCAATCACTTTTTGAACTTTTGTCCAAAGCAAAAACAACCTGCACAACTCCCCATTCTAGGACATAAAGTTTTGTTGATGCCCTCCATCATTTACTAACCATTTACTAACCTGTTCAGCTTTTTGATGGAAGATGGAGGACATGTCCAGTAACGTGCTACGTTCTTCCAAGGCTGCAGCAAATGCCTTCCATTCCTGTTCCAACTGACTGGCAATCTGTTTGATTTGCTGTGAAGCGTAATGACCAGACTCGATCAGGCGGTTTGCTACTGACATGATGCGGCTTATGTTTACATACACATTCTGTGGAGAAGGAGGGGAAGATTAGTGCAAGTCAGCAGACCAAATAAATACAGAAGTATACCCCTAAAAAAATTCTACTTTATTACAGTACTGATCAGTAGTCTGGTTTTATTCAGCAAGCTTATGCATGCCAAACTTTGGATTCTAGGTGTATAATGTAGCAGCCTATCCATAATTGACAAGTGAGAATGATTACTTGAAATAATCAGTTTAAAACGCATGTTAACAATCAGCTTAAGCCAATTTATATTACATGAAGACACATTATTACAATAAAGAGGAAGAAATAACCATATTTTACAACAACCTCAATAAAAATGTTTATAGACATTCAAGTCAACAAGATATTCAGACACATACAATATAGGAAAATTGAAGTATCATTACTAAGCCCTTGATCTATCCACAATATGCAAGCGTGCAACATCTGTGAACCTTTACATCAACTTCAGAAGTAACTTTTAAAGAAAGAAAATCAACAACTCTGAGCTACAAGAAGTTTAACAGTTTTACATTTTATTTTCTTGTGGCTATACTGCCTCAGAGCTAGCACTCAAAATTAGACAAATGACATCCAAGATCAGAAGTATTCTCTAGCATACTCGCATTAGTCCTTGATGGCTCTTAGTCAATCTAATTTTCAGTCAAGAGTTTCTGATTCCCACGAAGTAAAACAAGAATGATTTTGCCACCAAAAACTTTCTGAGTAAGTCTTTCAGAGGTACATGCATCTAATACGGAGTTGACACTTTCTTCAAATTAGGCAGACTCTTGTACATCTAGAATGAAGTTTCTAGAATCACAGGATTGTTGAGGTTGGAGATTACCTAGTCCAACCACCAGATATTGAGCAAAACCAGGTGGAACCATGACCTGCTGGCATCCAGCCACTGCCCAGAGCTTGACACTGCCTGGCTGGAGCAAGTGTCACAGCTTCTCCAGGCTTCATTGCTCAAACTCATCTGAGTGGCAATTGGGACAGGTCCCTATTGATGGTAAACTGTATGCATGTATGCAAGCAGGAGTATACCTGACACAGCCTACAGCTCAAGCTGGTCTGCTCAATAAACTGAGCACAGCAGTGTCATGTTGGCTGTCTTCCTTTCTGCCCAATACTATCTCCTACTTTTTTACATTATCCCACACATTTATGCTCTGCTTTTTAAGCACAGCCAAACAACTGGCAGAGTACAAATCTGCTATTTCCAATAAATTTTAGAAGACTGGAGAGCATTCAGGCCTATTAAAAGTGTACGTAGCATAAATGCAAGACTGCTAAATGAATACAGAAAGCCCTTAGATGGTCTTTACAGTTGTGAGAAGAAACAAGTGCCAAAAGGGAAAAGAATAAAGGCTATAGTAGACTGCCATTTGAACTCTTTCTGTAACATAACAAAGCAATTTTAGAAATTCTGAAACAGCAGTTAAAAATTAAGGACATGGCACCATAAACATGAAGAAAAACAAACTGAAACTGAGCTGTGGTTAACATGTATTCATTTTCCCATGGAAATCAGGCTTCACACGTCTGGAGGAATACAGCCTATAGCAGTATGAATATGAATTAAAACGTTGACAGTTGAACACTTTCCAAGCTATGTACAACACATTCCTTTCCTCAAAAAAACAACAAACAAAACCCAAAAAAACAACTTACGAATAATCTAAACCTTTCACCTCACTATGTGATATATCTACCAAAGTTTAAGTGTCAGTATTTTAGAATGTAATGACCCAAATGAAATAGATTTGGTTAAGGAGGAAAAGAATCTCTCATAGCAACTCACTATAATCAGACTATCTTTTATTGACCCTTGAAGGTCAAAAAATTTTGTTCAATTTCCTACCTAGACAGGCAATTCCAGTGTCATTATTATAAGACAACTGCATATTTTGCACACTGCTTGAGAGATGTGAAACACTGTTACAAGTGAGCTGTCTGTCACCCATTTACCAGAGACTGGTATCTTATTCATTGTATGCATTTACAACCTGGTTTTAGTTAAGGAAGCAACAGCTTGGAGGTAATAACTGATACAGTCTTATTTAGTGACCTCATTTACACCACCTGCAGCTTCTACACTTGTATCAACTGTCTCAAAGGTGAAAGAGCAATGTGATATTGCATTTCTTTAATTGTGTTACACACATACCTATGGTAACAAGACTTAAAAGGTAACAATTTAAGTCACTGCATTACAAAGGGTTTAGTAAGGATACAAGTGTACTTAGCATGATTGTTTTCTCTAAAATGCTCTTTAGCGAGAAGCTTACGATATCTGGAAAGCTCCTCATTGCAGATTTCACCTCTTAGGAGAATATACAAATAAAAAAAGGTATTGCTCAGCAAAGCAACACAGATTAGTAGCCTAAGTTTGCTGTGTCATTCTTTGTTGTGTACCTGAAAGGCAAATACACAGAGAAAATAAAGGTGACAGCCTATCAGCTAACTGAACTTATATCACACTCACCCAAAATAAAGCTGGCAAGTGACCTGAAGGTTCCATTTTATTTCCTGATTTTCCCAGACCCACTTATAAAATGTTTGTTTTGCTCCAAGATTTCCAACAGCAGTTTTCTGACACAGAGACTATTGTGAATTCAGTTTTAAATGCCATCAAACTCACTGACATGGTCCATAAGCATCATAAGTGGCACCTCTCTATAGACTGCAGTGAGCTGGAACTATTTTACTGCAATAGAATCAATTTAGCAATGGCATTTTCAAATAATCTGCCACTTCACACACAAATGACTACCAAAACATGGTGTAGTATTAACATATGAATTAACACCTGCTTTAATGATTTACACGTTCTCTAACATTTCTTCTAGTATAATTTTTGAAGCAAGAGTAAAACTATCAGTTTGGGAATACAAACTTCAATAATGAGGGCTGCAGGACAACTAAAGGTAAAACCTGATCTATTCCCTTGAAAAATATAAACTTGACAACATCCAAGCTGCAATTGTTTAACATGTTCTTCAACTACAAGGATCCTCTAAATATTCACAGGCAACCATTTAACCATTTCCACTGCCATCAGCACTAGAACACGTGCAATATAATTTCACTCCAACTTTCTTCAAAAATCTGATTTCTTTCCTACATTTTTCACAGTGGACATGAGGAATCTTACTGCAAGACTATATAGTCCAACACCAGCATTACTTTCCTTCCTTCTTTACTTTTCACTCACCTTTATTTAATCATAGTAAATGCCTATGCCTTCAAACTCTCCCTACAGGCATATCACTTTCATGTATTTGTTTCCCATTACAGCACTAAGTATGGGGCTCTAAACTGGACCTAGTTCTGTAGTAGGACCAACTGAATCAGAGCATTTTCTTTACAAATCTGAAGTTCAGCCAAGAATAAGTACCAAGAGTGAAATAAGATTTGCTTCCTTTCAATAACACCACTGTCTGTTCCCTTAGTTTGTGATTCATTAACATGAACGTACTTGTTGCTGTATTAACACCTCAGTAACTGACTGCTTTTTAAAATCTGTTTACTTGCTTCTTCCCTCTTAAGGACTGCACAGTTAGCCTGTTCTATTTAGTCTTGCTGACTTTGGAGTGCTCCTCAGAAGCTGAAAATAGCCTGAACTCATTTTACCTTTTCAGTCTATTCTCAGGCTGGTGGCACCCAGACATTGTGTCTAAGTGTTAACTGTTCAGGCACCACAAAGATTCTGTTAGGGATGTACACCTGTGGTCTTACTCTCATTTGCCCAAAACCTGAGAGCCAAGGGCAGTCTAGAATGCACATGGTGCTCTAGTCTATCTCAAGAGACAAATCGGCATGGTTACACAAACACATACTTGAAGTAAAAAGAATCCCAGGGGTGAAATATGTCAGTGGTACAAAGGAGGAGGAAAAAATCACACAACCTCTAAGACTAGGTGACTTTACCTCACCTGACTTTCTTCATGTTTTCATTTGTACCAGTCCCTGAGGCTGGATTTGAGCAAGACATCTTTTTAACTTTTAACTCTGCACACCTAGGGATATTCAATCGTTGTGCTTACAATTTTATTTTACCATTCCAAAGCTCTCACCAGTGCTCATCTCTGACACTCTCTTATTGTATAGCATTCAAGATTTGATTACAACCCTGATGAAATGGTTTAGTGTATGCAAACAGCCTGTTCTGAGAACATTAATCAACTTAGCAATACACTGACAATTGAGATAGGAGCTTTTGGATTACAGTTAATAAATGTAACTTCTACTCATGGTCCTATCAACACTGAGACAAGAAGCAGTCATAGCACATCCTTTAATAGTAGCATGTGTCAGCTTTCTACAAACAAAGTTTCATTTTGCCTGCATCACTCTTCAAGCATTTTAACCCTCCCCAGTGCAGGGAGAGGCACAGTTAAACTGTAATAAAAGCAAGGCCATCTAATCTAGCAAAAAGAGCAGAAAATGTTCAAACAGAAAACATCCTCCTCCTTACCCATATTTCACATGACTTCTTGTCTTCCTTGTGTCTCAGCAGATGTAGAGAAAATGGCAGGAAAAGGAGTGGACAGACATATAATCAGTCTTTCCCACTCTTCTATGCAAGATGGACTAATCATATAATCATGGGTACTTTATTCTTGCTGTTTAAAAACTCAATACATAATTTTTGTACTTGCAACTCCTCAGATGACTTATTTGAAAGTTTCTCCCTTAAAAGGTACTAAAAACTTGTTTTGAGAAGTGAAGCATTGATTTAGTCACCCAAATAGGAACGTCAAGCTGAAACTGAGTATTGCTTAACTCAAATAAATCTCAGGACTTGACAACAGCAATTTACTGTTGTTGAAAGCAGGCCTTTAAAATTGTACTGAAAATCCATCCTCATTTTCAGAGAGCGGAATCACTGAAATTTTGTTTTTCCCTACAGTTATGGAACATGGGATCTTGCCCTATAAAGAGACAACCTTGACTTTTATCTGTACACAGCTTCTCAAATTCAGTAACAGGAAGTCACATACCTATCCTTCCTACAGCAGCTCCTTTTGCCACATCAAACTGTGTGTAAATTCATGGTAACCATATATATGTCTCTCTTTAATGCACAGCACTACACCCACCTAGCTTTTCTCTGGGACAGATTTATTGCAGTGAGAACCAGTTTGTGTATTAAGCTTAAGATTTGCATGAACTTATTCCTGTTACCTTGGAAAGTGCAACCACATCAATACATAAGATTCCTAGATATTCCCTTTGCTAATGAAACTGGTGAAAGTAAAGGTAAATCTCCTCCACAGATGTATTCTTTACCTTTTTGTTTTAGAGCATCTGTCTTACACTTCCCACTATTTCGTGTTCTTACTGAAAACCAACATTCTAAAAATGGCACAAAGCCATTACAAGAAACTGAAAATAAAAATTCAGCAAATCCTCTTTGTCCTTGATGTAACTAACTCTTGTTCATGACAGGAAATAAGTAGTTTTCACAATGGTTTACATCCAGGTGGCTTGCTTCAGACTGGAAGACCAAATCAAAATTTTGGCATCTCACCCAAAGGTTGTCACTCTTTCTCAGCCAAGTTTGGCATAAGCAGCTGCAGAAGTTGCCCTCCACCTCTTGGAAACAAACTGCTGCTTAGGAAGGAAGGGGACATGAGAAACCCAGCTACTGACAGAGGGTAGCACCTGCTGTGGAGGGGAGCATGTGCCCTGCAACAACCACAATATGTTGGGAAAAGCAGCTGCAACATCACTTATCAGAGTTAAGCTATGAGCAAGTGCAAGAGGTTGCATGTAGCTGCTTGAGGAGCATTTATTCTTCTAACAGTTTTTTCCCTACCTCAAGTGAGCCTAAAAAAATTGACTAGAAAGCAAGATCTATTAAGGTCCAATTAGGGCCACAATGCAAAGTCTTAAAAATCTGCTGCAATAAATAAAGCTTATACATAGTTGTCTTTCTCCCTCCCTCAACTCCATCCAAATGAATCATTTCACATGGCTGTAGATAGGTTAAAAGTTAAATTTCACTTCTGGTGTTAAGAGTACTCACACAAGACACCTTAAATCCGCTTTGATTACTGAACAGTTACACTGATGGGAAGAGTGAACAAACAGCAACTTGTTAAGCACAGAGCGTAAGTGGAGAGTGGTCAGGGAGAAGCTGAACATTTTTGCAGGAGTTAAAGACTGCCCCACATTTTTCCAGTTGAAAGCTAGTGAAAAATAAGGCCTGCCAAAATTCAATCAGTTCACATCATTTTTTATGTCACGTTCAGTTTAATCTTTGCCCTTAATCTATAAGAAAGGCTTTTGTCATTTAACCAAATAAAACCCAGATAATCTGAGTGCTGCTTAAATGAAAACCAAGGGCCAGTCATACTGAATTTACATTTTCCTATTTCATGGCAGAGAGCCCCTGCTGGGATAGACTATGCAACAGAAAAAAAATGCTTGTTTTTACCCTTTTGAGTGTTCAGATAGCTTAATTTACCCCAAATTTAAGCTGCTCCTTGTAAGTTTTAAGAAAACATTTTGCAGGCTGAGAAAAAATCCCCTGTAATTAATGCATTTGACAACTAAAGGCAATGGAGAGATTAACAGGAAAAGACTAATAGCAAACACAGAGCAGGAAGGATTATGCTGCATCGCTCAAGTGCTTCCTACTGTTGATAGCATCTGAACAGTCTAAAAGAAGGAAAAAGAATAAAAAGTCATCCAGTTTGAAGAAAATACTACAATAGTGACTAATATGAGGACAGGCTTACGGAAGAATTTAACCTTTGGACTGCAACCCCAAGAATTGTGTGGAAGGCCACTCAAAATTACTAAGTTCCAAAAGTCATCTCATGTCAATGACTCCTACTGTCATCCTGTGTTTCTTTCTGCTCTACTTCATATGCAGAGCAGTGAAGAACAACAAGGTGCTCCATTAGGCACCAATTCCCCATCCTGTGACCCAAACCTAATGGTCAAAACTGTATATGATGTTACATAACTTAATTGCCAAGGTCACCAGCATTTGCTTTACTCTTTTCAGAAAGCTCATATTGATTTTAATTCTTTTAAACTTTTGGAAACATAGCTGAGTTGCAAAAGAAGAAAATGTGCCTGTTCTAATTGTGTTTTCTATTGTCTTACCTACAGCTACACCATACACAGGAGCTGCCTTACTAGTCCTTCCATTATTTCTACAACCCAGGTACATTTATTTTGCCACTTTCCTGTTCTACAGAAAAACCCTCTTGCAAGAGTTCATTATTTCAACCATACTTTAATTCAATTCCCATCCTTGGACTGCCAAGAATGTTAATTTGTAACAAGACTGGTAGTGTTCTTCCTTCATTGATCTAACAAACAGGAACTGGACTTAGGCCCAGACTCCCAAGGTTATTTAAACACCTACAATGTGTTAAGGATATAAAATGTAACTTAGAATTTTGTTCCCATGTTCAAACAGCAATTCATGAAACTGAAAGTAAGTAGCTTTCACTCACTGCCAGTTAAAATCCAAAATTTTTTATAGCCTACTGATCATATTTGACCAAAAAAATTGTCTTAGCTCCATTCTGCTGTGCCGAAAATGAGAAGTATCTTCTTGAAACCATGGAGAATTATTACACCAGGCTCAGTTACTTCTCAGAACTTTTTGCCTGAGTTGAAATCTCTTCAGAAGATCCTGAGAGCTATTTCTTTCAGAGTGGAGAGATAAAATTTGTATTACACATGATTCTCTGAAATTTTCTACAAGACCCAAGGTAGTACTCAAAGATACATCCCAGGTTCTAGAAGCTTGGACACTCATATTTGAGAGGTGCTGAGGTCATGTTGAACACTGCCATTTGTCAAAACAATTGTATTGCTTTACCACAGTTCCTCTGTACCTGACCACCCTTTATTTTCCTCCATTGTGTTTTATAACCTCACTGCTCAAAACCAAATTTCCACTACTTTGTAAAGAAGGAACAATCTGTGTTTATGCACTTAAAAATTCTACCTTAACACAGAACAAACAGCCAGCATGTCTGTGCGGGGAGGCCTGTTCTTACCATGCAGTTCATGGCGAAGTGATTGTGCTGTGTCTGAAGTTCCATTGCATGGGGGTGACTGGTTCCAATCTCTGTGTAGCTGTTCAGAAACAGACCTTTGTTGTGTGTGATCCAGTCAAACATCTACATGAAAATGTTAAGGAAAGAAGAAAGTTCAGTAATTTGTTATGGCAGAAATCATGGACAAGTAATGGAAGATACCTATGAACACAGAATACAGAGTATAAGGCCATGAAAATTAACACCGATGCTCCTTCCATTTTAAGTTACTGCATATTTTAACTCAATCATTGCTTTTTGGATCAAACAGTTGAGGCTGTTACTGTTATCTTTACTGTAGGTGTTTATCTTAACAAGCTACAGTAATGTCATAATCATAAACTTCATTATTACAAAGAAGTCATAGTAAACAGACTTGGAGCACAGCCCTGAGTTGCCAAGCTTACACATTCTCTAGTGTCAGCACTTATTGACATCAGCAGCTTAGCAGTTTAGAATGAAAATGGTAACTCATGGAAATTAAATATAAATTCTTTCATGCTGATCAAGTACTTCAGCAGCTAGTTTAATATTTTTAGTTCATAAGTTTACAGCAGACTGGAAAACAAATATTCTATTTCTAGATTAATTATTAAAAGTATATGTGAGCACAGAGTTATCTTCCTCCAGAGAAATTTAAGGATAATCTTTAAATATGCTTGTTTTTAAAAGAAAAAAAGGAATATTTTAATATTTAAAAAAAATTAGGAGAGACCTTATATGACAATGGCCATCAATGAAGGCACACAGGTATATTAACAGTGGGACTGGAAGACAAAGTTTTCAAAGACCAAGCAACACAGCAAAGAGCTGTTGAACACCCCACCTGCTCACAATGGTCTTGAAATCTTTGCTATATCTCAGCAAAAGAGACACCCCACCTGCTCTCTGGATAAGCTGAAATAGACTGTCCAGGAAAAAATGGTAGCAGTAGGCAGGAAGTATTCATTTAAAGATCTTTCCAAATATGCTGGCTAACAAAACAACATTATCAAGCCCAGTATTTGCCCCAAGTCCATGACAAACTAAATCATAAACAAACCACAATATGGTAAGAACTGTAAGCCAAACTTCTGAAGTTTAAATAACAGACAGTTGATCACATACTCCTAAAATTTGAAGCTTCCTATCTAGAACTCAGTGAGAATGTGTTAGAACGTTATTCAAAACAGACACTGGTACTGCTTGTGACCATCCTCCTCTAGGTCACTTGAATTTGTTGCCTTCAGATACTTCAAGGAGCAATTTCAATCAGATTCCTTCCCACCTTGCCCCTTTTTTGCCTTCTCTTCTTCTGAACCAGTCCAAATTCCTTGCACTGAATTGAACAAGTCCTCCAAAAGGAACATGTTTATTTCTCCCCATGCAATACTCTTTTTCTTTCCAACAAAGATCTCCTCCTTTCCTACATTTCAGTAAAATATAGACATACACTGATAAAAAAGTCATGAGCTGTGAAATTTAATCTGACACAAGCAGTAAAAATACAGGCTGAAAATAGATTAAGTGAAGGGTCTTAATCCAAAAGTGAGCTGGGATACTACACAAACCTTCTTTTTAATCCTGTTTACTGGCTAATGAGAGAAAAACTGTCCCAGGTATAATAGCTGCTGTCAGCTTCATTTTGAGGTGCCTAATACTTCCCTTTTGAAAGAAAGAAGTGTTAATTTAATATAGACTTATTCCTGGAATCAGAAACATAGAAAACACTGATAGGAGCTTATGCAACCACATGGCAGGACAAGAGGTCAATTCCACAGGCTCAAGTATTTCGCAAGAAGTTTGTTAAAGCACGAGTTATGTAACCAATTTGATAAAATATGATAAAATTAACAAAATGTATTTTGATGGTGCTCACATGGTACTGAAAGATATTCTATAATGAAGTGGCTGCAAGGTTGCTAAAACGCATTTGGGTCTTAAAGAGCAACACTAGAACAACAGCTTGCATTATTTTCTAAATCATCGTAGAAATAAATAATAATTTCATCTTTTTTCCAACTCTCTATGTATTTCATACATGTAGAGACGTACTACATACTTCTACTATTTCCAGCTATACCATCCAGTAAACATTTGATTTAAATGGTAGTTTAAAAAAATTATTTATTTTTTAAACACAGCAGAAAACATTACAGTAGTGTAAAGAAAGTTCCTCAATTGAAATGATGGGGGTAAGGGAAAGTATGGGCAAAGAATACAAATAAACAAACAAGAAGAAGTTAAGTTTTTATCTGTTTGCTCTGCTTTTACTCTTCCCCATGCATCTACTAGTGACAGCTGCTGGAGAGCAGAATACTGGTTTAACATGGACCGTTGGTTTCATGCAGTTCAGGCAATCTTATGTAAAATACTTCAAGAAATCTGAGTACTTTAAGCTCTGACAAAAAACATACTTACCGCTTGACTGCATAGTCTAGATACTATTACTCCCAGAGAAAAAATCTCCACCCTTCCTTAAAGCTATTTATTCCATGGTAACAAGTCAATAATAAGACATTGCAAAACCATTCTACATGAAAATAGACCTAATTTGAGCTCATCTAAAAGTGATCTGCCTGCCATACTTCCTCTTCAAATTCCATGACAATCAAGGGCTTTCTCATCTGAAGGGACTGGTTAGCCCGAAACATTCTGAAATCACTCAGTTCCCTGTTAATGACATATGCACTGTCAGAAGAGATACATCAGTTTTTAGCCTGGGACTTCAAACCCTGCATCAGTGAAGCAGTTGCAGTTCCCCGTGTCAACCTCTTCAGGCTTTGTTGACTGCCTGTCACTCACTTACCAAAGATCACTCAAAAAAAGACCAATGTAGTCCATAATCATCTGTATTTATAAAGTATACAGCACTCTTCTTTACTTAATGCATACAAAAGCATCTGTCTGGAACAAATGCTTAATAAAATAACCGCTTTGAAGTCATTAGCAGTTACAAATTTCTTTGCTAAGAGCTTCCTGTGCTCCTTACAGCTTAGCAGAACTATCCCATGCCCCTCACTCCAGAAGGCCCCGAGTGCCTCTGAATCAAGAAGTCCCTTATTTCTCATTAAAAGGCTAGTGATTAACTTCAAAGACAAAAATTACTATTTTCAGTTACCCTTGGTACTTCTTTCAAGTCCATCAAGCATCAACCATTTATAGTCTCCTCACTCAATCCTTACCTTTTCAGCATCCTGCTCAAACAGCCTGAGCTGAAAGCATTGGTCCAATTTCAATTTCCGCACATGCCACATCTGATGCAGATGCTGCCGTGTTGAGTGCAGCCTGTCCAGCATGGTGGACACTTTGGGTAAAAGGTTCTGTAAGTCTGCATTCCCTGACCCAGAGTTCTTTTTGGGAAAGCTATCACTGCTCTGTATCCGCTGGAGCAGCTTTTGTCCTTCCACATCAAGGTCCTCGATAGGGGCCTTAATGACTTTCTTTTTTAATTGTGAATGCTCCTCTATCATATTGCGAGCACCTTCCAGGTCCTGAGGCATTTCCTTTTTTGACAATATATCTTGCAGTTCCTCCAGTCTGGACAGCATATGGGTTGCATTGCTAATGTAGTCCTCAAAGGCAACTCTGATTTCTATCCACTCCTCATGGTTGTACTCCAAACAGCCATCAAATTCTGGGGTTAGCTGAGAAGGATCAACTACTTTGGTAAGGCCTTCCAGAGACACCATATTTGTCTAAAAAAATAAAAATGGAACGAAAAAAATGCTGTTACTGAAATGAATTTGAAATTTCCTTCCAAGTTTTTGCTTTTCTTTTTGTAAGAGAAAGTTTTTGCTTTTTCTTTTTGCTCATGAAGTCCACATGACAACTTTTCGTACACATTTCAAGTATCAATTCTGATCAGCAGAAGACAGGAAGTCTTGCAGGTATTTTCCCACATTTCTTTCTTACCTCACTACATTTAAGAACAAAACAGCAACCACTCTTTTGATTACTGTTTTAACTTTGTGTATTGCAAAGCTTCAGGAGGGTAACAGCAAGGTTCATTCAGCTGATTTCCTCTGGATTCTGGAGATATCAATATTACCATAATGCAAACTAAGATAACAAAGAGACAAAACCTAAGTTTTTATCATTAGGGGGAAAAACCTAATTCAGTCTTTCTTGAGCTTATAAAAAGAATATAAACAACAACAAACACAATTACCTAGCCTAAGTACATGAAGAAAACCACATTTCTTCTAGCACCATTGGTCTCAAGTACCTCCCTTTCCAGCCAGAATATAATTTATGTGAGAGATTTCAAGGGGCTGATCATTAGTGAGAACATTTAAAACCACAAAATAAATACACATTTGTATACTATAGGGGAAATTACCTCAAACTCGAACTTAGAGCTGCCAAAGTTAGTCCTCTGTTTCTGCCAGAAATTGTCTGGCTTGATTATCAGTGCAACATGAATACAACATGGAAACGATTCCTGTAAAATCTTCAGCAGAGGCTTTATGGAGTCCCATTTTGACCCACGCATATCTACAATGACGGTGAATCCTCGTTTACATACTTCCTCACTGCAGAAAACAGAAGGAAAGGTTATCAAGCGTTTCAATTTCCAACACAGCACTCTACTGCACCACGCTGCCTAATGAACATGGTGTCCTCAAGTGTCTCACTCCTGACTAGCTGACCATACACAGCAGATCTCACAACTCTCTCAAGATGCTTCTTTCATCCCCAGGACAAACTCCTTCTGAGGGATCGCTCTATATCTGTTGCTGATTTGATATTCTACCAATATCTTCACTTTCATTTTCACTGTTTATATTCACGATTATTCATCGTCCAGTCTTGTTTCTCCCTCACCTTACTAAGGTTTACACAGTAATCCTACCATTTCCTAAAGCAGCAATATCTAATACATTTACAATTTACTCTTCAGAACACACACACTTACTTGACTGATAATAATATTCATGTCTTTCTAATGATTGGGGGGATCCTCTAAGAAGGCAGAAGATGGCAAATTGTTCTTACCTACCACTTCACAACTTTTCCAAACTGTCTCAGATTTAGAACCACTTTATCTGAGAGTTAGTCTGTAGAGGAAAGACACCCATTTATTGACAATTTCTTTTGTAACAGGATTGATTTGTAAATAGTTAAAGGACAACACAGTATTTTATGGTTGTGAAGAAAACGACATGAATCTGTTTCTACAAAATTTAAGCTCAATTTTGCTGTCCAAAAGTTGATAGACCTTATACTCAAATTCTCCCAAACTCCTTCTGAGAATGGAAAATTTAATTTCTTTTCATCAATATCTCCCGTACATTTAGTTCTTGCCACTGATCAAAAGTGACAATCACCACCACCACCAGAAACTCTGGTTTTCTTCCAACAGAATTTGCTACATGACCTTGTAGTATAACCATAGGAAGGAAATCATTTCAAAACCAATGCCTCATAGCCAACAGACTATCAAGAAGTACCAAATGTCCATTGTTTGAGTATGAGTCACTTTCAGGGATGTGACTAATTCAAATGCCATTCTAGAATTCATGTGGTGAGGTTTCTAGAGTGTCCAAGAGGCAGGGAAGCTTCACTGGCATATTTTACTCAGTCTTACTGGCCACATTGCAGAAAGATAGATTATGACTGCTATAGGAGATCTGGAAGAAGTGGTAACATTGGTTCCTCAGAAAGGGAAGGGTTTTTTAACTTTGACAAGTTTAAAGCTAGGGAAAAGAAGAGAGAATAAACATCCCACAACATTTCAAAAAATGAATTTATCATGATAAACACCGGCTCTCCCACCTGCCCATAAGAATGCCAAAAATGGCAATGGCAGAAGCAAAATATATTAAAAGTAACTAGCTTGGCATACATATAGGCTACAACATACAATTTTCTGACCATGGGAAAAATGTTTTCTAAAATCATCACAGAATTCAAGGGAAAAATTAACTACAGTCTTAAAGATAGACCCATCACTGTAAGGTCAAATGGCAATAGGAGTGCTGCTCAGCCCATCACTATCATACCAAACTGAGGATTGCACAGGGAGTGCTTGCCACTAATTCACAAGGCATGTATCTACTGGGGTATCCAAAGTGGTCCCTCATCATGTGCTCCATCATGGAGCCACATCACCTCACACAAGCTGAATGTCTTTTGGCCAAGGATCACAAGATTTGTTCAAGGGAGTCAAAGTCATGTGATGGTAAGCCTGAACTACACTAAAATATCTGGCCCACTCTGTGGTGATGACATAAGTTCAGCCATATTTTTAAATCAGATAAATTGTAAAATCAGTAAAATTGTGAGATTGAGTCAACTTAAGCTTTTGAATCTCTTGCCAAACAACTGATATGTGTGATTCTTCAGCTACGTCATGTAATAGTACTACAACAAATAAAACACAACCCAAAAGTTCGCGGCTATTTGTACCAATTGGGACTTCTAATTAGCTAGAGCTGCATAATCAGTCCCTTAAACATGACTTGTATGGAAATAAGTCTTAGTTTTGATAAAGCTCCCTTTTTTCTCAAAAGATTGCCATGCTTAAAAAGTATAAAACATGCACTAACTTTCTTTTAATTTTAGAACTATTGAGCTAAGCTAACTAATATACACCTTTTGCCAGAGGAACGTAACTTCTTGCCCTGATTATCTCTAAAAAAATTATTGGACATATTTTGATGCATATTTATCTATTAACTTATCTAGCAACTTGAAGCTCTAGATGGCTAAAATACATCTCACCATGCAAATCTGAGACCAAAAATTTCAAGCCTTCTTCCTGTTCTCCTTTCTCTAAGTCCCCTGAGATGCCCAGTTAACTTTACAAAAAGGAGGCCATGTATTCTCTCAGACAGATGCTTTGAAGTTGCTTTTATGAAACCACCTTTCCCAGTCAGAAACTGGTATTTGATTATATCAAGTACAAAGACTCCCAGTAAATTAGCACATTACACAAACATGGAAGATATTGCACTAGGGATGTTGTCCAAGGAATTTTTTTCAATTGTAATGACAACTGCTGCTTGTGGTCATAGACAGACAAACAGAGTCAAGCACAGTCAGCATTGCTCCAGCCTGCAATGCTGGAAGGTTCCAAGATGGACCTAAAGTCAGAGTCTTAGGATCATTTTTGTTCCCAACTTGAATACTACAGAAAGCAAAGTTCTGAATAAAGTATCTCATACATATATACAACTATATATATGTATATGGGAGTGTATATATGCACACACACACACACACTAGCACTGGATTTGACTTCTGTCAATTTATTTAAACAGCTCAATTCATAGGCTGAATTGCTGATAATGCAATGATATCAGTACTTTCACAGATGACTCCACAGGTTTATCTGAGACCTTTACAAACAATTTCTCATACCTTTCTCCTGATTATTTCCGTGCTGTATCAGGACACTATGACTTATCTAACACAAATAACAGTTAGGAGTCCTGTGCTGACTGCACTCCACACAAGGCATATGGTGAAGGATGACCAGCATGCTTCTAATCATTGATATACTGAAAGCCTTTGAGTTGTATTTGCAGTCTTCAACACAGCAAAACCAATGTGGCATGGCAGTGCCATTTCCGAGACACAAACTACTTTTAGCTAAAGCACACCAGCCCTTCTGCCAGCTGCCTTCCTTTTGCAAGGCAGAGTAATTACTTCTCTTCCAGAAAGCCATTTGAAAATAGCAAATGACAAAACTTGGTATTGATGTGCTCATGTTATTAACTCACTCAGTCTGCTAGCTTGTGGGAGTACTGCAACCTAATCCATTTATTTTGTTATACAGCCTTAGAGGTTAACAGACAATCGCTTACCTAGGAATACATGCTAGATATGAAATTAGTCTTCTAAGGTCTTCTTGCCGTATTCTGTCGTGATTACTACGAGCTGGAAATGTTAGAATGGGACCTCCACGCTTATCTCTGCCACCTGAAAAATTAAAAATGTTAGAAAACCCCACAACATAACATAAAATTCTTTTTTGCAGAAATAGTCTTCAGCAGCTACTTTTAAAAAAGTGATTTTAACTTAAATGCCAACATTGTCATTTTGAGACCAACTTAAAGATTGAATTTTGGGAGCACTGATCAGCATATTGCCACAATTCGTACAGTGAGAAAGCATATACCAAAAATTTGAAACAAAGAGTAACCAGAGCATTACACTTAGACATTACAGCCACCTTCAAGTTTGACTGGTAGTGTGATATCTCCAGCAATGGCACTCTGTTATGTATTTAATTTTTGACTCAGCAATTGTACAGATGTAATTTAAATACAGAATTATGCTACTTTGTAGGAAAGTATTTAGATGATAAGGCAGCAGAGATCACAGCTGTGGGAGGTGTGCCCAGGTAGAGAAGATCCTCTGCTCAGTGACAGAGCTCAGGGAGGAGGTGAGTAGGTTGAAGACAGATGGATCATTGTATTGGAGACTCCCTTCTGAAGGGACCAAAGGCCCAGTGCGCCAACTTCTTCAGGAAGCCTGCTGCCTCCCTGGGCCCAAGGTTAAAGATGTGATGAGGAAGCTTCCTACCCTGGGAATGGCCCTTAGGAAAACATATTATTATTATTAACCCCATACTTCAGCAAAAAAAGCAAGATATTGCAATAAGAAGCCCAAGGGCAATCAAGAGAGATGTGACTGAAGTCTCTCCCTGAAAACTTTGGGATGACTGGTTGGAGGATCAGGAACACAGGTAGTGCTTTCTCAGTGCTTTTTGTTGCAGGGAATGAAAAGGGAAGAAATGGGAAGAGCCATCAGATCAATACCTGGCTCTGAGCCTGGTGCCACTGGGAGATTCTTGGGTTTTCTGATCCTGGGTTGGTTTATATGACATTGAGCCTGCTGGTGACAAACAAGTTACACCTGCCTCAAAGAAGGAAAAGGATCTTTGCACAGGAATTACAAGGGCTACTGAAAGAGCTTTAGACTAGATTTGATAAAGCCATGTTCTCCAGAGATTAGCATGGTGGCAGAAGACCAGTGTCTGAGGAATGGTGAACTAGCAAGGTCTTTCAGTCTGCCATCTCACAGGAGGTAGGAACAGAGATCCATGCAGCAGCCAAAATGTAAGAGATATGGATGTGTCAGAAACCATGGAAGCACCTGAGAATGGTCATGTAGGAATTAAGCCTTCTGCCCCAAAAAAGGTGACAGAATTAATAGCCTAACCAAAGTGCATCTATACCAATGAACATGGCTTGGGCAACAAACAGGAGGAGCTGGAAGCCATTGGGCAGCAGGAAAACTGTGATATAGCTGCTATCATGGAAACATGGTGGGATGATTTGCACAGCTGGGGTGCTGCAATGGATGTCTGTAAACCCTTCAGAAGGGATAGGCATGGAAGGAGAGTTGCCAAGGTAGCCTTGAACGTTAGGAGTGTTATGATTGTCTAGAGTTTAATGATGATGACAAGAAAGTTGACTGTTTGTAAGAATAAAGGGGAAGTTTGCAGGTGATGCCAGGTTGGGCAGGAGTGGATTGATGGGCCGAGGTCAGTAATATGAGGGTGAACAAGGCCAAGCGCCAGGACCTGCACAAAAACCCAAAGCATTGCTAACAGATTGGGAGAAGAGAGGTTGGAAATCTGCCAAGTGGAAAAGGACCTGGAAGTGCTGATTGACAGCACCTGAACAGGATCCAGAAGTGTGTCCAGGTGGCCAAGAAGGCAAATGGCTCTCTGGCCTGTATCAGCAATAGTGTGGCCAGCAGGAGCAGGGCACTGTATTTGGCACTAGTGAGGGCACACCTCAAATCCTGTGTCCAGCTCTTGGCCCAGTTACTACAAGAAGGACATTGAGGTACTGGAGTTTGTCCAGGGAAGGAAAGCAGAGCTGGTGAAGGGCTTGGAGGACAAGGCTTATGAGGAGCCTCTGAGGGATTGTTTAGCCTGGAGAAAAGGAGGCTCAGGGGACACCTTATCGCTCTCTACAACTCCCTAAAAGGACGCAGCAGTGGGGCGAGTGCTGGTCACAAGGTAACAAGTGACAAGATGAGAGGAAATTACCTCAAATTGTACCAGGGAATGTTTAAATATCGGGAAAAATTTATTCACCAGAAGAGTTGTCAAGCTGGCAACTGGCTGCCTGGGGAAGTGGTTGAGTCACAAGCCCTGGCGGCATTTAAAAGACATATAGATGCAGCATTTGGGGACGTGGTCAGTGGTGGACGTGGCAGTGCCAGGTAAAGGGCCAGAATGAAAGACCTTTAAGACCTCTTAAAGGTCTTTTCCAATCGTTAATTCAATGATTGAATTAATTACTATGAGAATTTATGTGTATAATATTTCACACTCAATACGTAGATTGAGCGCATGGAAACTATTTAAGCATTTAATTTGTATTTTTATCCTGTCCTGATTTGCATATTCCCAATTGTCAGTTTATAGTTTTTAATTTTGTTAGCAACACAAGAAATTCTGAATCCGCTTAATATATAAGGCAAAAAATCTGACGTAAGTGGTTCCACTTAAATGCATTCATCTCAGCCATAAAATTGCACAGACTTGCTGTAGTCGAATAGTAAAATATAATTTTATATCCAACCCCTTGCTAGTGACAACATAATGTTACTATTGCTAAACACCAAATTCAAGCCCAGTAGGATGTCTTTATCGACACATCTATAATAGCACAGACAGATTCTTGCAAGCTAAACTTCACATATATGTTTTCAACCACAGATGTGTGGACTGTTTTCTCCCGTCCCATGGAAACGCAGAAAAAACACTATCTTCAGCCCAGAATTTCTCATTTCAAATCAGCTTCTCATTGCAACTCCATGTTGCTAAACAAAGTTTTTCAAAAATCACTTAGAAAGGAAGGCCAAGAGAAGATAAAAATAAATATTAAAAAAATAAATAATACCAGTCACTCAAAGATTCATCACTCTACCCTCCAACACAGTTAGTGTGTATTTGCCGAAGATACCAAACCTGGCTGTCAAAGTCTCTAGAGATTGTCTACACTGGACATGCTCCCTATCAGACACTAAATGAAACTCAAAAGAGGCAAAAGCATCTTTGAATCTCCATCAAGCTACAATGCAAGAAAGCAAAACTTAAAAATAAATTAATATCTTTATCTTCCATGACCTCTTAAGTGAGACATAAGATGAAAAATGGAGTTGTTTCATTCTAATGGAGAAAAGCAAGTCTTGACCATCCTGACTCACTTGTCAAGCAGAGAGCTTTGAGGATTTTTACATTGCAAATGAAGGAAAAGAAACCAAGACAGCAGCTGTAAGAGAAAGGAATGATAAATGACAAGACAGAGTCCAACAGCGGCCCTGCTGAGCTCCAGAGCCATCACTGGGCTCCAAGGCTAGCAAGAATAGTTGATAGTCTACTAGAGCCCTTAATGCTCTCTCTCCTCATTGCACCACAGGCCACTACCTTTAGATCTACCACTTTCAACTGGTAAGTGCTACTGACTCCAGCCCCCCGGAAAAAGTAACTCAATTGCTTAGGGTGAATATTCTTTAAAAAGCAGCAGCTAGCAGGCAAAAGCATAAGCTGAATTGTCTTTAACATTCTGTAAGTTTTTTAAGCAAATGCTTTGTTACGTGCAGTCACCTCAGACCAGTCCTCCAGGCCTTTCCCACACTGCAACTCCTGTATCATGCAATTTCTCAGTACGGCACTTTTATGTCATTCTGGATGCCACTTCAGTTGGCTCTAGCTCCACATACGTCACAGAAGAAGCCCATTTTCTAAAATGGTGGTTAAATTTCTGATAAATCGTATCCTGAAACTTTTGTACATCAGAGACAAACTTTGTTGTACAAACTCCACACCTAGATGAGTAATAAATTAATACAGCCTTGATTTTAGATGAAAAGAACTTGACTACCCAGTCTTAAAACAGGTGGCAAAATTGCAAATAATAATACAAAAAAAAGTCCCTAAGACTTGGGGTTTTTTCATCAGCTCTAATGACAGCTTTCTTAGGTCTTTTACAATAACTAACTCTCATTTCCTTTGTTCTTGATGCTCCTGTGTCATAGACAAACGGGAAAGTTAAAAGCAACAATGCATGAGGCATCAGTGGGAATTTCCTGTCTTGCAATAGTCTTCATCCAACTCAACCTCCTATTAATGTTTAACAAAAACATACTACATTACTACTGCTTTCATCAGTAAGACTTCCATTTTAATCCATTTCCTTTGATACACCACCCCACCCCACTATCGAGATATTCTCTTTATGCCAAAGTGTGTCACACAAACATCTATCCGATAACTCATGTGAGTCACCGAACATGCATCATTTCTGTCTAGTGCACATCACTAACAGCAGTATTCTCAATGGCCTCCAAATGGCACTAAAATCCAACAGGCTGAGTAGTGCAGCTTTTTTAAGAAATGCCTTTTAACCTAGTTACAAAGTACTCTGGTAAAGAAAGCTTAACAGTTGGCTTTTATGGCAAGACAAGTTACCAAGGGCTATGTCCTTACATGAAATCAAGGTAACTGCACCTTGTAAGAAAATGCTCTCCTTGTTTAGCTATGTGTAGAGATATTTGTATTTTGACATGTTTCAGTCTAAACACAAAAAAAAATGCACTCAAGACTCTATTTGGACTTCATAGAAAAGCCTAGAGATGTAACTATTTCAGATGGTAAGACATCCAATACTCAAGTTCACTTCTCAGTTAGGTGAAAATCTGCTCAGAAAACCAAATGAATGAAACCAAATGAACAAATATCATTGGTTCCCAGGTATAAAGCTTGACAGTTCTAGTCGCACAGTGGTTAGGTCCTAGTGGTGATGGTACTTTTTTAGGGGAAGGGGGAGAACACACTGAAGAGTATTGTTGTAGGTTGTTGTACTTAAGGGTTTTTTAATTCATTTGCACAATTTATGTATCTCATTCCATTTGAGTTCCACTTGCAATGTAAAAGTGAAACTATGGATTTTGGCAGATCAGTTCTGGCCAGTCATGTTGCCCACAGCTGTTTGCTCCACTCGTCCATTAGGAGTTGCTACCTTCACATAGGCAAGTTGGCAACCGTTTATTTCTGCCAATACCTCCTCTGTTCTGGTTCACAATTTATCATCTCCCCTTAAATTCATCTTCATCTTTCATTTGGCCCATTTCACTTTCACTGAATTAATGCCTTTCAGAATGCCATCTGCTTACAAATTAACATTTAAAAAACTCATCATTTTTCAGGTCCCTTTTAAGTGGTCTAAACTAAGTACTGGACAACTTAAAAATTCAGAGGTTTTGGAGTGACAACATTTTCATTCAATGACATAAGACAAGGTCCAAAAAGTAATGAGGGATTGACATATTGTGCTTAACCTCCTTTTCTCCTCTTCTTTCCCTCTAAAAATAAGAGTTCTAAGCAAGTCTTCACCAGCACTACAATTCCCAAGTTACAATGCTACCAGGAAAACTGGTCTTACTCACTACAGTTGCCAGGATCTTTTAAGAAAAGAGCACAAAAAAAAATCTTCACCCACACATCTTTTTGCTTTGTACCTCTACTTTAGTCAGCAGAGTGGACCGGATAAAGTACTATGTACTACATGCTGTACATGCAGGCATCAGCATCCATGCACAGCAAATCTCTTAAAGAGTACAACTGCAGAAATAATTGTATGTGTTTTAGTATTTACAGACAAGAGCTTTACTTTTGTCATTCTTGAAAAATTATCCAGAAAACCACTTGCAAATATGAGACTGCCCTGTAAATCACTTGACATTAATATTATGGCCGAGAGAATGATGGTGTTTAATCCCAACAGAAAGTCACACCAAAAGGCAGTTTACAAAAATAAGCACCTCAACCCATCATTCCACCAAATAAAGATACTTATGAAGTTATAGACTATGTTATGATACAAACTCATACAAATCCCATCTTTAAATCCTCCTGCTATTGGTTCAGTAACCAATCAAATTCAATGTTCATGTTGGAATTACCTAAAATTACATGTTAAGTCAGTTCACCATGAAAATACTAAGTGTGCTTCAAAAGACAGACAACTGAAGTTCACTTCTGCAATAGACATATTTCTCCAGAATATACTGCAGATGGGTCAATAACAAAGGCATCTCTGTAAAATTCCCCATCAGAAGAACCAGAAATAAGACAAGGAATATGATATCGGTACAGCAGGTTCTAAGTTGCTGTAAATAGTGATGCGTCCAGGGGGAATGCAGGACTTAACATGACCAAGACAAAAACTAGCAATGTTCCACATTCAAGAAAACAAATACCTCCTTCATTATGCCTTTCAAAATGTATATGTTATGTTTAGGATATCCAATAGGAATCAGTGCTGCCCTAGTGTTCCATGAATTTTGTAATGATATTTGAAGTATTTAAAATACCATTTTATATGCTACTAACAACAAAATTGGGTATTCTACAAGAGAAAATAACTGTACCTGAAAGGTATGCAACCTTTTCCTTTAAAATTGGCAATACTTCCATAGCCTTCATTTCATCATTTTTGCGAAACCCTGAAAAAAGAAGAGAAGATGATTAGTGAAAAATTCAGACAAGCCCAGCTTCTACATTTAATGAATGCACTGAAAAATATATACCTTTGGAATACATTCTGAATGTTATGATTACAGGAATTAAGATAATCTTACAATAAAAGTCTGTCAAAAAAAAACCCTAAACTTTAAAGACCTATTAATGGACATCACTTTGACCAGCTTAACACAAATAGCATGTCCTGTTAGCAAGCCTCAGTAGAAAACAAGATTCCAGAATTAGCCTTTTTCATCAGTTAATAAAAAGTGTCATATGAATCCATGGCTTTTATCCATTCCAAATCCCACTTTCTTTTCTTTTTTTAAATTTTTTTTTATTTTTTTCCCAGCAGGGATGAAGAGTATCAAGCTATAAGAAGTTGGTATGCTTAGAACAATTACCATTTAAAAAAACAAATCCCAAACCAAAAACCCCACCCAAAATCCCACAACAACAAAACAAACAAAACAAAACAAACACAACCACCCAAACAAAAAACCCCACCAAAAACACCCCAACCCACCCAAAAAACACAAAAATACCCACCAAAAATCCCCAACACTATTTACATGTAACATTTCTTAAATCATTTCTGTAAGCAGAATTTTTTCTGCTACCTAATAGGAGCAGCATTTTGCAACTGAGAGGACACTTTATCATACTAACTCTGTACATACAGGGAGTATCATACAATGCCCAAGGTGAGTGACCACAGTCAGTGCTGCAAAGCAGCACATCATCAGCTTGTCCCTCCTTTTCTACATCCTATTTCTACTACTCTAATTCTGTGGCTAAATTCTGAAGTTCTTCTTTCTTTGACAAGGAAGATTTAGGAAGCATTTTTTTACATTATATTTCACCTGTGGAATACAGAATTTGTCATATTTAAGCCGATTTTGTTCATCTTACAAGAAGAACTGGGTGACACATCTTCAACTTACTTATGTGTACAACCCTTTCTGGTCTGTTTGGATTTAAGTGTTGTTTAAAACAATCCCGTATCTGAAACTCTGCTGGGCTAAGTGGGAAGCTCATTGCTTCTCTATAACTACTGAACCACAAAAGTGCTGTTAAGACTCTTCCTCCTCAAAAATATCCAGATGCTTCATATCCTTTGGTCTCAGATTCTGAGCTTAAATGAAATAGCCATGCATTTCTAAACTAAAACTTGAAGGTACCAAACTAGTATCATCAAGTAATAAAAGACCTATACTTCAGGGCATCACATATGTAAATTACATATGTGGTTTTCTACTCCAGAGAGCAGTGGTGAGACTTCTGTGCCCCTACAGTATCTTGCTGTGGGGACTACCCTAAAAACAGACCCAGGGTGCACCAAGCACAACACCCAAGGGACAAAGATGTTCAGGTGTTTGCATGTAATCATCTGTGCATCTGTTTTGAGTGAAGAACTGCAGGAAGATGTGGTGGCAGTCCTCAGAACAAAGCCTACTAGTGACAAAAGCCTGCATGTTGTGGACCTGCAGAATTTAAAAGCTTTGAATTACAGCAAGAAATTGTAGACAGCAGGAAATTTTGTAAAGAAAGAACTGTGAACAGCACAGGGGATTTCCTGTGGAAGACAGCCTATCCATGACCAAGGATTTTTAAAACATGTGTTCAGACAAATGTCTGTCAGCAGCAAGTCCCTCAAGTTCACCATAACTCAAGTGTTCAACCAGGGCATTGTCTCAGCACTCACAGAATGCAAACAAAAGAAAACAAAACAAATCAGCTTCCAGCCCGATGGAAGTTCCCTGGCTAGTTCTTTGTTTTTTCCATGGACACCACAGACCAAAAACAATCCCAAAATTCAGCACACATTCTTAGAAAGGCTAGACCAGGAAAACTGGTTCCTTGGGTAACCACAAAGCATGGAGGGTTTCTGCATGATGGACAGTATTTTGCAATTACACAGCAACTCCAGACTGCCAAAGCAGTGCAGGGTTTACTTTCACGTTTGCACCTAGGCTCTCAAGATTCTAAGACACAGCAAAAGGAACTTCATGCATTATTACTCCTCCAGAGAATGGGCTATAGTTATCTGCCTTTTACTGAAATTGCCTACAGTTTTGTTCCGACTACATTTCTGTTTGTTATGGACTAAAACTCTAAATAGCTTTAAGAAAAAGCCTGGGCTTAAATAAATCACCTAAAAAGACAGCAAACACCCTTTTCCACCTTGAAATATTTGGGCTTCAGTTGACTGCTAAGGCATACAGGCACACTTCCAGAGTTAATTTTTTTTCATGTGCTTTGAGCTACCCACCATAAGCTTAATGCCAATTTAGCATGCTCAGCTTCCATATCAACCATGGCAATTCTTTTTCTTTACAGTAAATTCGGAGGTAGCAAACACTTTCTCCTCACCTAAAAAGCATGCAGAAACTAGTGCCGTACTTTGCTGTCTCTCTTAGCTCAAAATTACCCAAGACACTGATGTTACCGCAATTGCTTGCTCAGATTTCTAAGCCCTTAAACTACTTCACCTCGGATGATGCTGCGCAGTAGCTGCACGTTTTACTTTGCCTGTGGCATGTAAGAAGCGAGAAACATTTAGCTAACATTTCTCTGACTATTAAGGGGCCGCTCAAGGTAAACACCCTAGCAAATACGTTAGTGCTTGGCTCATGTTCTGCATCTGCATATCCTTAAGGCTGACTGCCTTGGATTATCATATTCCTGCTGCTCTAAACAGTCTATTTTTATTCCAGTTCTGCAGTGGTAAGGCTTAACTGAAAAGACTGTGGGGATTACAACAGATGAAAGAATGCTGGGGAGCAAAGAGGGTGAATACGGCAGGAAAGTATCGTTTTTATCTCCAACGAAGCAAAAATAAAACAAAAACCAGCAATATAAGCAGGTCTTAAGGGCTTGGGGTGGGTCCTCCCTCCCCCTTTTCAAAGCCTCTTCTCCACAAACCATTCGTGGATCTGAGGATTTGAGGATTTAATTAAAAAAAAAATTAAAAGGCATTTACCACACTCAAATGAAATGCCATAAATATCTGCACCAATCTCTCCCTCCACAGCTCAGCATCCTCCGCGCCAGCCGGCTGCATCACATGTTCCTGGGGGTGATGTCATCCCTGCCGGCCCGGCCGGCTGCAGCTCCCGCCGCCGCGGTGCCGCCGCAGTGCCCGCGGCTCCGCCCCGCGCACACACCGGGGCCGCGGCCATCCCCGAGCCCCACGGACATCCCCGAGCCCCCCGCGGCCATCCCCGAGCCCCAGGGCAGGCACAGGCTCTGCCCGCACGGGATTCCAGCGGGTATCTTTCCCACGGCACACGCTTCTCCTTTGGAAGCACAGTATGCACCTATGGCATGTATTTATGCTCTGCCACCTAAAAAAAAAGGCAATCTGACTTTAAAAGTGTTGCTTTCAATATTAAATCCTACATCTTTTAAAAACCGTTTTACTCTTAAACTGGAAAGCCGACCTTCATATTTTCAATACCTATTAAAGGAATACTCATTTCACAGTTTTGCATTTTCAATAGGTAGTAGATGCCCTTCTGTTGTAACATACAGCGTACACATGCTTTTGCCTAACTACCGGCAAAGAGAGAAGAAGCTCAAATTATGCTAATTAATAATTAACTGCAATATATTCAGTAGAATAAGTAACACACGATTATGTAGTCCATTTCAATATAGGAGGTTCTCCCCAGCCCTCATGAAGAATTACACAATGACACAATCCCTTGAGTTGTCAGATACAGTTTCCTACTAAACAGATCCTTATCAAAAAACAGCTATTTAAATGCTGTATCACACAACTAAAGATCTTTACAAAATGGAATCAAGAAAACGTCACCTAAACATTCCTAAACATTGGAAAATTAAGAAGTCTACCCGACAAACACACCATTTTCTCTTTGCCCCCACAACTTCAGAGTCTGAAGACACCATCAATTAGCCAAATTCAGCAAACCTGACTATATTAACCCTTTTTCTCACGCTGTATGAAGCTAAGATATTTTGCTGCAATATATAGTTTTATCCAAGTTAAAAGACCCATGAAAAGAGAACATTTTGGGATAGAGAGATCACCCTATGAGGTTTCAGAGAGACCCTTATTTGAGCGGCCAGGACAGCCCCTTCTCATCTGGACTGCAAGTGTTCCCAAATCCCATGGTGACAACCTGTCTGCAGAGCTGTCCGTCCATCTGGCCTGGAGGACAGAGTAACCCTGTGTAACATGGCCCCCTTCTGCCTAGAAATCACAGCATTCCGGGAACTCAGCGGCTCCCGATACCCAGCATGCTGAAGCTTCCCAGAGGCACTGAAATACATGGAGAAAGTCACCTTTAGAGGGGTAACCGGAAATAGGTACTCTGTGGCAATTCACACAACCCAGACAAATGCTGGATTAGCCTAATGCCGAGGCTGAAGGAAAGGAGGTAACTGTGCTAATCATCTTGCACTGCAAAGATCAGTAACTACTCAGCCACACAATTCAGGGGAGCAGACAAAATTACCTTACATGCATCTTTTAAGGTAACAACTTGATTACAGAACTGTGATACAAACCAATGTTGAAAACAAGTTTCCCCAAGAAGCACTGCTTCCCCAAGGACAGTGAAGTGTTTGCTTCAGAGGTAGCTTCAGTGATGTGCATCGTTCAGTTACGGCAACAAACAAAACACGGGAATAGAAATTAGGACAACAAAAAGACTCAGAAATTGAGGCTAAGAGCAGCACCTCTTCGCCAAAATGTTGACCAAGCGCTCATCCATTGCTGTCACACACAACCGACTTGAAACTTTTCTGAAGCATGGCTGAAGATAAACAAACGCCAAAAGGAATGCTCTCATCCTAAAAACTCACACTCCTAATAACACAACTGCTTTTCACCTTGCAAACAAAAACAATACCTTTGAACAGGCGTAAACAAAAAATGCCAGACTCAACCCAGATTACTTTGATGCTTTAGGCTCTCTTTGGACTTCAGAATGACTCCCTGTTGTGTCATCAGCAG